TTTTACTTAATCCTTCTGAAATACAACAACGAACTTATTGCAATATTATAACAAGACGTTATTCATATGAAATGTTGTATCATATGTTAACAAGACTTATCGAAATCATTAATAGGGAAGAAGAAACTGTGAGGGTGTCTTTTCATAACTTGTTTTTAGAATGATTCTTGAAGCATTTATAACACATATGAAAGGTTATAAGATCAATTATATTTTTGTGTTACTCTACAAAACATCAATGAGAAAATATTGTTCCAACAAGAATCAAAACTTCTTAGATTTTCTTCATCTATCAATAGTCAACAAAGTTCACACGTCGTTCAATTTTCTGACGAATTTTTTTTCTAATGAGTAAGATATTACATTAACCATTAGATAATGAATCTTAAACTATCTATAGAATAACTATTTACCGATTAAAAATTTCTATTTTCAAGCTTTATGCTATCATAAAAATAACTGAACTTCGTACGCTACCAATCATATAGTTTGAGAATCTGCCAATGATGCCCAGTCCATTTTATACATTATTTTTATCAATATTCAGTAAAAACTACAAAATTCATGTGAGTAGCTGTCATAGATTTTCCTCCATTATAAATAGAGAAAGGAATACCCAATTAAATCAACTATTGTGTAGTGTTCGATGACGATACTAAATTTGAAAATTTTTGGTACCATACAAATCATAGAACGATATTTTGATTCTAGGAGTTGAACATTCTTTAATCAATGATTTTCACTTTAAAAAATCTATAAAAATCACTCTGATTTACTCTTCGTAATGATTCATGTAATCCATCTGTTTCCAAAAACAAATGCTTTCTTAGGATTGAAAAAAGAAAAGCTGTTATCATCATAATACTGTGACATTTGTACTTAATTTATGATTCACCTGATATAGAAGCTAGGGCGCCCTAAAATGATACAGCACGACATAACAAATACTCTTTCTACTTTATGATCTTGCCCATTGCTAATCATATTATATCTATTAGGAATAAAAACAATTCTGAAAGGTCTTTCCAGCACTTAAGATTATTTCAAAGTTATCTTGAACTTTACAATCTGAATATTCTGGCAAATTTAATTCAAATCGAGGTAGCATATATGAGACAGCACTCTAAACTCTACTAGTTTTTCAATAAACGGCATGATATTTTTATTTGTTGCCTCGTTTTCTCTTCACAAGTTCCGAAATAATTTTTGACTATTCGTTTGTTTACACTTTTGTGATCATGCATTGCAAAATTCTAGAAAGAATTTAATTTATAGGATAAGAGAATTTCAATTTACACGATTATGTATTATTAAGTATTTGTTATTGAAATTCTACCGAAAGTATCAGTGTGACCTGTCTACCCTAATCCCATCGTATTCTGAAAATTTCAAATGATTCAAATGCAATCCGTCCATAAGAACAATTTTCGACGTAGGTGGTCGTAGCTTAGAGGTTTTTATAGAAATAATAACTCAGCAAATTGATGCAAGTAATTCAAAGATTTGTAGTACATCAGATGAAAGCTATAAAAATCAAATGATTTTCTTTTCTTCTATTCAATGAGTTACTCAATATATTCATATGTCATGCAAATGCTTTCTTTTCTCATATCATTCAGCGTCAGCTTGGATCGATTTTCCTTTTGTCCTTGAAACATTCAAAAGAAAAGCAAAATATTTTAATTTTACCATCGATAATCTTCCGAATTCAGCAAAAAATATGTTGCAACTATTGTTACACACACAGTAACAACGGCAAGAATTAAAAATACCAATAACATAAATCCGTATACATAGTAAATCTACGTAGAAATGTGACGATTAATTGGTTGATTATATTTATTTATTTATTTACCTTATAAGCCCAAAATGATGTAAAAATAAAATACCTACACAAGGAAATATTCATTAAATACCAAGTTCTCTTGAGAAAAAAAAGTCTTTATTTACATTTCAATGAAAATTGATCCAAACGGTAAAATTCCACTTGCTAATATAATCCAAAGTGGCTCCATAAACCATTTCTTTTCTGGTATTGGTCTTGGCACGGCATTTGTTCGGCATGGATGATTTATTTTACCACTTATATTTTTTCCAAGCACTGTTCCAACTGCAGTTAATGGTAAAATAATAAACAAACAAATTGCTGTAACACTCAACTAGAATTTAATTTAAAATAAATACAAAAAATGAGAGACTTCTTAAAACATACCATAACAGTAAATGGTATTGAACGCGATGATCCATAATAAATTGAAATAAAATTAACAAGAAATGAAACACCACAAATTAGAAATGGAACAAAAAAGGCACCAACAATTAATTGTTTCATCCATAATTGCCCTAAATTGCAATTAAAAAAAATTAATAGATTTAAAAAAAACTGAGCATATAGCTGACCCCCCATTCGTGCATATAAACTTCCACCAGCATAACCATTAATTATCGATGATGCAGCATAAAGAAATATAGCTGTACTAAACAGTAGTGCACGTCTAAACAATTTAGAAAGAAATATTAAGAAAATAAATTTATCCTATTTAGTTTACTCTGTATAAAGATCGCCAAAAATTGTTATAACAATACAAAATATTGTTACTGTTGCTATTTGATAACCAGAACCAATCAATGAACAAAATAATATTGGATGAGCCGGAGGACGAAATACGTCACCATGCACTTGTTTCCAGCCATATTCATCACCTAAGTCTCGTTCCTGTAAAAACAATTTTGTGAAATTATACTTGATTTTAACTTGATTCTTTATAAATTCATCTGTATACTGACATTTTGTTGCTCTTTGCAACATAGCAAAAAATCTATCCCTGTTGATTGATCTGTAATAACTCGGAAGACTTTAATTTTCTCAAATGAAAAATTAGCTAAGTGTGAAAACAGACTAGTAATTACGAATTATTTGACATTTTAAATGTTGACATCAGAACATAAAATCTAAGTATCAGAATTCGAAGCAACTTTATTATTATAGATTCATTATTTTGTGAAAATTCTTCCATCGTTTATTGTGAAGAAATAGATCTGTATGTACCTGTTCGTCAACTAGTATTAGATTACTTTTAATAAAGACTTGATAATTATTTTGTCTTAAATAAAAACAAGAATTCGCCTACCATATCATCCAAATCATCATCTTTTCCATATCTTGCATAATCTTTTCGCAGCGTTCGCAATAGTATCATACTAACAAGTCCAACAAGAAATAAAACCATCATAAAGGAATTAAATATCGAAAACCAATGAATCTAAATAATCAAAGTTGTATTAAAGAAATAATAAATTGTTCTTTCTTTTTAATTTTTACTTTGTGTTGAAAAAATCCTGGATCAAGATATTTATCAAATCTATTAGCGAATAAAATAGGCGATGGTTTCCATGTAACTTCGTATGTAAATATTAATTTTGAATTTGGTTGCATTTGCACTTTTGATTCTGCTGTTAAATTAACATCCACTATTCGATTTCCATTATATCCTATATCAAATCTTTTATGTGTCCATATATAAGCAGACTTTCCTGATTCATCCATTTCACCAACAATACCTATTTAAAAACAAACGAAATGATTAAAATAGAATATTAAAAAAAGTTCATCTAGGTCAATAAAACGAACCCCAAATAGGTAAATCATCAATAAACATTTGATACCAATAATGATTTTTTATTGCATATGTAAATGCATCATAATTTTCATGTGATAATGTTATTTCGCAAATATCTGTTCTTTTTTTATCACCTATGAGTTTGGAAAAATAGTTTGTATAAAAAGTTTTTTGTTTTATACAAGAATGAAAACCTTACGTTTGTAATTAATGTCAACTCCACTATATTCTAATTCAACACCTAAAATATTTTCACCTAGTGTTTCATGGTAATGTGAGATCTCTTTTTTCGATCCACGACAAAATGGTAACGAAAAATAATTATATGTTTCCTGTCTATTATGATAAGGACCAACTGTATTCATCCACAAAACAACTTCTTGACCATCTTCATACTAAAAATTTAAAATAGAGAATTATTCAAATCAGAAAGTTTCTTATTCTATTTATACTTTATGATCATGTTCATCACAGTGAGTAATTGTAAAAATAGCCAAAAGAAAAGGAAGTAATTGAAAAATATTCATCATGGACTTGTTTTATATTGTTCAATAAAAACGATAAGAATGTATTTTTTTATTCGATTGGCTTCATCTACAAAAAAAAAACATTCGATTATATCTCAATACAAAATCTTAATCAACAAGAAAATTTTCATCTATTAGTACATTGCGGTAATCATTTTAACTAAACTTATAGTATCCGCACTCGTAAACAGTTATGTTTGTGCCAATTATACTACAATCTCTATGACATTATGATTGAGGTAAAGATGGTTTCCGTTAAAATAAGAAACAAATCGTCATTCAAAGATGGATTGCATCATTTCCTTGATACTAATGATGATCATCAATCATTAGCATGATGTGTATTAAATATAAAATATTCTCGTAAGTTTTGTACCTGTGTCAACACTGTGTGCAACTGAAAAATAAGGTCACTGATAGCTTACTATTATAGCACAACACAATGAAAAGTTAGCATAAAATAACTTTTTCTTTTATCCCTTTCTATATTTTCATTTCAAGACAATTACATTGAATAAAACTGAATGAAAATGTGACAACGTCAGTAACAACAAAAAAACAGACGAATAACCATCATCCAGATTTCTTTTTTCTAATTGGTTTATTTTGTTTTATAGCATATTTATGCACTTTGCAATTAACTCAACTTTTGAATTTCTGAAATTAATTGAGTTTCAATATCGGGAACAAAACAATATCTAATTAAATAACTATTATGATTCATTTGATTTCATGAAGGTCATTCCTAGGACGACGAATTTTAATAATGGCATTGTGTGTCTGTAAACTGAATGAAACCTTGCCGGTTTGGCACATTTATCAAAATTGAAAAATAGATTAAGAAAAAAAAGGAATGACATCATCCAGTTATATGGTTGACCGTGAAATTCTTGGTTCAGCTCGAACTATAATTGATGCACATTCTAATGCTCCATTTTCACAACAAACACAGCATAATACGTATCGTGGTTCGTATGGTACATCAAGTCCAATACCATTTACAACAACAAATACCAATCATCATCACCATGGATACGGAAACGGTTCAAACGAAAGTTATGAATCGAAAAAAGTTATAGTGGACGTAAGTTTACTTCTTAATATGCAATACGATACATAACAAATACATTTATTATAGTTGCAAGATCAAATTCGTTTATTAAAAAAAGATTTAGAAAAAAAAGATGCACTCATTCTAGAATTAACATCAATGAAGTAAATTCAGATTTTTAATTAAAATTCAATTTAATGATTATACTCTTAATTTGCTTTTCATAATAGAGATCCGCATAAAACGGACCATTTCGAAACAGCAAAATATGAAGCTTTAGTTGGACAAGAACGAAGCGCATTCGAGGGAGCTAGACGTGAACTTGATCAATATAGAACAAAAGTTGAAGGATTAACTCAGGATGTAAATAATTACTTGATCAATTTTGTTTTATTTTATTTTAACTTAATTGTTTAATTATTAGTTACGTGAAACAACAATAAAATCAGCTGCAAAAGATGAACGTATCAATGAATTAAAACGTGAAATTGAATCATTAAAAAAAGAACATGAATCACTCAATCAAGCTAATAATCAATTGCGTTTACACATGCGTGAACTTGAATCGAATGTTGGTTCCTACGAGTCAGTTGCAAGTAAATCATCATTAACGATATCATCACTACAAAAAGATGCCAAAGAAAGACAAGAACAAATAATGGAATTACAATCCCGTGTAAGGTACAGTTAAGATTAGAAATTACTTTTTTTCTTTTAGTTTAAGCTTTTATCTATATGTACTTATTTAAGAACACATATGGAAGAACGTGAAGCTAGTGAACGAAAAACTGAAGGATTACATAACAAATTACAAGAACTATTTTCACAACTAAGCGTTACACTTGGTGGAGAATTCGGACAACCAACAGCTGCTTCGTTTGATAATCTTATGGCTAGAGTAAGAAAATTTTCTCTTTCTTCACATGATGATTAATATAGAGATATTCAAGTGTTCATGATAAAAACTAGACAAGATTCTAAATTATTTCTTGTTATTCAAAACGAATAAATTCAACATGTTCTGCATTATTTTTCGAAGAAACAGTTCTTCTTTTAAAATAAATGTGGAAACATCGGATTCGCATCCGATTGTTATGTGTACTGCAAAAATTGAGTCGATTTATATATGTTGTGAATAATTCTGAGAAAAAATTTTTTTTTCAAAAAATCTCTGGGGGGGGGGGGGGGGGGGGGGGGGGGGGGGGGGGGGNCTCAGGGATGGATAGTCTGGTCAATAATGACAATTTTTTTGGATAACTCAGCCATTTCTTGACGGATCCTTCTCATCTTCGAACTCGACTGAGATATTGATGAGATCATTATGTGTACAAAATTTCATGACAATTGAATGAGGCTTTCAAAGGTTATCGTGTTAACGGCCGGCCGGACACACTGACCGAATCTAGAGTGTACTCATTTTTTTTTGAGTACACAAAAAGGATATATACGTATTAGAAAAATTAATTTTTCGATGGTGAACATATGACAAGGAGATGTTGATGATTAATTTGTGTTAAAATCAGTGAGTGATCCAATAAAGGTATAATATAAATTTCGTAGTTGTAGTTATATTGGCAATTATAATCAGTTAGACTCAATGAAATTTCGATCTAACATTACATGATGATGATTTATACTACTGAAATAAGAACAAGACTTTTGATAATTTGAAGTGCTATATGGAACTTGAAAAATTGTCTTTTTCTTCTAGTGAATTTTCAGCATTTTCTTGTTCTTCTTTATGTTATACGCTTCCAAAAACAGCATTTGATACTTATTATCTGCGAATTTCATCATTTTGCGCCGGAAATCTTTGCATCGTTGCCAAGAGTTATCGAATCTTCTTCTTGTAGTTTTCGTAGCCACAGGATACTTCTTCGTGTAAAACTTACCTTCATATCGAATTTTTTCTTCAAATTTATTGAATCTGAATGAAAAAGATAAACGTTTCTTTCTGTATTTTGATTTAAAAAAGTCATATTTTTCATTGTGTTGTTATATTATTCGAATTCTATGCTCTTGCTCCATGCCAATGACTAAGTATGAAGATACTAGTTGTCTTTTATGACTTTTAATAGTTCTGATAGTATAAACATAATAAAACTGATTGCTTGATCTGACAATTCCTATCAAGCGACGATCATTTGTGATACGATTAGCCTATATACAATTGATACAAACTACTCTAGCATTTGGTGATAAATATTGGATTAAAGACGTTTCATGGAATAAGTTTCTATAAAATAGAGTGCAGATTTTTTATTCCGAGCATAACTTTGATATTAGAAAATGAAATATACGTGCTCTTTAGATATCTGATATTAATGGTGAAAATACAACATTGAAGGGTAGACTGGTTAAATTAGAAGAAATAACTCGTTCAGTAGAAAATGAAGCTCATGCGAATCGTTCAACTATTCAACAAATGGCAAATCAATTACATGTCTATGAACAAAATGCAGTTAGCCATCGTTTACAAATGGATTCAATTAAAGCAGAACGTGATACGGCATTTAATGATAGAGACGCAATGAAACATGAACTTGAAACAATGAAGTCACGTCTTGATTCTGTACAAAAAGCTTGGCAAAATACACGTGGTGAATTAGATCAACGCGAAAATCAATACTCTTCTAATGAATCACATGTAAAACAATTAGAAAATGATTTACTTTATGCTAAAACAATGTTTGATACTTTTAAACAACAAGTTGGACAATTATTATCCGATGGTTATGTTAAAGTGGAACCGAAAGATGACGAAATTAAAGAAAAAATTCAATTACTAATGCAATCTAGTAAAGATCGCGGCGTGGTAAGTTTTTTTTTTCTTTTTTTAAGTTTTCAGACTGAAACTAAAATTCAAGTATTTTACCATTCGAATGAGAAATACAGCAACTTTTGTATTTATGTGTTACTTGTAGGAAATTTTCCGAGTAGTGTTTCTTTGTGGTATTCTTTTAATAATTAAATCGAACCTGTTTGAATTTCCATTTGATTAAAAATATTCTGATAAGAAAAAGTTAAACTTGCTCTTCTACTGTAAATCTGTAACATCAAAAACACGGACTTGATGATAAAAGTCAAATATTTCAATACGAGTCTCCATGATTTTAAGATGAATATTGAGAGATGATGCTGCCTGCTGCTATTCACACATTGAAGTAAAGTTCAAAAATATTAAAATCGCATTATGATAAATAGTGAGCATCGATTTTTAGAAGAAAACTGAATACTAAGACGTAAAAGGATCAAACGAAATCTTTCGTATAGTTTTATGAACCAAAACGTTTGTAGAAAGATACTTGAAAATTTTTATAGACGAAAGATAACTTAAATTTCATTTGTAGTCAGATTACAAAATAAAGGTCTTGTCTAGAAAGTATTGATCATTTGTTTTAGATAATCACAAATTTGCAAAATCAAAAAGAACAAATATCGAAACAATTACAAGAACAAATTGAAATCAATAAAGAAACAGAGAATAAACGCCGTCATGCTGAATCTCATTTACATGAATTAGAACATCGCCTGAAAAATCTTGATAATGATTATACAACAACTGAAGTTTATCGTGAAAATCTCAAACAGGATAAAGCGAAGTTTCTTCATTTTCTTGAACGGCTTGCAGCAATAATGAAAATAGAAAATATTTCAAACGAACTTGGTTATGAACTTAATCCAGATGTTATTCTATCACGTGCTGAACAACTAATGAAATTAGAGAAGGATTCAATTGTTGATCAGAAAACTTCAATTTATAGTTTACAAAGAAAAATTAAACAGTTAAAAGAACAAATGGAAAATAAAGATTTACATTTAGATTTATTACGTAAAAAAGTGATTGCATTAGAAGAAGGACGTGCAGCTAAAACAGATTTAGAACGTGAAATCGATGATCATGTTATGTTATCGAGGAAAATGAAAGTCAAAGTTGATCATTTAACACAACAAGTGACTGATTTAAAACAAGAAAATATACAATTAAAAGCTCAAATAACAGATATTCAAATACTCAAAGTAAATAAATAAGATATTCAGTTTATTTGATTTATTAAAAATAAAAAATAAAACTATTTTTAGAATCGTTTAGTTGATCAGGATAAAGAAATTCGACGTCTTTTAGAAGATGTTGATAAATTACAAAATATACGTGATAAACAAGCTGTAAAACTTTCAAATTTACAAGATAAAATACATTCAGTCGATGATGAGGCAAATCGATCATTACTTTCATCAGATAATGCTGTAAGAGCTTTGTCTAATGAAGTAAGATTTCTAAAAAGTTCACTTGAACAAATTACCGAACGAGAACATAGAGTAAGCATTTTAAAATTCAAAAATAAATCTTATTCACTCTAGTTCTTTTTATTATTTTAGTTACTTGATTTCCGTTCATTAATATCTCGGATGCTTGGCTTAGACTCTAAAACATTATCGATACCTGACTATGAAATCACAGCTCGTTTAGAACGTCTCCTTAGTGTCGTACAACCAACAATGGCGATACCTGTGGTGCCAATTTCTTCGTCAGCAGCAGCAACAACATCGAATAATTTCACACATCAGCAACAACCTCCAGTTGAACATCACTACCATCATAATCATCAAAATATCCATTCGGCACATGTAAGACATCGTAGTCCAAGTCCAGTTTCTCGACGATCCGAAGCCAGTCATCGAGCACGATCACTTTCTCCATTGCATGTTGGTATTGACCCAAGAACCTATTAACTGTTTATATTTACGTTGCTTCTTTTACTGCTTATTATGATTATTTTTCTTCTTGTTTGTGCTCGCTATATGTTTGTGTGTAAATCTAATTAGGGGAAACAGTATCTAACTTATTTGTGTCTTTTAATGCCAAACTTTATAACCCATTCGATTTCTCTCTCAATGTGAATGTGATTTAAATATGATTGCCTCTTTTTTTTAGTAAAAGAATAAGAAAAATGCCAAATCTATTAAAACAAGAAGTCGAATGATTAGATAAATAAAAAGTATAAGGGTAATAATACATCATTTTAAACCTTTGTAACTTAATTTAAATATCAAATGATGGACCACTCTCTTTTGTCTTGACAAATCAATCGTGTAAAAAACAAGATGTTTTTCAAATAAATATACAAAATGACGAAACAGATTCGAATAAGATACATATTGGTTCATAATCGAAGAAAACTACAGAATATTATCCAATTTTTGAATGCTATCAAAAAGCACCATACGAAAGTATATTAGTGATATCAACTCCAAATGAATTTAATGTATATACGTATATCTAGCTGAGAATAATTAATATACAAGTTCTCTAACTAGAATAACTGGTTGTTCTAGAATTTGGCGAGATTAAAACAAAATACTTACGTACGATTCTGCAAATGTACTTTCAAAATAAACAAACAAGAAATTTATTTTGCTTGAAAATAATACTTGAGGCTGCTTGTCATGAACTCAATCACATTCAATTATTTTTGAATACGGTATACTGAAGTATTTGTTCGATATATAGATAAATGTATTAAGTGAATCTTTGATTAGTAAGACTAAAAATATTGACTAAAAATTTTACCAGTAAGAATAGAACCCGAGTGAACTTCTTAACGATTTGAAACATGAAAAACTTTTCTTGTTCTGTTAAGAAGGTTGATTTTATTCTCTTCTCTCCTTTAATTTAATTTAATTGGATATTACGGTTTACTTATTTAAATTTAAAATTTAATAATTGCGAGTTTTCGTATCTCGATAAGATAGCTACTTCATCAGACATAAAAATTTAAGTCGAGATGGTCAATCGATTATTTAAAACCTTGTTTTAATCGATTTACAGCATCATTCGAGGGTGAGTAACTCCTGTGCTGAATATTTTCTTAAAAATTCCCAGTACACAAATACAAAATGGCTCATATATTAAGCCAAGACGAACAGTTGTATTTATTGTGAATCGTTTATTCAAACGCAATATATCTTCTCAGAGTGATCGTATATATCAATTCAAAAAGCTTACGTTGTCGTACATTGCTGCATCGATGATCTTGAATTTGATATTATCATAGCATTAAAATAAATTCGAATAGTATCGTTTGTGACATCATAAGTTGCTTTGGCCCTTTTACTATTATTACTGAGGCTTTGTGTCGTAAAATTATCTCGAGTAAAGTATTTAACTTCATATTGAAAGTTATTTTGTTTCAGAATAAAATATGCACTAGAAGTTATTCGGCAATTTCCGCAAGGTAAGACAACCATGTTTTCTAAATTACGTTCTCAATGTATGCGAGTAGACACACCAAAGTCTAAGTATAATACATTCTTATAAACCGAATCCTTATTACATGTTATGTTATGTTATAACAGAAAGAAAATTACGAAATTTTAGTTGTTATCAGTGATTAACATTGCTACTTGTAAAACTAGATGCATGCAACTAAATTAAAAAGTAGTTACTTTATGCTGAAGCGTTTGATTTGTACTTAGTAACTAAAAACATTGAAAACGATGTTGTTTAGAGTAAAATCGTGACGTTCTTTTTACGAAATTTGATTATTTTTTGATCTATTCTCAGTGTAACTTTTTTAAATTTCTGATAATTATGATTTCATTGTTAAGCCTGGAATTGATTTTCTGCCTAAAATATTCGCCTAACGGTATGTATTTGGTTTCTATTTACATTAATCGTGTGAGGCATTTTTTTTTATTCAATACTCTATAATCTGATATCTTTCTTTTGATATTTTTAACACCGTGTTGTACTTTGAAAGATAAGTGGTATCATGTTGACGACCTATATGGAAGTGTTAACATTTATTTTGTAATAATATCTATTATGTAATCAACAATTCTTCTTATATATTTTATTAACAAAAGTATCTATGAATGTGTAGAAATATAAATATCATCAAATTATATGTTTTCCAAGATGTTATCTCAGAATGAGTTCATGATGTATGGCAAAGTAGCTGACTAAAATGCTCATTGTGTTTGATTTATCGATAATATCAAGAACACATGTAACTAAATCTGTTACCTTTATTTGATAATTAGCTTGCATCTTACTAATAATCTATGAATACGTAGTTTGTCACTGTTGCCAACGTTTGTAAAATTTGAATATATACTACTTTCATATGACGAGTCGGAAAAGCAATGGGGCAAAAGTATTCAAAGTTGATCTTAGTGAAACTGAAATTGGTCTGATGAATCTCGAAGTCAAATTTCAATTGAACCTTGCTCATTCTAAAATCCAAGATTGGAATAGAAAAAAAAAGTTAGACCAAACAAAGATTTTATAATGGATCAGTCAACACTGAGATCTTGAACTAGCCTGGCCACGACATTGGCCTATAGTATCTAGATTGAATTGTCGCTAATTCAAACTTAATTGTGCATTCATCATCAGTTGGCACTGCATGTTTTCAATAGAGCATATTTGTTTTGTTTAACTTCATGAAAACGATCAAACTCACGTTTATTATTCAATGATAATGTATATATAGACTGTGTATGATATTTCGATTGAAACTGTTTTCATTAAACGTGAAAAGAAGGAAAATATTAAAGGTTGATGAAAAACTTACTGAAACAGTATACTTTTCTTTGAAACATTATCCGAAAAATTTAATGAGCTTTGAGAATTATGCATCACTCATTTAATATTTCGTTGTTCTGCATAATTTTTGATACGGTCTGTCAGGTGACATAAAATATGAGTCTATGCTATTATAACACTAAATTTTTAGGATCTTTCACAGAATTATCATTGAATAGAATGTGATTGCCAATTAAGAGGGGACGAATTTTTCTCAAATAGAAATCGATTTTTTGACATTTTCTTTAAGTTAATTGTATTTTCAATGCAGTAAATTTTCTTTTACATTACTTTCATCTCTTCGATTTATATTGAACTTGTATTTTTGATTTTTTTGCTTGTTCATGTTATAGTTACCTTTGGTATATTTTTCATCAAAACCTCAAAAATGATTTGTATTTATTAATAAAACTATTGATAGAGTCAAAACTCATTCTTGCTGTTGTATTTTTTTAGCGAACGAGGAGTAGCTACTTCTCAACTTCAATTACAGTGTGACCATTAATTGCAAAAACCGCGACGCTATTACCCGTATTTATGAACATTTTACCGTAACTATATTGAGACACAACCGTAATTTAGCTGTAATCAAACATATTTTTATATGCGTATGAATTTACCGACTTTTTTTCGAGATAGTGACTTTTGATTGGCTTTAATTAAAGAATAACAAACTCAAGTATAGCTGGCTGTGATGGACGATTACATCACTGGTTCGCCTAAAAGTAGAGAACGGTGGGGCACGTTTACTAGGTTTCATTTTTTATCATTCGACATTACTGATGAGAGCATTACAAATGCAATCATTGATTCGTACTTGTTTTATGAAGATAAATTTATCATTCGGTTGTTGAAGTTATTTGTGAAGTGTGCTTGCTCTTTGGTCATCTCAAAGTAAGTTTAATGAGCGATACAAGGACGATGCGTTGCTTTTTGTTCAACTATTGTCAGAAACACCTAAGACGTTGCTCAATTTTTAGAACCTACAGTTCGAGAGAAGGTCATTGAACAAGAAAATAGTAGTGCGAGTCTTTTTACAATAGGGTACAATGATTGGAGAGCACATGGTGAAAAACTATTTTGTCTTCCGGAAAAACTAAATGAAAAAAAAAGAAGAAATTTCATGACATAATCAATTTGACGAATATTATGAATTACGCAATAACTAGTATGTATTGAATCACAGAGTGCTGCTTGAATCCATAGCCTACATATTTCGAGTCATAAAATAAACTAATATTCCTTCATCTAAAAATGAGCAGCTCTGCTGCGAAGTGTCACTAATGCTAATCATCATGCGGATATTTTGAGCATTCGCGATGTATTAAAATAGTTGCTTGTTGTCTGCTCGAAAGAAAAGCGATTTTTTACAGAGCTTTCGGAAAGCTTCAAAGCAGCCATGGAAATTTCTCTGATACCAGTTTGGATGACACAGAAAATTTAACAATCCATTACATTTACGCTTGCTTGTTATTTCTTCTTACATGGTTATTACTCTCTCAATCTTTACTTTTCAAAAGATTATGTGATAATTCAGTCCGAACGAGTTGCATGACAAATAAAGAGCAAATGGAAATGAAGATCGTTGTCTCGTATCTAATATACTTGGATGTTACGATCAAGATGTATTGCTTGAGACCTTCTTTGTTCTATTAGATCTAATGAAAAATGACTGAAAAATATTTAAAATTTTGACCGGGATGAAACACACCCATTCTGAATTTTGAATCTGAAAAACTTACTTCTGTTTGTTTTTGCATGGTCTAGATTCGTACAATGTTTTCTTTGACCTTAACCATAGTTGTATACTCGAAATGCGTATGTAATGAAGTTTTATTAGAACATAGCGAAAAAAACATGACAGCAAAAATATTTTGAACGTGTCCGGCATAAAACATTCTATACATTTGTTTCGTCTTCCACGTTTTGCATAACAGATAGAATCGATTATAGTAATTCGAGAGTGATGCATGTTGACCAATTTTTACCGAGACAGAATTTGATTTTTTTTTGTTCTTTCAAGTACAAAGTGTGCAAGCTACATAGACGAGGATTATTTTATGAATTGTAACTTGTACTTTTTCTATTTGGTCAAATGACTTCTTATGCGATAAGAAAGTCTTACAGCCATACGGCAATGTAAAAAATTCTAATTACTTCAAATGTTACACCTACGGTTTGTTTTTATTAAACTAAACTACACAGATTTTTCTGACTGCTCAAAATTGCTCAGATCATGAACAAATTTTGTTTTAGATAGAAAATAGTAAAGCAACGTCAGTTCGGTCGATATGGCAAATACGACTATCATAAAATTCGGTACGCCAAGCGACGAGCCGATCACAACTGATTTGGAAGGTTGGAAAGTTATTGAAGGGTCGCCTACCATGAAAACCTGGATTCAACACACGTCAGCAGATGGCTCCATGATTTCGGGAACTTGGTTGGCGACTCAAGGCAGTTATCATGCTACCTACACGAGCTACGAATTCGTGCATTTAATTGAAGGACAACTTTCTATTACACCAGATGAGGGTGGTGAAACAGTACAACTTGGGCCCGGAGATGCATTTGTCATTGAACCTGGTTTCAAAGGCATATGGAAAATTGAAGAGAAAGTACTGAAACATTTTGATATCAAGCTGAAATAAAAGATTGTGGTAATTCAAAAACAAATCATATTTTATTCTCCTTCCAACCTTTATAAGAATATTAATTCAATCAATAACAACTTAAAAACAAAACAAGAAGAAAATACAGATTTTCCATTATTTTTGATTTTAGTTTCTTTTTTTTCGATTAATATAGTTTCTATCTTTCGGAAGATCGTTAAAATTCTTTTCTAGGCAAATTCGAAATTGTCTTTTACTTAACAGTGAAATTCAGCTCTATATTGATGTTGTGAAATATTGCAAGTGACGTGACTTTGAATTATATTAGCAAAATACTTCGTTTTACCTGTCTCTCTGAATCAAAATTGTGAACCATATTTGGAATTTTCTCAAATCAGCATAATAGAGTCTCATTGAAATCGATTATTTTTTTAATATGATTATTATTTGATGAATAGAACATTGCTTTAATTCTAATATCATAGATATGAAAAATGAAAGCTGCAGTAAATTTTATTTAAAAAAGTTTGGGAATTCCACAGAAACAAACTCAAGTAAACAACGATTCAGAACTGCTTTGACCATTTGATTGATCCCATTGTAATGCTATGTCACCGTTTAGTGGCAGTCAATGTACTTCGAAAAAGTTTATCATTGACTTGATCTAGACAGAGTACTCTCTGGATAAAGTGGGTACACAAAAATGAATGATCCTTCTGATTAAGATCATATTTATATTTATTGGTCATTCATGAGGTACTTCTGCTGTCAATTCAGAAAACTTTCTGTTCGAGTTGTATTATCATTTTATTTAGTCAAAAAGAAATATTGAATCATCCCAAGAACAATATCCTTTTTTTGGTACAACTGAAATGTACCATATGCAACTATTATAGGATGATTCCCGATAACTTTCATGGTCAAATAAAATCAGTAAATATTGTAAAATAATAGATTTCAGTAAATGCTTATCCTTAGTGATCACTGATGAAGTAGCTAATAGCACTCAAGTCGACATACGATAATGGCTGGATCTTTATTGAAATATCAGTCAAAAATTCATCAGTAACATAAGATACCCAAAAGAAAAAAATACTGATGATCCACCATTCAATCATTGTTGTTATGTTATATTGAAACATGACTTTTTTGACTGCTTCTAAAGTTAAATGCCCATTACACAGCGGCCGATTGCATCAGATGGAGAACGAGGCAGAATTATCAGATTGATAAGCACTAACGTATTGCTCACTACAAGTAATTCATTATCACATAATCGTTTGGTCCCTATTTTTTTTAAATTTTAAAATACTTCACATGCACCGCGAACAGTCGCAATCGAACATTGACGAACATTTTGATTCTGATCGAAACAAGCAAGGTCCGACGTTATAGAATCAGCCGAAAGCAACTGATGTAAATTATTACTTAGAGCAGCATAATGAAGAGGCGTTCATTGAAGAAACGTCTTAGCTGTTATCAAAGCAAAATCTCTAGCACATTCATCATGATTTTTGCAAGCGTGACTTATGCTGTAGGAAACATAGATTTTATCTGTTTCAGGTAATTGTACCATTGCATGATATCGATCATCTAGAATATAATTCGAAGAGTCAGCATTAAAAGTGACAGTGTACTCTCCAGTAGTGTCCCAAATATTCAAGTTGAATTCACACTTCCTGCCGATGGTATTTGAGTGTATGTATCATTGATGAAGAATTCTCTACTCAAATCAGTTTTATATGAACCATTCGTAGTAATACATTGAAGTGCCGAGCAAAAGACAATTGAACACACCAAAACTAGGATCAAACTTCGCAGATTTTTCATACTATAATATCTACAATAAACTTATTTCTATCATGAGTAATAATGCAGGTATTTAATGTGTAAAATAATGTGTCCTTGCCATTTTATATCCCTTCTGAAATTATTGGCAGGAAAGTGTATTTGCTTAGTAACGAGAAATAGAGTGCTATGGCAAATATGTCATGTGAATCAATGCTGACGTACCAGAGAATGCCTCATTCATACCCTGATTTGATATGAATCAGAGTTCTGATGATATACAGAACGGTGATTTACTGATACTGATCTTGTGTGAAGCTTTGCTTGTTTCGTCACCGTCGTAGCATTTGAAAATAGAAAAGTACAATGCAAGGGAATATCATCATACGTGAGCTAAAATTGAAAAAGAAAAATTTTGACTTATTTCATTCGATTTTATCATGGGTATTCCATTGCTTGTCGATGATACACTAGTCTTTGAATAATGCTTACCTGTGTATTCTGCTACCTCATCAATACTGATTAAATCATGGATTTCGCTTGTTTATGGTGATATGGAAATGAAAAGTGAAGGTCTTTATTCTATCACTATGCCATAATAAAAAACTAGCAAACTATTCTTTTTGTGTAGAAATCAATACACTAGCATCTAATCAATCAAAAGAATCAATACATTACTAGCGGCACGGTTATGAAATTCTCTAACAATGAATAGCGTTTTCCAAAAGACAAACAATCATCTCAAGAGAAAGCATCCTATCGAGTAAACCTTGGCGTCTATCAAAAAAGAATTTGTCAATCAGAAATGAGTCTTTTCGAATGAAATAGACACGAAGAAAAAAATGGATGCTGATGATATTTTCCAATTAAAAACAAAAGCTTAAAAGTTTTATCCTCAATCAAATTCAGGCTAGAAATCAGTGATGGATGCATGTCTTCTGAGCTTCAGAGACCAATACTAGCTCTTAGTCACAGAGATGACCATGAAGACATGTAGAAATTCACTGATAAGCATGTGAAAAGAAGAAATAAAGCATTCAATTCGAAAGAACGTCTAGCAAGATAGATTGGTCATTTCACCGCAATTACATCGATCAATATATTATTTTCTGATAAATTAAAGTGACAAATTCAAAACGAATACACGTATTATTACTACTATTCATTGATAATTTATTAAAACTACTGCAAGGATGAAGTTTTAGATTTGAACAGAGAGCACTTAAAATGTAACTAATAGGAAATTTATCTTTTTTCCGTTTCGTTGAGTAGTATGATAGAATTTTTCAAATATTATGATGAAATTTAAATTCTTCTGTTGTTAAGACCACTCTCTTCACTGATTCTATTAAGATCTTCAATAATTCTAAAATCTAAACGTTTAGCGAAAATTGAAAACAAAGCATAATTTTTCTGACAAAAACTTTTAGACTGATTTTTCTTTTCAAAAAATAGAAGTCTAAAATCAAGTTAACATGGAATTATCGGATACATTATTGCTGTTGAATTCGATAAAATCCTGCAATAAAAATTAAGTTCTTAATTAAAAGTGTTATCTGTGTTATTCTTATGAGAACCACCTACATTGCAATGGAATATATTTGCTAGATTGAAACTTCTTCTAACTTAAAATTAATCGAAAATAAGAAAAACTTACTTCTTTCTTTCTTGAAATATTTCGAAAGAAGCAAATTGAAAATATCTGTCTGCCTCTCTCTCTCTGAGAAATGTTCAGCTCACCACTGAAGAAAGACAACATTATAAAAAATATGCAGAATGATATCATTGTGTGTCGTTAATGAATAATTCACAAAGAATTGAACAAATGAAGTTCATTGTTATCGATGGAATTCGTTCATCGGATCCGATCTAGCAAATTATTCTTCATCACTGATGGAAAAAACCTGTCTAAATTTCAGAACATAAATCCAATTTCCATGCTATAATCTACCAGATTATTTCGAAAATCGGATAATAAATATATTTTTTTTAAGTTACAGCTTTACTCTTTCGTGCCTTTTGTATCTTACACATTCTACAAAGAAAGCGCGAGTTATTTAATAATGCAGTGCGAGAGGGAAAATGGGAAGCTCAGTACTCCTCCACACCAATCTAAAACTCTAGCTCCGGTACTAGATATATTGGCTTGTTTCGTAGAATTCTATATTTTAGAATTTCTATTGAAATGTAGCCATCAGATGTATAAGAGAAGCATACCGAAGTTATTAAATCAGTTCTTGTTTTTTCTGCGAATCAAGCTCAATTGGACCGAGAATTTTTTAACTGAAACAGAGTCAAATCAATTATACTTTAAGAAGTCTCTCATAGAACCAAACCTATCCCATCTTTGCTGCACATCAGTACGACGCACTATCATAGAGTTATGAAAACTAAATTGCAATAGTCGATCTTATCAAAATTCTGAACAAACACTAGATAGGTATAACAAAAAAATTTACCAATAGCTTTTTTATTATTTATCAGAAAAAATTAGCAAATCTTTCGTAACCTATCGTGAAAGTTATAAAGGCGCTGAATAAAAGAATAGCATTAAATCTTCGAAAATGGTAGTCGGTATATTTTAACTAGCAAGAAAATGTATAAATTTGTCGGCGCTCAAAATTTTGTTTTTTTAGAAATTCTGCGTCTGAAAAAAACAAGATTAAGAAAAAAATAAGATCGGCAATGGATTGAATTTTTATTGAAACAAGAAGAAAAATTTCGATTATGAATACATAGGAAATACATCAATCAAATTACAAGCTCGACGGAGTGTTAGAAGGTTTTTGATTTTTTTTCGATAATTCTGGTAATGTAGCGAGACACAAAAATGGTGTTATAGATCTACCCAAAATCGATAAATAATCCAGATACATCGTCTGTAATTCAAGACCAAATATAGAGTCATTAATGAGCTTTTGAACAATAGCCGTTAAGATTGTTGGAAAAAAGCAAATCGTATAGAGACTAGCAAGACTCAATAGTTGAATAGTTAATTTTAGACGTTTACGCCATACAAATGGAAGATAGACTCGCTTTTTATGGCAAACGACACGAATGAATAAAATTGCACTTAACAAGGTTAAAAGAAAATATGGCAGCAGACTATTTATGATCCAATCGAAGAGATATAAACTTTCATTCTTGAGAAAACACATGTCGCCACATCAAGATTAAATGTAATCAAAATTATTCATGTATCGATTGAAGACGATCAAAGCAGGATAGAAAAATATATTCTACGAAACAATCGTGAACAATGATAAACAATGAAATAGTAACCGTTTTTTCTCATACCACAAAAATTCGGATTGAAGATAAAAATTTGTCGTTCAAACAATGCCCAACACGCAAGTTATAAACAAAGAGCATAGTTTAAATAGTTCCAAAAAATGCAATATGAGTAAGATTGTGGCCACGCACGATCCAATTTGAGAAAAACCACCATACCGGGTTGCTGTAATGTTATATCGAACAGAGTTACAATATGAACAGCAATAAGTACATGATTCGACAATGATTGGCGAAAAGTTTGTTTCACGAGCAGCTGGTAGATGATCAAAAGACTAGTTGGAATCGAAATCAATTGAACAGGAAGAAACAAAGCAGATTTTATTGTACGAGAAAATTTTCTCTCGAAATTTTCTGACGTCAAATTACTTTCGAGAGTGTTGTTGATCTCGGGCAAGTTCGATCATAGAAATAAAAGCACGAATTATTATCAACGAAGTGTTTTCACAAAATCTACAATGATAAAAATAAGTACACGCCACAAGCTCAGTAAAATCGATACGCGAAAGTACCGCAAGTTACGCTCAAATGTGTTGGTATTCAGCACAAACTTTACTCTTCAAGCACTTTCTCATTCGAGTAGCATTAAAATCATAAAAAGCAATCTTGTTTTCTTTGTTCGAAAATTACTCAAATAAAAATATAGAGAAAGATATTTGTTTACTTCAGTGAGATACTTGAGACAATTTTTATTCAGAAAGACGAATCGTCCGACCTACAAGGAGAATATTTTTTAGAAAAATTAATTAGCTTTTGACTCGCACAAAGTGTTCGAATTTTATTGTTTCAAATACTGATGTCTTTATAGAAAGGTTCGACGTTCTCAGTTTTCTATCTCGCCATACTATCGATTTCGTCAATCAAGCACTGACGTAAATGCGACCAAGAGACAATGAGTTAACTTTTGTTGTACGAAAATAGAACCGACCAAAGCAGCTTCAGTTCAATATTTGTCCACGTTTAACGGATTCATTTGTACAATGAAAACTATCGATTACGTGTTTTGTTCACTGATTGAATAAGAAAAATGAGAGAGCAAAGAACTCGATATCTAATAGCTACTATATATTCACTTAACTTCGCTGTATTAAATCAATTCATAGTCCATTATCATGAACGATTGGTGATGATTGATAAGCAAGAATCTGGCATCAATCAATACAAATACAGCAACTGTTATGTGATGACTAGTGCAAAGAAGAAGAGCGGAAAAAATAAATGTTATAGAAAGCATGACTGGTTTAGTAATAACTCGTAAACACGGAAAATAACCATTTATCTGCTTGTTTTTCTTGAGGTTGATTCTAAAAAAATATAGAAAGAACAATGTTTTCTAAATTTATAACAATTCACATTCAACTAACACGATCTTATGCATTAAATTAAATGAAATTAAATCAAAATGAATGACAATATTTCGAGGGCATCCTAAAGCATCACCATTGAATCTTGTCTGACGTACATGAGGAAAACCATTCTATTACCCATTAGGTACACGATTCAGTAAATGGACATTTTAGAATCAATTTTCTACTAAAGAAATTCTTATTTTATACTTATTAGTATTACTTCAGAAAAGCAATGCTACTTATTTTTATCACATGCATAGTACCCATATATTTCCTTGGAGAGGCTTACCGTTATCCAGTCATGTAACTAATGAATACCGAGACACTTTCCCAAGTATATTTAAGACCGAGTTCAAAGATTATGTTTGAGGATAGTTCAATATATCTTATGTAAATTTATTTTCAATGAAATTGTTTTAATTTTCAATGTTAAAGTTAGCAGTGACACCTTAATTTTAATTTTTAAAGCAAAATGAATATTACAAACCTTTATTGTAATAAAAACGATATACTTTTCTGAATAATATTTTGCATTGTTATAGTAGATAATGGACGGTATTTTTCTTCAATAGTGATCATAAATTGCAATTGACCGTTCGAAACAATATTCTGTTTAATCATAAAAATCAATAAACAGATATGAATAGTTGGTAGTCTCTTTTTCTTCGTTTTTCTTGGTAAAGAAGTAACTAGTAGTTAAAAAAGAAAAATTTTATTTTAAGTCACTAATTTAAAAAAAGTAGAATTCAAGGCAAGAAAAGCGAAAATTTCACTTTCAATAAAAATTGACTAATATTCAAGAGGCTTGCCGTAAAAGAAAGACAGGAAAGTATTTCGAAGAATAATAATGATTAATAGAATGCTGTATTTCCTTAGTTTAATACTCTGCTATGTTAATAGCTGAAGAAGAAAGAGAACGCTTGTTGAAAGAATTTAATAGATTCTTAAATATTTTGAACCAAAAATGTTTTTGAAACATTTTGAAATAATAATTATCAGGAAACAAAATGAGCTGAAAGCCAAAAATATTGCACAATGACTAGTGAAATGGTTGACAAAAGACCTCTAGGTGTTGATGAAACAAAATGTAAAATGTAGAAAAGAAAAACGAAAAAGCGCTAAGATCGAAAAGAAAACAGTTACTGTTTTGTACAACCATCTTCAGATTGATCCAGAAAACAAAGTCTGTAAAGCAATGAAACTGACAAAATTGCAATAGCTAATTCTTAAGCATAGTAACGAAAGTATATAGCTACTAAAAATATCTTTTGAAGGAAAGAATCTGTCGTGATTGCATTATATATATTTTAGTTTCTTTTCAGTTATGATTTATGGTTAATCTATTAGATTAATTTTAAGTTTTCTCTGCATCTATGGTAATATACTACAAAGGTTGTTATCTTTATCCCACTTTTGTTATTCTGCATGTTCGTAGATTATTTCTTCATAGCTATTGTTTCATTGTTTTGCAGATTGCTCGTTCTTTCTGCAGTGGTTTCTGCTATAGGCTAACAGAGTTATACGAGCATTGCTGCATAACTAAATTTTTAATTATAAAAATAGAGCATTCCAGATGACTACGATACGAATATTATTATAGTCATACTAATATTAAAGAAATTAAGATATAGTTTGACTGCTTCATAAAACTCGTTCTGTAATTACCTCTTTTTCAAATATATACGTAGTTCTACTCATATTCACTATTCAAAATAAACAGTTAACTTAAACATACACAAGGAATATCTTCAGATATTTTCTACGTGCAAAACTAGATTGATAGGGCAAAAGTCCTCAGAATGTATCGTCATAAATCAATGAAACGAACGTTACACAGTACAATATCGACAACTTTTCTACTGCTTTACCGGATAGGAATATAAATGAATAAGAGAGTAATTTTCAAGTTATACAATTTCATATCATATCGATCTATCTATCTATCCATCCATCCATTATCGATTTTGACCAATAATTTTATAAGTGGAAACCAATCGTTCGATATTCTCAAACCATTCAAATCTCAATAATTTTGTTTTGTAACACAAAACACACCATAGAGTTAGGAATCAATTTAGTAACACGGTTAAAATCATTCTCTCAGATTTTGTATTACAAAATAAAATGTGTTTGGTTACGGAATACAATGAAATGTTGCTGTCACGCAAAAAGAAATGCACGTTATAATTAAAATCAATTTAAAAACTTTCTTAGTTTTTGGTCAAACAATTGTTTTTGTTGATTGACAAGATGAGCATGTCTTTGAAGATACATATGATCATCACTTGTTTTAACAATGTCACGTTGAAAACTATATTTACACAACCAATGATTATGTTTATGCATTGAATTTATTTTATGTGTCGTTGATCTTTCTTGAATCGGTATTGTAGAATTTCCCGTTGCTTCTCGTTGGCTTAACGATGATAAACATCCGAGATATTGTTTAGAGTTCTTTGCAAATGGTATTGAAAAATTTTCCTCCGTGATAGATGATAAACGTGGTTTATTTTTTCGAGTTGATTCTTTGTTTTGTCCAACTAATGAAGATTGTCGACTCGTCGATGATGATATTGTTGTAAACCAATCACGATTAAGACGTATTAGATCACGTTCAGCATCACGTTCATCACTTCTTAAACGTTGTAATTCTTGTCTAAATAGAGAATCATTGAAAGCTAGATTATCATGACTTTCTTCTTTCATAAGAATACTAACTAATTGTGTATAAACATATTGGAATGAAAACAAAAAATCTCAATTTCTTCGATGACAAGAGCACATTATTTTAACTTTCCAATTACTTCTTAGAAAGAAGGCAATGAAAATGAGCATTTCAATTGTTTTGCCTATTGAATATTGAGTAAAAGTAATCAATTCATGAAAACCTTCAATAATTATTCGACACTTGAGGTCATTGAATTCAGAATATACTTAAAATTGCATTGAAATGAGAAAAAAGTTATGATTACTTTCACATTTTATCGAAGAGAATCTCTATCTGTTTATGAGAGTCGCGTATTCTAACGGTCTGTGAACTGTTCATACTAAATATAGACTGATATGAAACAAAATATTAATATCCAAATATATTAACTGCAATTAAAGTTTGCTTGAATTCACAATTTTGTTTTTGTAACTTATTCTAAGAACTATTTCTCAAATTAGCACAAATAAACCTTCATTTCACTTTATCACATATCAAAATAGATAAAGCACTTATTTTTCTTTAGGTCTTATTAAAAATGAAAAAGATGCCTCTTGAAATCGTATTCTACTTTGATTGGGAAATACTGTAATGAATCCTTCTTTCACAAGAATTCATGAAAATAATCATTACGAATAGAAATGAGAATAATGTATTTGGTAATCAAATTCAAATGTTCCTTGTCAACTTCGAACATTATTTTCAGGAACTTTTTCATTCACAAAAGCAAAACTATTCTATTCCGCTTTCACTGCTCTGATTACCCAAATTCTTTAATCATGTCTTTTTTCCGATTTTTAACATCAATAATTTAAAACTAATCCTACTATACATAACAGAAAAAGTCTTGTATTATTACTTGTATCGACAATTCAAACCTCTTGGTCCAGTAAGATCTTGATTCATTCGTCGCTCATAAATTTTATTTGTTTTCATTTGATTCATATCTCTACGTGTAACATGCTGCATATTCAACACAAATTTTCCAAATCGATATTTTACTTTTCTAGCATCTTCATAATGTTGATCAGGTTTAATCATACTATTAAATTTGTTATGTTCAATTGATTTGGTTCCAATATTGTCTTTTTTACGAATCGGGTGACTTACGCTTTTCAACATTTTCTTTTTTTGGAAGAATTTTTATTGTGTGCCGATTGTGATTTCGTTCGTGTTCGCATTATTTTTTATTCTTTCCTTTCTCTCTCTCTCTCTCGTGCTGTCTATGATACGCTTTCCTTCCACTTCTCGGTGTTAATTGAAACAGTTGATTCTCGAGTAGCAACGATAATTAATCGCACCAAACGATCATCTTTTCGTCATTAGATATGATATGTGAAATAAACTAATTAGTCTAGCATATTAATGAACGAATAAGCATAACCGACGAGAACAACAATGTCAGGCTAATTTTTATAAGAACAATCAACATTGTTAGTCATGTTCATGGTAGAGTATAAGAAGTCTTCATTTTCTCCATTTGTGAAAATTTTTTACTAACGGCAGTTGTTCCATTGAAATTAGTAAGAGAGATGCCCATAACAATGATGAACGATGAAGAATATATATTTAATTATGAAGAAGTCAAAAGAATATTCGAAAGTGTACCACAATCAATTTCGATGACAAGAAAATTGACATTAATGCCGTATAATACACATTTTCAACCTCGAACAAAAACTAAAATCGAGAAAAAAGACATCCGTTCCACTAGACATACACTGCAGACAAATGAAATTCATCCTCGTGATATCCTGGAAATTCCAAATGTAACTTTTCAAATACATGTTGTTCATGTTCAACAATTCGTGCCCATAGAACGATTCATTATACAAATTCAAGAAGGATTCTATATAATGACTTGTAACAACAAATAAGTATTTTCAATCTCAGTTTCACTTTCTTTTTTTTTTGTTTATTTATCTATTGTCGCTGTGTTTTTTCTTGTATGACCAGCTGTATTATTTAATAAAAGATTGCTATGTTCTTTGTATGGGTAAGAACAACATTTGCCAATAATCATAATTCTCACCTTTAATAAGTCCGTCATGAGTAAAAATGAACTTTATCAAATCTGAAAGGGTTTCCTTTGACGTTAGTGGAAATTAAAATTAAAAAAAAACATTCTGAACTGTTGACGCATAAAGACGTATTGTTGACGACGAAAATTTTCTACCATCTGACTCAATGTAAAATAGTGCTTTTGTTTATATCAGGATCTGATAGAATTACAAATGATTATTATAAACGGAACCATATGATTATGCGTTTGAATACCATTCGAAAAATGATTGGAGATCGTCTTGTTTAATCAATTGACATTGATTAAAAAAGAGGGAATCAGTGAAGAAAAAATGATTATTTTAATATTCTTAATTGGGTAAAGTTGAAAAATAAAAGTTCTTTCTGCTAAGTGATATTTCAAAGTCTGATTGTTATGTTCGGTGTGGTGTATACACTAAAGTTTGGAAATGCTAGTTTCATCGTGATATAGAATTGATACTTAACATTGATTGTAATTCCAATTAGTATATTCTGCAAGACATGATTCCTGTTAACAAAATCGATATTTCATTTCATTTTAATACTATAATTGTTTCTTTAAATGTACCGAGATGCAATGTTGATATGTTATCTAGTGACTTTCTTAGATCAAAGTAAGATAGAAGAACATTAAAATGTTTTTATTTCGCTTCTGAATTTTGAATTTAGAGATAATTTAACTAATGGTATTGGATTTGCGATTACATAGAGATCATAAAAAAAACATTTGCAATATAAAGTAGAAGTATGTCAAATGGTAGTAGGTTATTCTCAGATAGTAACTGCGCCATTTTTTTTTAATCATCTAAGCTTCTCTTCGTGAGCTCTTTTATCTAAGTCAGCTAAGTATTTGACATATCTCACTGAGAATTTTACTTCAGTTTAACATCGATGCGTAAAATATTGACCGTACATTTTATTACTGTCTAATAGCCATGTTCATAAAAGAAGATAAACTTATTTATAGAAGTCAGGATTTAATAGTTCTATCAAAGGTTTAGAAAAATCGAAATTTCTATATAATGTCTCAGAAATATTTAAGTATTACTTTCAGTTAATTGATTATTGAAATAATTAAGGTTTTTGAACAAAATTTATTTTTATTTTTTCAAAAATTTATCATCGACAGTGGTTTTATTGATTAGTTATAAGAAAAAGTTTGCAATTATATACATTTTATTAAATATAAAACTGTAGGCTAATTGTCATTAAACTGATGTCAGAGTATTTGCCGTCATATTCAGTACTACTATATGCGATATATATTTCTGGATTTATGTCGTGCCAATATAGTCTATTTCGCTATGAAATATGTATTATTAGTAACTAGAAAGTTATTTCCTTTTTGTTGTCTAATTTTTCTTGATAGAAATACTTTTACATTATTTGTTCATTCATTTGTAATGTACACAATTGTTCGAATTCTTTCTGAATTTCGAAAGACACAGTTTTTTTAAATGAAATATCAAAGTCATATGCATATTTCAAGATTAAATATATGTCAATCTGGTAATCGACGAGTTACAATCAAAAAGGTCAAAGCAATAATGTCAGAACTTTCTATAATTTATTATGCAAGCTATGCTATATATTATGTCAGATTTGATGATAAACAACTGACATAATTTCATTTCATAAAAGATTTACAGAGAAAAAAGATGTCATTTAAGTAATCAGCTAGTTGTGCGTCGATTGAAATTTATTTAAGCACGGAACTTTAAGTTGAAAAACGTAATTAGTTATTCAATAAAACAAGATATGCCGCAGAAAATTAATTGCAAGTAAGTTTGTAAACTCTAATTTTAGAAGCTGAATAGTTAGTATCTAGATGACCAGTTTCTTTTAGCTCATATCTATAATTAGTTTTTATCAATACAAGATTGTTGATGAATAAACTACAATGAAAGCAAAACAATAGCAATTACTGTAGAAATTATGCAAAATATTATAATTTTGAATACAATGAGCAGGAAGCACTTCAAAACATCATTTTCATATTCTCATAGAACTCTTATTTAGATTAGAATATTATTTATATCGAGGTATATCTTGACTTATGTAATTATGCTTCGTATTGACTGCAAGAAATTCTTTGGTGGTGTTTGCAACATAAAACAATATAATTTAGTATAAATTTGATTTCATTTCAAGAACTTGATGTGTCTTAATAAGATTTGAAAGTTTAAAATTCGTTTTGTCAGTAACTAAAATATCAAACATGTCTAACGTTGAATGCCATGTGAACTCGAAGGATAGTTATAAATATATGCTCTTCGTCTGATATATCACGTAACTGAATACGATAAAGCCTTTGATGCATTTCATAAAAGTTTTATGTCCATTTACATTTTGCTTTAAATTTCCATCCAATATTTTTGAGAAGCGTGCTATAATCTTATATTTTATTAATTTATACTCCAAAAAAGAGGTCACTCGAAGATCTTAAGACTGCAATGAGAAGCACGAGCAAGTTCATGAGAATTTCTCATAATATTAAAAATAAATTTGTAAAAAATTCTGCTACTTTTGATAAACAATAAAATTTCCTAGCGAACCGTTTATTCTCATCATTTCCGATCTCAATTGATAGTATGCATTCAGCTATTATATATATATATATATATATATATATAATAAATAAAGACATTATTTTGAGTAGACATCGATTAATCATACTATAAAATTAAAATACTATGATTAAGTTTTGATTAACTAGATGAGCTTATTCATATTTAACTGTGAAACAAAACGACCATCAAAATATCATCTAGAGGTGATTTTCTGTAACATAGTATTTATTTGTGTTTTTGCCCTCTCCTACTCTATATTCCTACGCATTAATCAAGACTTGTAAATTAATTCATAAGATTATTAATAAAAAACAGGATACTTTTATTTCAATCTTTTCCTTACAAGCATTTTGCATAAAATGATCTTTTTTGTTTTTTTCATACTCTAAAGACAAGTATAAGTAGTTAAATCCTTAGGTTTTTATTAAAACAATCTAGTCGTTATATATTGTATGTTTCTTATATATTGTTGAAAACTAAATTATCAGAAAGTGTTTTAATAAGATAAATAGTAATAGTCAAAAATCTGAATATAAAACGTCATGCATGGTTTATGAGACCGCACTCATCAGAAAGCAAAAGGTTATTATTGCTCATTAATCACAATCAAATAGAAAAAAAACGAGAGATAGTTAGCGTGTCATCAAAAATAGATTTGTTTTTTTTCATATAACTGATCTATCCGGTTGTTTTTCTAGCATTCTATAAATTCCGTTTGGCTCTTCTTAAATAAATACAAATAATTTCATTTCATTCGATCGATCGATCATTCATGGATCGAAGTTGTCCACTTGTGTGTTGTATGTGTACTTAAGAAAAACGGAACATACATGACGAGAAAAACATATTGACTTAAATAAAAAGAAAAAAAAAGTAGACACGAGAGCTTTTTCTCTATGGTAGTCATAAAAAAAATGAGAAGAAGCGAAATGATGAATTTCTTTTTTTGTTCTGAAAAAAGCAGCCTATGAAAATATATTCTGTTATTAAATGACATTATATCTTCGTTGAAGTGAGAACTTTTATGTAGTACGGAATCAATGGCGAAAGTCACTGTATGTAAAAAGGTAGGTCCTTCTTTTCGTTCTCTCATTCGTTATATTGTGTGCTTTTTCTTCCTTTCTTTCCTTTCTTGGGCATGATCCTTTTCTTTTTTGATATTTTGTTCTGTTTTTCATCTTTTTCCTTTCTGTTTGCTACGATAATATGTGTGCGTGCATACAATAACAAGCCACCATAAGTTTGTCGAGCATGCGAAAAAACCGAGAGAGACAGACATACACTAGGTTACTATCATCACTACATAAACGACAGATACTCACATACGTGTACGAATCGTTATCGTTATACTTTTGTCATCTATTTTTATCATCTGTGTTTTATCATCAATGTATTCACTTTGAAAAACATATATTTATTTTGATATTTATTATGTACATTCATAACTTCTATAAATTAGTTCCGAGTAATTGAAGGTTTTTCTACGAATATAGATGAAATAGGGGAAAATAACGATATGGTTGATTTCTGCAAAATTCAAACTTCACCGTCATCATCAACAAGTAAAGATCCAATCAATGAATCAATATCATTATTGCAAACGAAGGAAAGAAGTAAATTAGTATCAGCAAATCTTCGACAAATATCTTACCAATCCAATCCAATAGGAATAAAAACTGATCAGGTAAAAATAATTTTTATAGAATATATATAAAAACAAAACACCTACAATGATTCGTAGACCTCTTTCGAATGTTATATAAAACATTGGGATCGATCGTTAATCGTATGGATATGATGATGATGCACGTAGCATTGCTTGTTTTTTATTAGTATGAAAAGAACTAATCGAAAGGTCAAATAATGAATCATAAACCATTCGAAATATTCTTATGATTCGCTTTTGAAAGTTTTCTTCCGATAAGAGGCAAGATAATTCTCATAATGACGATAAATAAAAACAAGAAGATTTTAACAGCTATCATAATAAGTTTTGAAAAATGTAATTACTTTTTTTTAGTTAGAATCAAAATTAAGGATGCGGAAACATATAAATAGAAGCGTTTTATTTTTCTGCACATATCAATGATGAAGTCATGTTCAGAGAGTACTGACAAAAGAGAAATGATTATTCATGCAAACGCTTTTATCTATCTCTTGTTTGAACTCATTAAGAATATATTATCGTTTTACAGCTGTAGTTAGTTTTTTAACCAGTGTTTTGTTTTGCTTAGTCAATCAATACAGAACAAGTAAAAAAATATTTGAAGTTATTGAATAGATATTCATATTAAAGAACAATTTTCTAAAGATACTATTGAGTCTATTCAAAAACAAAATTAGAGACTGAAATATAGAACATGTTAAATTATGTTATGCAGATAGACATTTTTTTAAATTTCGTTACATTACTCAGTAAATAAGAGACATAATCTTGAACAAGATATTATAGTGAATAGAGAATCGAATGATCAGTTTTACTGTTAATCATAGAACTATCTAGTTAACATGATTTTCTGTGTCAATCTAAGACTAGTCTACTATTTTAATTGATCTTGATTTACATCGTTTGATCTATGACACATAGAATTTGTTTTCTTTGTCTTTTTTTGTATTCAACTCTATCATGACTAGTAGTTATTCAATGTATAAGTGCGTCATCGTATAGTTGAATTAAAAGTATGTTTGCAGCAAATCAAAACAACTAGTCAACTAAAATAGAGATTAGATATTTGTGAGTATGATGATTTTATAGTTTCTCAACAAACAGAAGTTACGCTGTCTTAAATATTCTAAAAATAATTAGTCTATCTTAAATGATGAATGTCCCTTGAAAGCATTTTCCTAATCTAAATTAGCATATGCATGACTGTTCATCGGATAACAACCGCATATAAGCACAATCGAAAAATAAAAAGGACAAAGAGCTATTCACACTAATTCTTTTCAATCTATTCAAATTTGTACGTTCAAAGAAAACAAACGTTCATTCATTCGCTCATTAATCGATGACCCTGTCGTTTTTGTTATCTAGACCAGTTAAGCATTATTAAATAAACTTGTCAAATAAAGATTGAATCATTGAAAATCATATTTTAAAATTTGAAAAAAGTCGATTTGACTACTTTCGATTCAATATTAACTTTTCTCACACATCGTTTTTCTTCAATGAGGCGCACTGAAAAATGGACTCTGATAGAAATAAATCGATGACGACAAATATGTACTATTATCTCATCATATTAGAATCTAATTAACTAAATCATTTCAATTATTCAAAACATAACTGTTGTTTCTTGACGTACAAAGTATGCATTCACGTAAAAAAAAGAGGCTCTTTATGTACTTCGATGATTTTGCATTGTATACATTTAATTTAAAAATCAATTATAATAAACATTTATCTATTCACTGTAGAAACCAATATACGAGAGAAAAATCTTTTCCTATTTTACTAAAAATAATATTTGAGACAATGATAGATTTTGCCAAAAATTGACGATAAGTTAATATCATCTTGATAGAATAGTACAATGATAAAGAGAATAAAGAGAAAAGATTTTATTTGATACAAGAGAATTTTAATTGCTTATGCGGTTTTCTACTTTTCTATATGATCTTTTACATTTTTGTCTGAATTATAAGAGATACCTGAGTAGATAACGTTCATTTGAGGGTGCTCGTTTAGTAGAATCTAAAATTGTAATTGTCTAAACAGAAGTACAAACTTCGAAAACATCTTTTCTTTTTTTGAAGGTTTCAATAAATAACAAGAACAAGAGACTTAGGAAGTGTTAAATTTTGCGAATATTTCGGAAGTCATCTACTATTTGTTGATGATTATGGAGATATGTTTAATCATATTATTGATTTGAAAATTTAGAAAAGAACATCACTTTATTTTTGCCTTGAACTATACTGTTATCTAAGAAGAAAAGTTAACAAAATGATACCATATTATCCTAGAAATTTATTCTAGAACAGTACTCTTTAAGTATTATGAAATTCTATTTTAATATCTTTTCAATTACACATATGCTCATCAAGTAATATTTAATTCATTTTAGTTTGGTTCAAGCATTTATGCTGACATGAATAGCCCATTACATCGTAGTCTTGGTAATACAAAATTAAAAACTCGTCAAGATGTCCGTCGCTTTCGTAAATTTTTAAAGCGAAATCATAATTTATCATCAATATCTCTTGTTGATATCGAACCAGATGTAATGCGTAAATATTTGATAGATTATTTAACATCGATTCGAACACGTAAAGGTTTAAAATATGATCCAGAAACTCTTCGTTCGTATTATCTAAGTATACAAAGATTTTTAAAAGATTCCAATTATCCGTATTGTTTACGTAATTCGCCACAATTTGCACAATGTCGAGATTTAATAATTCAAATGCGAAAAGAAAAAAATAAAATAAAATTACATGATTTATCATCTTCTCCAAAAAGTAAAACCAATAAAAAAAATTCGGCATCAATTAATCCAAGTTTTATTTCTGAAAAACAACAAAGTCGAATTCAGTTAGTAATTCAGTTTTTAATCGTTCCTTTTATTTTTCGTAAAATAATAGTCAACTTGTATTTTTTTTAGTTCTTCAGAAATAATTCCATCAAAGACGTGTATTGATCTTCTGCCGTCGTCTTCACTTCCTCCACGCAAACGTCAACAAATGAAATATTTTCTTGAATCAAATTCTTCATGTGATTTCGTTTTTATTTCTCCAATTCCACGAGCATTATCATCATCCTCGCCAATTCTTTCATCAGATGCATATTTTATTTTACTTAAGTTTATTATATCATCTAGTCAAAATAAAGTTCACTATTATGAACAATTACTTGATCAATCGCCAGCATGTGGAAATAAACAACGTTTAATGTTAACAACATTATGTCATCAATGGACAGGCGATATTCGCATTATTCATGCTAATCTACGACCAGAAATAAGTTCATTTTTACCACATATACTCCTTATCAATATTCTATCCTCAAAATATTGATTTATGGTGCTATCTCACTGGAAATCTCTGTTCATTTGAGTGTATATTATAGACTTGAAAAGTCTTACAAAAAAAAATCATTTGTAATTTGTGTGATACTATTAATAGTCGATTTTAAAAAGTTGTCTTTTCGTGACAATCAAGTCCTTTTTCCTTGTTCTTCATGTTAAATATATCGAGTTATTTGACTGACTTTTTGTGTTTTTGTGCGTGCGTTTGTATATATAATTATAATATTCGATTTAATTAAATTATTTAATCTTTCTTTGTGTAATCGAATCAGAAGAAATTTCCTTTTCTTCTTTTGAGTTTTAATATACTCGTGAAGAGGTCAATAGACTTTCTTGTTTTTTTTCCTTTTTTCAGCAAAACTTCCTTGAATATAAAATGTATACATTATAAAATTTGAAAACAATAATATTTTCTCACTATAATTGTATTCAATTGATAGACAATCTTGTCATATGGAAAACTTAATATTTCAATGTTTGTGTTTTATGGAAAAGTCACTAGGTGAAAAAACTTCAATCTATATTTATGAACTTTGAAATTTTTTAGATTCGATCGTTCCTATTAAAACACGAATGGCAAATGTCATTTCATTTCAGCTTCCTAAGACATTGTTCAACATTGAAAATTTTAAATGAAAAAGTGATTCTTTGAAACGTTTTCAAATCACAAGCAGAACATACAATATGTACTGATCAATTTCTATGGCATGCATTTAAATGAAGAGCATCTATGTAAAAAAAGAAACTTTTGCTTGATTAATAGTCATATCTGGAAAATCCTACTAATCAGTTTCTACCACAAAATACTCTTCTGTTAATTATATGAATGTGAGACCGCTTACAATATTTTATCATTTTTCATTATGGTAGTTAGGAGAACTCAACAAATATGTAGATCACCAGTCAGTAAATATTATAAAAGTATAAATAATTCTTTATCATGTACAGACATCTTTGTTTTGTTAAGATAAGATATCTGCTTGAACTATTTGATTTGACATCTTAAAAAGTAAAATATTTTCATCAAACGAAACTTACTCGAACTCCAAATAGCAAATATGTAAGTATTTGATATCAAATAAATATTAGTTATGTTGATTATTTTTTAATTACATTTGATAGTGTCTAAATTCAATTTAAAGTCCTATGAGCTGAATGACTTTCAATAAAAGAAATAGTTTTCTTAGACATAAATATATCGTAAGCCAAAATAATTAGATATTTTTTTTTCTCTTAATGATTTTCTAAAAATCTTCCGCTTTGACATAAGCTTTTCTTGAACACCTACGCATATTCTATTCAGATTTTACACTTGACATACAATTCTTCTTCGTGCCAAAGACATATTTTCATCAGATTATTCATTATCAATTTTTAACGCATCAAAATCAGAGTCAAGAATGTTTATTTGTTAAAATCTTAATTTAGTACCAGCACAGTCATATTAATGAGCTATTCAGTAATAGATATTAACATGAATTAAACTTTGTGTATGATCTATTCATGTTTCTATAGAAACTAATAGAGACAATACAAATTACAATTCTTGGGAAAAGATTTACGACCTATTCTATATATATTTTACTATATTATTCTTTACAATAATTTCAGAAATAGACAAAAGAACCTCTCAGAACTAAACACATTTTGCATGATTAGTCATTGAATTCAATATAGTGACTAATTAATTGATAGATGAACAAAAAAAAAGATGATGTGAAAGAGTTTATGACAACTGACCCAATGAGTTATAGGACAGAAAATAAACGTTTGCTTACACTTTAATTATTTCTTGAGTATCTATTCTCAGAAGATCCATTTGACATTCGACATCGCATTGATTATTGTAAAGAATGTCAAGGATTAAGTCGAGAAATGCGTATGGCTTTATGATAAATAAATATTTGACAGTGAAAATACATTTTAAAATTCTATTCAATAGAGAATAAAATTGTATAAGAGGTTTCATTTCGGCTAGATACGTAATAACTGAAATTTAGATAACATAATTATCTTTATGAATATGAAACAGACTTTTGAAAACTTTTTGCGCGTGCATACTTTAAAACAATGAAAATTTTCTATTAGCTTTTCATAGATTCACTTTTACTGTCAGCAAATAGAATAATTAATTCAATTATTAAATATACTTTATTCATAAATACATTATTTAAATAAAAACGCGTTAGTTGTCACTTAGATTGAAGCAACCTATTGGTTGTGATTATTTTCGTAGAAGATTGAAAATCTTGTGACTTATTGAATAGAAAATGTTTTCGTTGTATGCAACCACCAGCTTAGGTACTGAACAGAATTTGAGTAGCACTTTGCTAATAAACTGAGATATTTCATTTTTTTGAAGTTTTCTAAAACAAAAGTCATGCTATTAGTAGGATTATTACAACTGAAAAGAAAATGGAAAATTTTGACATCACTTATGTGACCTTCTTGTTTGTGCCTCTTTCATTATCTTCTCAAAATATATGCAGTTCTCAAGTATATATATATATATATATAAGCAATTTTTATGTCCTATTATGAAAGCATTCTTGCCAAATTCAAAGTCACAGCAATCAATTGTCGAAATAGTTAATAAAAGAAAGAATAATTTTTATAATAGTTTTATAAGCCAAGCATGAAATCACAGAATATGTTAAATAAATGTTTTAATGAATGGAAAATATTTTTATTTTAACTTGTTTTATTCGAATATTTTTAGTATAAATCATCAATCTGTACTGTAATTAATGAACAGTACAGACGTCATTCTTTGACTTATGCACGTAGTGTCTGTTTTTGAAAGCAGCGATTCATATTAATGTAGCTCATAGTAGGTTTTCCACAGAAGAAGTTCGTTTAGCGCACTTTTTTACGATCATTGAATATGGATTCAGACCATCTTGATCCTGCCACTCATTATATCTTACTAGGCAAATTTAGATTTTCTACTCAATTTGATATGTGTTCAACAACAGAAGATAAAAGTTATAATGTTTGTTTTTCAAATTTGAATAGTATGACACATATACATTATAAATCGATATTTCTTTGTTGTTTTCTGATCAAAAGAAGCAAAAGATATATTAGAAAAAGAAAAGGTTCATTTAGTCAGCAATATAAATAACTTGATGTTTTTCAAGTAAATCAATATCTTTTTCAAGTAGTTGCATTTGATGTTCAAGACGTTCTTTATGTTGTCGTTTCGGGATTGTATCAATGATAACCGAAAGTGTTTGATATTCATGATGAACATCTTCCCATTGTTTCTTTAAACCTATTTTGTATTAGAAAAACAAAAGTTATCTTTACTGTATAATTTATTGAAACACACCGTCAATGATTGTTTGTCGTTCATTATCGTCCATTTCACGCATTGCTCCACGTCGAAAATAATCTGAAACATAAGCTTGATATTCTTGTTTAGCCTTTTCCATTTCGTCTCGACGAGTTTTTATATAAACTGGTACTTCACCAAAATTCTAAAACATGAAAAATTGAACACAAGATCGACAACGATTGAAATAGGTACTTTTTTAAAAACATATTTAGGTGCTAAACCACTTTGATCAATTGGAAATTTATCACCGAATCGATCATCCACGACGTTTCTCTCCGGTTTTTTTGGTACTGTCATTACGACATCAAGAGCATTTGTTTGAACGAAATTTTTTTCAGTTCTTGTACCCATTTTAGGCGCATCACGAATGCTTGGTACAGGCGGTTTACGTTGGGGAGAATCTTTTTTTGATGATGTTTCTTTTGCTAATATAGACAAATAAAAATAAAATAACAATATGTGAAGAAAACTGAAATAAAAATAACAAAGCAAGGATTTTACCAACAGAAGAAGCCATAGTTTTGCTTTCATTTTGTTTTTTCTTGAGAAATTGTTGTGGATCTGGTACTGGTTCGTCAGCATAGCCCATTGTTCGATGTTCATGTTTACCATCTTTGAATGATTCACGAACAGTAGATTTAAATTTTGATTCATATCTAATCAAAAGAAGAGTATATTCGAATACATATATTGTAGAGAAGAAATATTCTACCGAGGTGGTTTTGGTGCCTGAACTTGAACACGAGGTATTAAATTGTATACTGACTCTTCTTGTTGATGTGCACCGTTTTGTCCGACAACCATTTTTGTTAGATTTCTATTAGAAAAACAACTCGAATGAGCAATGTTACGACAAACAAACTATTAACCATCATAACACGTTGCTTTACGTTTGTTTCTTAGCAACATAACTATTCAAAGGAAATACAATGAAATTAACAAAATATGAAATGAAATTATATATTAGATAATATAATTTGCAATTTAAATATAAATTCAGAAGAAGAAAAAAAGAAAACTTGAAATTATATGATGAAGTGAGGGCGCTAGTTTACAGTGGATGCCTAATATTGTTATTATTTTCTTGACTTTATAAATTCACACATTTTGTTTCAAATTAATTTTGCATTTTATTCGTTCAAAAAACTTGATAATGAAACAACTGGTGAGCTCAAATTCTATTATAAATCTGTTTTTAATCATGGAAATTGAATTTGAATTGCAAGATTATATTAGAATTGAATTGAATTGAATTGAACACCAATCGGGATTTTTTTAAAAACTTTTTACAGGTTAAAATTTTAAAAATTTTCTCAAAAACAAAAGTTTAGTATGAGTAAGATTTCATTTGACTATGATTCTAGTTTTGCCTTCAACATTTTATTTGTCTAAGTAGTACTATCGATCATGTACATATATGAAGTCTGCTAATAGAATGAATGATCTTAAAATAGCTCATAGTATTGCAATAGCATTGAAATACATCTCTAAATTCATCTGTTGACGAGTAAATCAAATATAATACAGGGAAATATTTGTTTCATTGTTCATCAAATCATGAATTAAACTTAATTAATTCATTTAATTGAAACGTTCAAGGTAGTCTCATCTTAAAAATGAATGTAATCTTGTTTTCTCTAATTCCAGAAAAACAAAAGTCATTACCATTATTTTTCTCTTCATAGGAAATATTTTCATCTGATACTATGGGCGATAATTTTGGATTTCAACACTTTCTTTTTTTTTGATTGAATGATAGGATTGTCCATAAGTATGCGAAATGATTACCAGTTCATTCGATCTGAAAATGATTGATGTAAACTTTTCTTATAATTTTTCGATGAAAATAGTCGTTCAGACACAAAGAGTTTTTCTGACAACCATATAGATTTGCAGAATTTGATACCGAAAAATTTTATATCATCTCGTTTTCCAATCTCCCTTAGAGTTTCAAATGAAATAAATATTTAAGAAACACTAATAGCCTACCTTGTAATACGAGAATCATAACTAATAAAACATTTTTCAATGTTGAGTAATCTAAGAGAAAATTTCCTCTTCAAAATAGTCATCATGGTCTTATGCGAGATATTGAAAAGCAAGTGTCGAGCTAGATGTTACATTTACAGAAGAAAAATGAACTAATGATATTCACCAATCTTTCAGCGGCTATTGGCTAAGACAGTTGGTTCAAGAGACGTTGATGTTTGTTTTCGATTTGGTTGATATCGACTATGTTGCTTTCTACTAAACAAATTTGACTCGATCATATCATTCATTGTCAATGATATTTAATGAGCGTGTAGTCTGCATAATTCTGATGCATGCTTCTATGTAATGATTGTTCAATGGATTCAATTTTAATAAACAAAACAAACTATCAAGTAAGAGAGACTAACTGACACGAGAGACCACAATTGAATGAGCTCGATTACATTGTTAGCTACAGGAGACGTTCAGTTAAAACAAACATTTTTAAAACAATAAAAAAGCCTCAGTCAACCGCACAGTTACATGAACAATAACTAACTAGTAGCCTATCGCTTTCTAGTAGTGATCATCCTATGAGTAGTTCCTATTCGAAACAGTCAAAACTGATGGAGCTATATGAGAATATTCAATCTTCGACAAAAACAATTTCATTGCATCAAATAATAATGATTGTGGGAAGCGGAGAATTAGAAAACGCCAATATTGGTTTCCGAAAAGAAGTGCATGGCGATCCTGATTTTTTTCCATGTTCACTTTCTTTCATAAATTGTCTTACCATGATTTTTACTTGAATACCCTTCAATGAATAAATATAGTTTACTAGCGAGCCCCTGTGCACAATGCACGACTATTTTTATTTTATGTAAGGATGTATAGTTAGTTAGTAATTGTGTTTAATTGCAATCGAAAGTCTATGGTGCGGCTCGTAGAAAGGCTGCTTAGTAATACTACGTTAATTTGTTCCCAATATATCTACGATATCTACAAAAGTATATGGAGTACAGAGAAAGTTTATCTAGAATATTTAGAAAAATTATCAGGAATATAGCAAACCTTACCTACAGTATATACAAAATCTAGAAAACTTCATGAAAAACTATTTTTCTGGTTTTCTTTGTTTTACTATTTTTCTTTTCTTCTATAACCTGCACTCTGATAGATCCCAGTGAATGCACTCGTGAAAAAGCATCATAGAGTTGACCATGACTGAAAACGAGTTGTGGCAGTAGTACTCCCAATCGATTGAACGTTTGTCCGTGTGATTTATTGATAGTCATAACAAATGATAGGCGAATTGGTGCCTGCGTACTTTAAAAAGCAAAAATGTATCAGAACGTAACAAACTAATCCTTGGTATAAGAGTTCTGTTCCCTTAGTTAGATCTTGTCGCAACTTCGCAATCGACTGTGTGAGTATATAAACGTCTCACAATGAGTCGGGGACCATTTCAGAGCCCTCGATTCACATCTAAATTTCAAAGAAGCATCGCTATTGCATTAGCCTTCAAGTTGAGTTTATGAGGAGGCATCCCTGATGGCGTAAGGCTATTCAGAAATTCTGTTGGATAATTGCAGACATCTTCGCCGTCCTCACATTCAATGTCATCCACACTTGAGTACACTGTTTCTACTCCAGGTAGATGTTGAAGTACTTGTTCATTCACGATAAGAGAATGCTCGGTTTTGGGGCACAGAACCACTCTGTCACACAAATTCGGAACATCTTCCAAAGAAATATGGCTGCCAAATATTTCACCAGTTAAATAACTATCTGATATGCAGCCTGTAGGCAAATCAATTTCGTCATTTTTCGGTTGCTGGTAGTCCACCGTTGTCAAGCTTAATAAGCCATTCCAAGAATTCCTCCTCGCTTAGTCCTGTTCTCATGTTCTTGCTTAGGTGGATGGTTTTGAAGTAAGGCCAGAGTTCCGAGCTTTTAAGACTTGTAAAAACCAGTTGTGACCGGTTAGCGAATCGGACAACCGAAAGAACTTGGCGAAAATCTACCCCAAGTACCCCAACTTTTCCACCGAAAGGTATATTTATATTCATTATATCTCTAAGTAAAATATCAACAGCTTTAAGTGCATAGGATGGGGTCATCAGTGTTTCGTCCCAAATGACGACGTCAGCCTTTCCAATTGTGTCGGCTTCCTTGGTGTTTGGTCGAATATTGGATGTAGACGTCTCCAAGAGTGACACTGGAAGTTTAAAACGACTATTAACCGTTCTCCCTTCAGTCAATAAATTCGCAGCAATCCCGGTCCATGCAACTGTTAAAACACTGACACATTTTCCTTTGAATAAATGGCACAGAGTATTGTAGAGATAAATTTTTCCTGTACCACCAGATCCATCTATAAAGAAACATGACCCAGTCGTTGCTGATCGTCTATAATACGCTCCAAGTATCTTATCCACTGCTAAACGTTGGGCTTCGTTCAGTGTTTCGTACATTTCCTGTCCGAAGCGAAGCTCTTCTTCTTCTTTGTTGATGTTTTTTGATTATAATGGACAAAACATGGATGGTATTAGTATGCCAAAGTCGCTAAAACTTCGCCCTTGTTCTGCCAACATCGCTTCAATATCATAGAGCACCATTGCTTCTGCTGTTTCAGCGTCGAAGTAGCGCATAAAATCCTCGGCTGTTAGCGTTAGTGATGGATCACACTAACGCTAAACGAAGATTAATACGTTCTTCTAGTCTATCTAACTGGTAGGACATCTGCCCGGATAGCAGAAGGTATGGGTTCGATCCCCATGAAGGTCATATTTTTCTTCGTTCTGTCACATAAAATCACTGACACTGCTTGTCTCTTTCGCTCTTTATATATCTCTCTTTCATTCCTTATATCTTCCTTTCATTCTATACATATTAGAGCTAACATCGGCGATATTTATTTTGAATGAATTCTGAAGATCCACCGGATTGCTGGGGATACAATGCACAAGGATCACACAGAATGGTGTTTTCAGCTGTGATCCCATCTGAGAGATTACTGCTTCAGCCATGCATCTCTCATGTTCAGTGTCCTCGCATAATAGACCTCGTCTTTTAGCAGCGTCCAGAAATGTCTGACAGAATTCGTTATCTACTGTCTTCAGCTCCTCAAAACTGCAGGCACCTGGTGTATGCAATAGTAGCAGACGATGATGGTAGCGTTTTGTATCTCTCGGACTAACGGAATACAGTCTACCAATGACTTTTCCACCTTGCTGTCGACGCTTCCATTTGTTTCTCGGTCGAAAACGAAGTGATTCAGAATATCATGATACAGATATCTTCTGGCATCTAAGTTGTCACGATTTAATTTGAACCATGCAATGAGGGTTTTATCCTTCTCAGTTGCTCGATCCAACGCTTCTAATTCATTTCCTTCTGCAAAATAGACGGATTGCATAATGGGAAGATGAATAACTAATCGGATAATAGAATGAGACTTGTCATGTAGTGGAAATTCAAAGAGTCTCCATACAGCTTCTGGTGCACCGGCATATCTAGCGTCGAGATGCGCTTTAATTTTATTCCATTGCAGAGTTTTGGCAAAATTTGCACAGTCTTTAACAGGTAGTTCCAGTTTAATATTAGCGCAATGGTGTCCCTTGTAAACATATTTGAATAGATACTTGATACTTTTCACAGTTGCACAGACTTTCACATTAATATGAGCATCCCATTTCATGAGTAAGCGTGGGTTATACAAAATTACCTTTCGGTTGTCAACCTCATACTTTCCCACCTTGGCAATGACTTCATTATCTCGCTTTCGATATCGCGGATAGCCATCCTTATTTGGAGCGGTCTCATTCCGCAACTCTTTTGGAATTTCCTTAGTGCACTTTCCATCTTGCATACAAGGGGAATTTTTGTTTAGTACTCCATACGGTCCATGAATCATACGACTCTTCACCATTTCATACAATTGAGGATTTTGGTCAGCATCTGGTATTTCGCTGGATACGATACGGTCAACGGAATTTCTATCCCTCGGTTTGTTTTCGTTCGCCAAAATGATGAGCATGTGACAATCAAACAATCCTCATTTTTTAAATTCGATCACAAACAAATGAGCCACTGTACGTCCAAATATATGGTTTCTGACGATATCATCAATCAATTGTTTTAATTTGAGTTTGAAAACTCTTTCAATTAGGTCTAGTTTATCAGAAGGAGTTTGACCGAAGGAAAAACTGCTCTTCAATTTCTTTCCATCTCGGATTGCACGTGAATGTGATAAATAAGTCAGGTTTTCCGCATTTTCGGACGATTCCCATTGCATCTTAATAATTCTGCTACATTGCTCTAGGACTTCCTTAAAAACTTGATGGAAGAATTATTATTCTTCCGAGTTCAGATCCTTGTATGGCAGCGTCACTTGTTAGATGATCCATCAGACGTTTGTACAGTTCTACTCGATGCATCTTCTGATATTGTCGATGAAATACAAGGCGGTTTTGCTGAGTTTTAACGTATGCATCCACAATATACTGCTGGAATACTTTTCCTGCATGATGTATAGCACTGAAAATTTGACGAACAGCCAATCGATAGCTGTAGAATTGAAGCATCGATACTCTTTTCCGATTTCGCGGTCTATCGGCTTTTTCCAGTTCTGGATGCCATCCCTCGTCTCCACTCTTCTTGCGCAACTTCGTGCATCATTTTGAACGTGGTAGCAAACTAACTGATTCTTATCATTACATTGCCTATGATTTTCATGATAGTTCCATTGCAGCGATAATTGCCAACATTTCCCATTCGCTCTTGTAAGGTCAGAGCCGAATCCAAGATGTACTGACCACCGACCACACTGTCGTCGGTGTCACTGACACGCCGATTTCACTGACACCGACTTCACCGACTACGCTGGGAATACTGAATAGTTCAATCAGTGTTCACTGAAGCACTGAGGGCTACTGAAGTTCGAGACACTGCCCGCATCGATATCGGTGTTCACTGGAACACTGGTTCACAGGCGATTTCTGATTAACTAAAGCAATATAGACTACTGTCGTATCTTCAGGAAGAAAAATACAGATGAGAAAGAAGTTTGCATTGAATAAGACAACATGATCTGGACAACTTCTCAATTTTGTTTCTTATAGTTGACTATATTCAAAGTAATACTTTCAATTCATTAATACGTTATCATTTTTGCTGTTACCATATAGCATCCGCCATGCTTTTCGTATTTTCTCCTTGCATGCTTTTTATTCATTCTTTCTCGTCGCTTCTGATCATATTTCTGATCAGTGTTTTCATTTATTTTAACCCTTGCTGGCGTAATTTCAAGTGCAAGTGATTATATTCGACTTCATCTTTTTATTCTCTCGTCCAGTGCATTCCATTACACAATTGAAAGAGAGCAAAGAAATTATTCAATTCATTCGTTCTTTTCCTCCGATCGTCTAATCCGATAAATTTTATGATACAACCGAACAAGAAAAAAGAATACTGGACGTTTTCTTCTTCTGCTTCGTCCAATATACCGCCCCCCCATTATAGAAGACCCCTGAAGAAAAAGTTCGCCCGACATAATAGAATACCCCCTTTAATTAATCAGGTTTTTCGCAAATTACGAACTTGAATTAGCGTTTTTTCATGAAAGTATGTCTGATTTCTTAGTATTTTAAGATGAAAATATCAAGAGAATGTGTTCACAATTATAATGACACCCTTAAAACACGGAAAATCCTGATTGAAATCCTGAAAATCACCTTAGTTTTCTGGAAAACCTTCTAAATTAAATATTAGAAAAATAGGCGGTTCTCAATACAAGACCCCCCCCTCTCTGGAAATTTTTTACGCTGGAACATAGTAGAAGACCCAGGGTCTTTTATTGTGAGGAGGGAGGGGGGTAGTAACGATACAAATTTATTTTACGTAGTTTTAAATAAACATCATGAAATTGTCACTGTCTGTTGGCGAATTCAACAGAACCAATGATATAAAATTTAATTTAATAATTTCAATATGAAAGCGACCTAAACTACACAATCTAACTTAGATTCTATTTGTTGCTCAGAATAAATAGGTTGATTCAATTAATATTTTAGTATTTTTAGATTTATGAATAAATCTGAATCTTTCTTGAACGTTCGCTCCAGAACAAGAAGTTTTACGTAGTACGCCAAAATAATGAAATACATTGTTGAGATGTTTCGAATTGAATGATCGCACTCACGTATCCGAGTAAAATAATAAGTCATGTATTCCATCGAAGTTTGTTGTGTTATTTAAAATTATAGATTCTTCAAGATTTTGATACCTGTGGGAAAGATGTATACTTTGGCAGATGCAATGCTTCAGTGTCCTAAACTTTAGAGACCCTTAGTGCTTCTGTGAACACTGATTGAGCTATTCAGTGTTTTCAGCGTAGTTGATGAAGTGGGTGTCAGGGAAATCGGCGTGTCAGTGACACCGACGACAGTGTAGTCGGTGTACTCAGTGGTCAGTTTTTCAGTGTTTATACCGACACTGCACATCCCTACCCCTGGATGAATCACACCGATTCGGTGATAAATCTACCCATGAATTTGAAAGCAGTGCGGTCTGCGAGTCGTTGGTGCAGCAATCTGAGCAGCCAATGATGCAAATGCCAGAGCGCTACTGTAATTTCGAATATGTTCTCTCAAATCTCTACTATCCACATCTGCAATTTGCAGAAGGACTTTCATTTCATCTGGATATGGCAACAGCGGAGGAAGACCAATAGATCCATAGTGACCACATTGCTTATATTTCATCTTTTCTCCCAGACACAATTTCACATACCGAGGTAACCATAAGATACAATAGTACTCTCCGTTTCAGCATGCAGAAAAGATTCAACAGGTTGTTGACGACTCCGATGACGTAAGGCATCCAGTTTTTTTTCGATCCTTCGAACCCTCTTTGTTTTCAAGTTTTCGACTCCTCTGACGTCGCTCAGCATCAGTACGCAACCACTTCTGCCTCACCATGCTTGACTCCTTTGCACGTCTTTCCTGAATCCACTCCGATCTACTCAGCAATTTGCCTCGAGGACATGTTTTGATTGAGATTCACTACTGAAAATACTATTGATAGTTTGGTCAACATTCGCTGATGCAGCTATTGATATGGACAGAACACTAGTCAAATCGGGAAGACGCTCCATACTTAAAGTAGGTATCAACACCCAAACACATAAACAAATGATTCTGTTACACTTTCCTACACTATTTATATTTATATCCTTGATCAGGTCCAATCTGATTGTGTGACGTTCTATTATGAGTGTTCATACATCACTTTATCTTCTGACTTTTCCTCTTCAACATATATATTGCCGTTCATGTGTTTATAACTAAGATTAGCTTGTTGCTTATTCTGTTGACCGGAACATATATCATCCTCCACGAATATCTTTTCTGTTATTCTCATCTTTCTATTGTTATGTCTATCTTTTCCCTTTCTCTCTCTCTCTCTCTTGGCTGCGTATATAAACGCGTGTTGTGGATGTAAACGAGGCGATTTGTGATATGAAGAAGCTAAATAAAGCGTAGTTCCATCAGCGCAAGCATCTCTTGTATTTAAAATCGTCACAGATTGGTTGATTAGTGAGGATCAATCAGAATCGATGTGGCGGTTCCTTCTTTAGTGATTGATCCTGGCAAATCGATTCCAGGATTGAATTTGTAGCGGTCGACCTTCTCTCTCTGTTGATATGCTCAAATGTGCGACTCACCAAGAAAATAACCGAGAAAATCCGAAGGAGGAAAGTGATGGCTCCAAGCATCAAAATTTTCTACAAAGTGCTGAAGGTGCTGAAGGTGCTGAACGGGTGCTGAAGTTGTTGATCAGGTACTGAAGTTGCTGAGGAGGTGCTGATCAGGTGCCGAAAGGTGCTAAAGGTGTTAGTAGTTGTCGAAAAGCTACAGAAAAATAAAGGAGTAGTATACGACAGGATGACTTAATTCTCTGTTAAACTCATTGTTTTCCCACAATCTTGTTGAATACACTAATTCCACAATCAAACCAGAGGTGTGCCAAATTAGAAACCTGACAACTAAAAAGCCTGCACTTGATGTTATTAACTTAAGAGTCATCGTTGAATTCCGATTATTTTCCAGGAATTTACTGTGTATTTTATGTAAAATCAATTTTTAACATCTGGGATACCTACCCCTCAAGGATCGAAAAAACGTTTTGTTTTAATTTTAGTGCGAGTAGTTATATTTCGATAACGTTAAGTTTCCTGATCACAAATATCGTCTTAGATTTTAAAATTCATTGGATACTAAGAAAGAGCTGCAGCACTCTCGGGAAGACTTAAAAATAGCTATTGGTCCAAAGGTCCATGAATATTCGTTCTATACTGTTTGAAAATAGACCCCTTCGATACAGAATGTTTTTGCCTATCAGAGTATATAAGAACGGCTTAGATATTCAAATTTTGTTTTATCGATAAATGCTAAATACCGCCCCGGTTGCGTCATGCAGTTAGAAATAATGCTATTCTCTATTTGATAAAGTGTAGCTTTTCGAAGTTTACCAGAAAGATTTTCTTACCGAATACGTAATTGAATGTGCTCTTTCTAATAAAACTGCTTTCGAATTAAAACTCGTTGTAATGTGAAACGTTTCCGCTCCAATACTACTATTGGAACTGGATTTCTGTCATTTATGACCGATATTTGATAGTTTGAAACAGGTTAATTTCCATTTGACTGAATTTAATTATTATATTTGTTTTAAGCACAAAATCTAATTCGATTTAATTATTTCTACAACTTTTGTTTTCGGTTAGATTTTCACCCCTGGTCTCCGTCATGGATAATGAAAAATAAAAGTTACTCCAAAAGCCATGTGGACAATGTTAAAAGTTTCCAAACTTTGGGAGTGATGTTTGAGATACAGTAGATCAATTAATAATCAATCAAATAGTTGATTTGAATAAAATATTTTGTTTTCATATGATCCTGAAGAGGACCAGACGTAAAAATCTGACCGAAAACAAAAGTTGTAGAAATAATTAGATCCGCTCAGATTTTGTGCTTAAAACAAATATAATATTTATATTCAGTCGCATAGGAATTATTCTGTTTGAAACTATCAAGTATCAGCCAAGCAATGACAAAAATTCGATTCCAACACTAGTATTGGAGCGAAAACGCTTTACATTACATCGAGTTTTAATTTGAAAACTCTTTCATTAGAAAGAGCACATTTAATTACGTGTCCAATAAGAAAATCTTACTGGTACACCTCGAAAAACCACTCTACATAAGACTGAGAAAAGCAGTACTTGTAACTCTATGACCCGATCAGAGTGGTATTTAAAATTTATCGAGAGAAAAAAGATTGAATATCTAAGTCGTTCTTATATATTCTGATAGAAAAAAACATTGTGCATCGAACGGACCTATTTTCAAACAGTATTAATCGAATATTCATAGATCTTTAGGTCAGTAACTTTTTTTAAGGCTCCGAGAGAGTGCTTCATATCTTTCTTATTATTCGATGAAATTCAAAAGTGAGGCAATACTTGTAATCAGAAAGCTTAGCTTTATGGAAATATAACCATCTATATTAGAACCAGAACAAAAAAGGTTTGTCGACCCTTGAGGGTGAGTCCAGATGTTAAAAATTGCGTTTTTATAAAATACACAACAAAATTGTGGAAAATAATCCAAATTCAATGATGATTTTCAAGCTAATAAAATTATGTGCAGGTTTCTTTTCATCAAGGAGTATGGGATTTCGTACAATGCTTTTTTTGATAACTCAGAGAAAGCAGAAGCTGTACAAATGCAATGGTGATAAAATGAAAAATAAACTTTTGAAAAATAATCAGAGTTCATTATTAGTTCTCACACTCATAAAAGAAGGATCAAACTTTTTGATAAATCATTTTGGAATTTGATATACGGTTACTTTCGCAGGATGTTTTTCTTTTTCTGTTGGCTTCTTTATTCTGAAATAATTCTCATTTAGATTCTGTGAATAATTCAAAAACAAAGTCACCTCTACTATTGAAAATGAAGGTAGTTTTCCCGATTCATTTCCATACGACTGAAGTAAATCTCACGATAGAAAAGGCGCTGCGGGTGTTGAAGGTGCCGAAAAGGTGCTGAAAAGGTGCTGGGGGCTCCAAACCTGCACTTTCCCGCTTGGAAAATCCTCCTTCAACTCGGATTGGTTGAAAAAATGGGTCAATGGGAGAGGAACCAGACAGACACTCAACATTATTTATGATTATTATTTTAATGTCACAAGAATTTTTCATCGCTTCATTTATTTGATAAATATTATATTTTTATTTTTATGGCACTTTCCTTTTTCTTTCATGTTCTCTTTTTTTATTTTAAATAAACGATATACAAAAAAGAAAAGAAGCAACAGCATATTTTTTTTTGTTATTTTTGCCAATATAGTTTTAATCTTGCAAAACAAAACAGAAAAGACACACACACACACACACACACACATTAATATATATATACGTATTATAATAATGGACGACTGAAACTGTTTAAAATCACAGTGATAAACGCAAGATATTAGAAACGGATATACAAACTAATTAAAATATTGTTCTGTGGATGGAATAATTGCAAAAAAAGTGTATCACACAGATAATTTTTAAAGAAAAGAAATGTTTGAAAGATAAACAAATAAAAACATCAAGGAAATAGTGCTGGACGGAAGAGAAAAAAAGCAAAGAAAAAAGAAATTCATCAAAGAGCAAACAATGAGGAAGACCCTACACAAACATGTATATACAGTGAAGAAACTGTTTTCTGGTTATTTAGATAGTTTTAAATCAAAAGCCGTTTCAAGTGATGGTAACTTTGTTTGAGTTAAAGTTTCATTTGTAAGCCACCATGATGGTCTTTTAATTCCACGACCTTTTACACTAAGAGACTGTTGGTATACATCTTCATCAAACAATGAAGTAAATGTTGAAGGTTTACTTGGATAGTCGAAACCATCGAATGCATTTGGATCGCCACCGGCTGCTGCTGCTGCTTCAGCTGAATACGTTAAATCTGATAATGCTGCATTAAAATCATTAAATAAATCTTGTTCAGTTTTCGTTGATAAAAGTGGTTGAACATCAATATCATTTGGTGTCTCACATAGATAAGCATCCCAATCGAATGCAACTGAATCTAATAAAAGCATATCTGTATCATCTAATTTTGTTGACATAAAATTGTGTTTTGCTACAACTGATGACATTGATGATGGGGAACTAGATGGTGACGGTGTTGAAACTGATGAAAAATCATTTATTTGTTGCTGATGATAAAATGGTGGAACTGTTAATGCATCTGGTGAGGATATCGGAGAAAGAAAACTACTTGGCATTCGAACGTAGGATGATGATGGACGATCGACATTTGCTGAATGACATTGGAGAGATAACGGAATTTTTGATACAATACATGGAAGCATTGAATCGGTCCATCCTTCTGATTTAATACAATTATTTAGTTTCATCATATTGTCAGAATTGTTTGATGATCGTTTTGATGGACGTGCACGTTTAGTAGGCGATGAATTTATTGATCGATCGTGCTGATGATTGATTGCGATTTTATTTTGTGAACGTTGTCGTTCATAATCTGAAGATAATTTCCAAAATCCACCTTTGCCTCCAGCTTCTTTTTTCGTACGAGGAACTTTAACAAAGCATTTGTTCAATGATAAATTATGGCGAATAGAATTCTACAAAAATTTTAAATAGTTATCGAGTTTAAATAATTAAATATCTCTTTCTGTTCTTTTTTTAAACAGCTAGGAAAGAAAACGTTATAAGGAAGTCGAACAAGGTCAAAGAAAAAAGAATACTGTTCTTATTTCCTGTAGGGTGAATATGAATCATTTCCATATTTTCTTTTTTTTATTTCACGGACATTTTTCATTAAAAAAATAGCTCTACTGTTTGCTTCGTATTTTTTTCTCATAATATTTAGAAATTTTTTTTTTAATGTTCTCATCTGCTATAAGTAGTTAATAATTCATGGATTGCATTTTGAAAATACCTGCCAAGTTGGTTCCATTTTTTTAAAATAAGGAAAGTTTTCTGCGACCCATTCATAAATCATTTGTAATGTCATTTTTTCATGGCCCGATTGTCTCATAGCTAAAAGAATAAGTTGAGAATATGAATAAACCGGTTTTGCTTGAGGATTCGTTTTATATATTTTCCATTGTTCATCACCATCGTCATCATTATTTAATACTAATTCATTGTCATCATCAATATCATTAAGATAAACAGCACCAATATTTGATGAAGATATAGTTGCAGACGTATTCGATAAAGGTTGTTCTTTACGTTTATTATTTATTGTATTATTTCCTGAATTATTTGATGATGGTGATGATGATGATGTTGACAAATTTATTGTTGGAATACTTCTCTTTAGTATATCTATATCATGTAACCATGAAAGATTTGTTAAACTATCATCAAAACTATTGACATTTGTTGTTGTAATACGCGATGGTGTATTTGTATTATGTGCTGTTAAAACATTTGCTGTTTCAGTTGATTTAGTCATTGAATTAGTTGGGGATGCCAACGTGTAAACATTTCGTTGGATTGTACACTGTGTCATTGGCGATCTAGAATTTATATACAAACATAAATTGTTTTCAATTATTTAGTAGAGTAAGAAAAAATTTGAGAAGAAAAGTCATTTTTCCTCAGCTAAACATAGGGGAGAAAATGTTTTGTAAATATCATTGCACAGCTATAGTACCATTCACCTGCTGTTTTTCAAGAGCTAAATTGCTTTTTTCAATTTTATTATATTCTTTCTTTTGTTCAAGGATGAATACGTTTCTGTCTTGATGTCATAATATGTTTATTTTTCTTTTTTTTTGTCGATCTCATTCGATGAATGACAGACAGTGCCACTAGCTTGAAGTTTACGCATATGTGAATTGAACAAGTTTCTCTTTTCTTTCTCAAGGACAGATTAATGAAGTAATTTGATTCTCACCTTTCGCGTATGATGTCAGATTCTTTTTTTCTTTTTTTGAGGAATGAACTATCATGCAAAATCAAGAAATAACGACTTACCGACTTGTTCAGCTACGTTATTTAACATGGGATGAATGTATAACGCAATGTCACAAAGCTCTAATGCATCTTTATTTCTACATAATCAGTTTCTGAACAGAGAGCGAGAAAAAAGCCGTGAGAAAAAAGACCTTGAGTTTTTTTTTCTAAGTGTGCGAACACACGCATCGAGAAGCAATTATTGCACCCGTTTTTGTCATTCTCGTCGGAAACATTAGCAAGCAATACGAGAGTAAAATGAGGAGAAGGTGAAAAAAGAACAAAAAAGGTAACAACAGGAAAATCTCACACTATCGGAAATATCTGGAAGGCATGATTGCATGAAATCAATTATTTGAGCTAGTTCTAGATTTGAGCAAGCACGTACACACATACTACCTTTTTTCTCACGATGGCCAGATGAGCTCTCGACTTTACGTCTTTGTTTCTTCTATTCTCATTTTTTTACATTAATGTAGATGGAGTGAAACGGACGGACACAGAATAATTTCTGAGGTGTATGTGTAAATGGAAGAATCGAAATTCTTTTTGCTTTCTTTCGATACACACAAAAGGAGAGAGAGAGAGAGAGAGAGAGAGACAGTAAAATTTCAAGTCTTTCTTATTCTTCTTGTCGAACGTATGTGTTCTCTCTGTAACTCTCGTCTGATGAGATCGATGATGAGATGTGTATGAGTATTTGTAAAAAGTAACAAACAAAGCATACGGTAAAAAAAGAACAGCACATTCTTAAAAAAAAAAATAAAGCCGATATGAAAGAAATGGAAAGAAGAAGAAGAAGAAAAAGTTGTTGCCTGCGGTTTTCACATACAAAAAAATGATGATGAAAATCAACGGAAGAATACCTGCTGTTGACACCAACATGAAAAAAGAATAATAGAAAAATCATAAATCACTGGTTTCACTTATCTTTTGAATAAAAATTGATTACACTCTATCACATTAAATCTTCAATGAGTAAATAAGTGTAACCTATTCTTAGAACTTGTTCTTGTCTGTTTAATGCATACATTTGCATATTCTTTGAAAAAAGAAAAGCGAAAGAAAGCAAAAGTATATGTGAATTTATTCTGCCTCACACAAGCAAACGTTACTTGAGACACAAAACTCTTGCGATGATGATGATGATGATGATGATGACTGACGAAAAAGAAATATGTATTTATTACATAAAAAGCGAATTCGTTCTCTTTTCGCACACGCTTTGAATAAATGTTGAACCTACCTGATAATGAACAATCATCAGCCTTCACAATGATGCAACTTTAGAAAGAATCTTACATGTTCTTTTCTCTTTCTGTCATACAAATGATTGAGAAATGAGAAAAAAAAGTGAAATTCTAGGACGGCAACAATGGTAACTTGGACTCAGAGTTTTACATAATCTTTCCTTTTCTTCTTCTTCTTCTTCTTCTTTTCTTCATACCTGCTTGTCTGCTGCTTGCTCTAATGTATATTGAGACATTCAACTAGCTGCGCAAATATTCATAATCAACTTTCATTTATTCATCTATGAATTAATGCGTATGAACAACGAAAACTTGTATGTTTACTTAAAGAAAATAATAAGAGTACCATCTCATTTGTCTACACGACATTTGTACGATTTTGTTTGATTATACGTATGCAAGACTATATCATAGTCAATGGCCGATTTTAATAATCAATTAAATATAATGTATAAACTACGTAAAAGACGACATGACTAAATTTACATTTCATACATCTATGATTGTATCCACTTTATCCTTCTATTTTTATGACTTTAGCAAAAGAAAAGAATCAATATAAAAACATGATATTAGAATTTCATTATCATAAAATCAATAAAAAATTTTGAAATTAAAATGAGCATGTTCGGTTTTGTCAGTCGTAATATAAAAGTAATCATGAACATATTTTTTTCATAATCTGTTAAGAAATAATAGGAAAACAAATAAATTTATTCATTTGGAGCAAAAGTTACACATCAAAGCGCTAAAACAAATGAAAACAAAATCGAAGCTGACTGACTGTTTTGTTCAATCTGTATCATTTTCTACTGTAACGGATAAAGATCGTACATCATGTTCCCATCATCATTATATGAACAATGCTCATTTATTTGATGATTGCTCTCAACAAATTGGTGATTCGCATTTGATAAAAACGGATCACTCAGAATGTCGCCATCATAATTATCTTTATCGACTCTACTCATAGACATCTTCAAGTCGTCTTATTCTAATTTGACTTTTGATATTAATAATAATTTGTTTGATCTATTACTACACTTTTATTTATCTTCATCTAAGACCTAAAAAAATGGATGGAAACAAACTTGGTATATAATAATTGAGTTACTTTCTAGAAAATGAATAATAAAATTTGATTTACTTTTTCTTTGCGTGCATATTATGTTATTTCATTTTAGTTTGATTATTTCATGATAAAATAAGAATTCTGTTGATTTTTAGAAGTACTTTTTTCTAGATTTCTCTCTTCTTGAGGAGAATGAAAAACGGCAAGTAAAATGATTCAATCTGTATCGGGCTCTTGTTTGGCATCTACGTTGCATCGAGCAGTAGTCTTAGTCACTAATTGTCTTTTTATTTTAAATCATATTAATGTGAAAAATAAATTTTGTTTTCTATATCTTAAATACGTACGTATGTGATTTGAATTAATTTGAACTATAGATTTATATGCCAATAATAAGAAAAAACATTTAATTTTATTACATAGGAAAAGGAGAAAAGAAACACCGAAATAATATTAGAACTATGTACAATAAATCAAATTTATGTACGAAATGATTCCAGTTGAATAAATGAATGAATTGCGTAATCATGAATATGATGATACAAAATTTTCTCAAATTTTAATACGGACTCATTAAACTTTCCAAGGCACAATTGTGCCTAAGATTCAACTTTAACAATCATATTTAATGAATCTACTCTACGAGGATTTGTTATTTGAAAAACCACATCTTTTTATAAGATTCATACCGAGTAGCTATAAGCTTCACAGTGGCGAGAACCACTCGAAGACAATATTCTTTAGATTGGATAAGCGATATTGAAAAAAGACTTATCCGGCAATTTTCCACTTTCTATTTTTATAATAAAATAAAAAAAGAACATTATTAAGACAGATAACTTTGGATTTTGAATTAAACTAATTTCAATTATAAAATGATTCTGTACTTTTTATTTTGTCCTCTATTAAGATTATCAATGATAAAATGAACCGAATCGAGTGCAATGATCTTAAAGGATAGCTATTCTTTTAAATCATAACACAAAATGATCATAAAAAGGAATTAATAATAATACTAATAAACCAATCATAAAGCTCTTTTCTTATTTATTATTATTTTATAAGTTTAAGTTAAAATCTTCAAATATTATCCTAAGTTATCACCAAAAACAGAAAATAGTAATCATTTCAAATATTTGTTTCGTTTCTAATCGTTAATCAATATTTACAAATATTCTTTTCTTTTGTAAGTAGTTCATTGAATATTTGATCGAATAAAAGGACAGCGCCATTTATAATTGAATAAATGAATATACTAGGTGTTGGTGTTATAACTATCATTCTTGGCGAAATATTTCTTTTTAGTATAATGATAATAAGTACAGTTTTAATCTTTTATCGTTTTGCTCAACCATACGAACCAACACTCGATCGTGATTCAATAGAAACGAGCCATGAAAATGAAAATATTATCTCATTTCAATCTCAATTAGAATGATATTAATAAACATAATCTTTATGAAAATTCCTTTTTTAAAAGATAAACAGAACACAAAAGAGACAACACACAATACATTGAAAGAATGAAAATTAGTTATTTGTCTTATTGTTTTTGTTAAACACTTCCATAATTATTTTTCAAATCTCGTAAAAGTCCAATTGCTAATATTGTTCCAGCAATTTCAACCAACAAGAAGAAGAGTGAAACTCCACCTAATGCTTTTGAATATCGAAAAAATATATTACGTGCTGCTAGATAGCAACCTTGCTCGAAAACAGCTGATCCATTTTCTGCAACTGATGTACAATCAGCTTTAAGACAACATGAATCCGGCGGTTCCGCAAGATCAGCTGTAATATCCCAGTCTGAAGAATTATTAACACCACAACATGACCATTTTTCTTGAAGACGATCCCATTCTACAACAACTTCTTTAACTTTTGCTGTATATTTTGGTAATGAACTGATTAGTTTGGCACGTAATTGATTATCAGCCTTGCTACGTAGCGTAAAGCCAACAATGACAGCGATGAATTGAAGTAATAAGATTAAAAGTAATGAACCAATAAAAATTTTCAATAATCCTAAACGATTTTTATATGCGCCAAGAAAACCTAATGCGAGAAAACAAAACAAATTAACATTTAATCATATTTCTTTTAGATCCAAGATGGAAATGGTTTACCAAGTACTGACAAGATAAGAATTATAACGCCTAATGAAATAATAAAACCAGCACCTGATACAACTGCTGGACCAGTGAGTGCTGTAACTAAAATAAAAAATAATAATAGTTATAGTAATGAGATCCTTTTTCTAAACCAAAAAGAAAACTTACATTGTGAAGCATGATGATGAGCAACACTACCGGTAATAAGAAGTGAAAGACCGGCAATAAAATATAATACCAAAAAAAACAGAAATAGAGTTTTGTTTGCGTGCATCCTTTTTATTATGTGATTGCAAATTTATTATTTATCTCGTATTCAGAAAATAATTTACAATCTATAATCGAAAGCAAAACAAAATAGAATTTAATGATTACAAACAGTCGAGCTATGTCTTCAAAGAACGAAAACAAAAATGCATCGATGGCAGACCGAGAGCGAATATTTGGCACTGTGATTACAACGAAAGAAACTATTAGCAGAGATATTTTTTCTACCATTGTCATCCAATTGGCTGGTATTAATGTGTTTTTTTTACACTTTCAATTGTGTGCACAAAAGAGAGCGTGTATGACTAAGACTAAGTATTAAAATATGACGCGGCTTAGCATTCTTTTTTCTTGTAGGGTGATCGACTAACTTAACAGATAAACTATTTTGTCTTTTTTTCTACCGTTTATGTGAATCGAAACAGACTTCTACATGCTTCCTCTATGTTTTATCCGATTTATGATATTGTTGAATCAATTATTACACTTAACATTCGTCACTCATCCCAAGGTCAATGAATAAAAGTAACACGTACAAATAACATAAAAAAATCTCGAGAATCAATAATTCTTAATGAACCGAGTAAAAGCAAGTTAATCGCTAAATTTTTGTCAAACGAATAAATATTTATGTCAACATGATACTTAGAATAGAATGTGAAACGGTTGATATGTATAACGACATGCTTATGATTTTTGTGAATTATTGAATTTGAATTGCATTCACGAGAACGACAATTTCAATGTCACATTTTCATGAAATGTTGTATTTTTGTTTTGTTAAATAAAGGATGATTAATAAATTATTATAATAGTAAAATTATTAAATATGTATAGCATTATCTTCAACGTACTGCGAGATATATATATATATGTATATGATTATGCCGTGTATCTGACATGAGTATACTTTTCCCCCTTTAAATATCAATTGTGACGACAAATGAATCCATTTATACTTTCTATTGAAGTAAAAAATAAACCATATAAAATAGTTTCTTATGAATAAACAAAAAACAAATCTACCACAGTCTACCGAATCTTTCAATCAAAATATTTTCTTTTATTTACAATTAATTTAAAGCAGAATAAATGTTTGTAGAGTGCCATCGTTTAATTACTATTTCTCTGAAAGATTTTAACTTGTAAAGTTTTTTTTTTGAATTCTTGATAAGAAACATTGCTAGCAGCATATTGCCTGAGGAAGGGAGAATATTTTCTCTATCTAGATTTGGATCTTTGTGAATACATTCCCTTATTTTTGTTAGTGATCTGCAGGAATCTCTTCATGTAGTATTATTATTATTTTATTTTCTACTTAAAATTTTTAGCAGAATTGCTCATCGCCTATAATAAATATGTATTTTATTTCATGCAACTTATGTGCACCAAAAGATATGTGCAAGAAAGTATTTAGAATAGTAAAAGACAAACGAATTTATTTGACGTTTTATTAATTCTATAAATTCATAGATAAGAGAAACATGCCATAGAAAGAATTGATGGACATAGTAATACTAGCCGATTGATATAATTCGTATTTTATTAATATCGATCCGTTGTACCAGAAAAATACTTTTAGTCGTCTGTCCAGGACGTGAACGATAGAAAGATGACCACACCCACATCCGCCAGTATCATCAAATGTTAACAGATCTGCATACATGAAACCTATGATAATTACCAAAGAGAAAAATTTGACTCTATTAAATACAGAATTTAGTTATGCTTGTGAAATAATAAGTTGCTTATTAATTGATATTAAATTGCCTTGTCGTATTTACAAACTCATTTTTTTAAGCGAAAAATATCAGTATCTTTTATTAAATAAATGTGGAAACTTCGGATTTCATCCGAGAGTTATGTGTACTGCAAAAAGTGCATGCGACATATGAGTCATTCTAGAATGCCTGAACACGAAAATTATCATGAGAAACTAGACANATAAATGCAATAGTTCAACATTCTGTTCGCCATTTAATTGTTACACGTTGGTTATACGATGAAAGTGAAATGTTAGCGCTTGCTCATCAATTTCCAAATGTTAAATATTTAAAATTACTTGTTCCATCAGATAAATGTTCATTTATTAATTGTTTAAGCATTTTATTCAATCGTGATGATAATATGAAGAAAAAGAAATGTTATTGATCTGAATTGATCTTTTTTCAACAGATCTGTATGATCTACAGAAAAGTATTATTTTGAATAAAAGTCATTTGTATAATTCGTGCATTCGATATACAAATGTAAAAGATCATAAAATTCTTTTGAATGTTCATAGTTTTTGTCCAACTTTAACTGTTCGATATTGATTATTTTAATATATGAGCTAGCCTATGTAAGCCACGACCGACTACCATAAGGGGTTGCTCAATAACAGTCTTAGATTTGCTTGATATCTATTCCATCTGATAGAGCGCATTTTTTTTAGGTCAAGAAACTAATATTTTTATCCTCATTCAAGACTTGTTTTCGAATCTCTATTCATTTTTCGGGCAATGTTTTACAGAATTTTCCAAAACTTTTGTTACAAAACAATAGACAGATCACCGTCCAAATTGGATTTCTCTCAAAAGATATGAGTGGGATGGTGCTCAAAATAACTTTTCAAGCACTACAAAGCTGAGGTTCACTCAAAGGTACAGCCAAAAGCTTGGGATCTCTGATTAAGCAAAATCGAGTGTGGCTTATGCTGACTGACTCATATAAATAAAATCCCTTATTTCAAAATTCTCTTTTTTCTCGTTTTCATAATAATTATATGTCGAACAATGTAAATTCGAAACGAACCTAACTAACAGGCGGGTCGACAGTTTTCGGACAAAATGTTTGATCATTCTTGACCCCCTTGAAAATACTTCCGGTGAGTCAAAACTATACACTAGAAACAGGCTCTGTTAACTCTATCAGCCGCTTTGCGAAAGTTGTAAACGTTGCCGTATTCGGTAGTTTTGTAGAACGAACAATTCTTTACTAAATTTGATATCGAATTAAGCTGTTGCTTTTACCCAAGGGAAGCTATACGCATTTTCCCAAGAACTCCTTTCCATGTAGAATGCTTTTGTGGTCGAACAACCAATTGTTTTTAAATGACGATTTATTAAAGACAAAAAGACTCAAAGAACACATTTTTTTCAGGTCAGACTTTGCTCTACAATTTAGTACCCTAATAAAGACTTCATATTTTTATTTCGGATGAAAATGGTCATCATAATGGGGTGTGTTTCCGCAATTTTCTGCGTTGAAAACTTCACAAATGATCAATGGACTATCCAATTCTTGGAGCTGGTCTTAATATTAGCTGGATATATTATGATTTCGGGTCAATACTTACAGGTCGTTCAGTTTATTTTGAACCAATTTGCATGCAGCTTTTCTTCGTTATTAACTAATACAGATCTCATGGTTCTCATATTAGTTTATTCCCCTAACATTGTATATGCTGTCATGATATTTATATTTTAGATAAGCGAACGCCTCGTAATAAAATAGCTGATAATATTGAAGGGGTCGTCAAATACCTTTTGACGAAAAAGTATTCATATTCTGTCACACAACAAGAGTTATCTGAAATGAATTTTAATGTATCGAAAAGTACTATTAGTCATATTGCTAGCAAACTTGGGAAACAACGCCAGTTAGGTTTATTAAATAGTTAAAAACCAAAATTTTATCGTGACCGTCATGTAGCAACACCTGCAATCGTACGCCGTGTTACGTCATATGTAAGTAAAGGAAATCCTCGAACAATCTCGTTAATAGTTGCAAGGTGTAATCTTAGTGTTGGTATTGCTGTTAGTAGTATTCGTGATATTATCCATGCAAAATGTCGTAAAACCATCGGCACATCGTTTATATCCAGGTGTCATTGAAAAGAGACGATCTCGAGCTTGGCGTATGCATCATCAATTATGCAATGAAAGATATAAAAATGATGTAGCTACTAACGAATCATGGTTTTACTTCGACGCAAGCCAAGGTGTTAGAGATATATATTATGTCAGAAGCGACGGATTATCAGAAGAAGTTAACAAAATCGCACGAAACTATTTGCATCCTGTGGCTGTGTTGGTTTGGGTGGATGTGAGCACACATTGTAAGAGTCAGTTACATTTTGTTGAACATGGTTCAACAATTACCAGTCGATACTATATTGATCATATAATAGAGCCATTTATTAAATATGATAATCCTCGTTTATTTGCTGGTGACACACAAAAGAAAATGACTCTTCATCAAGATAGTGCACCAGGTCATGCAACCAAAGTGACACTTAGTTATATGAAAGAAAAGAAAATTCAAGTTATAACACCTACAGAGTGATTACCTAAGAGTCCAGACGCTGCTTCGTTGGACTATTCGATTTGGGGTATTTTAAAAGAGCGGGTAAGAAAGCATCAGGTGTCAACGTTAAATGGATTGAAAAATGCTCTCAAACAGGATGTAATCGGCCATGCTTTGGAGAATTGACCAAAGCGTTGTAGATTAATTTACTACGCTCATGAATCACATATCGAACATCTACTACAATAAATGCATGAAAATACAGGAATAAAAGCTTTTCTATTTTGTTTCAAAATAAACTGAATGACCTGTATCTTCGAATCCATGTAAAGTTTTGAAGCAACATTGCTCCGAAATTCGAAAATGGTTCACAAAAGACAAAAATGAACATATATATGATAAGATTCTGGATGTGTAAGATGAACAGCGATAGTGAGGATGCGCTCTCATCATAATCAGATAGTTTTTATTTAAGATTTCTTCTTATTTTTTACCTTTGATCTGTTTGATTGATTCATATTAAATTTGTATTTAAAAACTAAAGTTCATGTATGATTTTCATTTGTCTGATACTTCTAGATGAAAAGAAAGCAATTGTCCATGGCTTCATATTCAATTCTTTCTTTATTCAACACGCTCATAGCATTCATGGTTCTTTTTACTATTGGAATATTTTATGCACATTCAATAAAAGTCGATAATGCCGTGCGTCGGTTAAATGAACCGAAACAGAAGCGTTCAATAATATTTGAATATATTATGAAAAACTGTTCAGAGTTGTTAGTGGTATATCCAGAATTTTACCAAGTTCCTCGATTTGAACTATGTGGAGGTTACGGTGTACCAGTAACGTTGGCAAAATTAGCAATACTATTATCAATGCTCTACGATATCTATTTATTGTATTCATTGTATGATCTACCTGTAGTAATAGCTATAATGGGAAGCATATCCTCTTATTTCTTCTACGCAAATCTTACAAATAACAAGTGGACTATCCAATGCTTGGAGCTGGTCTTAATATTAGCTGCGTATGTGATGATTTTTGGTCAATATTTACTGTCAAATGTCGCTCATGCTTTGAAACACTAAGGATTCAAAATTTTAAGATGGTTATTAAAAACATAAGAATCAAGACATTGGTGAGTTTTGTCATAACAACAAAGATAAATATTACAATGAATGATGTTCTCATGTACATATACCGCATAAAGTGGTGGAAAAAGTTTAAGAATAATTTTGTTTATTTTTATTGTTCAAAGTCAAGGACTAAGAAAATTTTAGTGTGAGTGTGGGTTCGGGCTGTCTTTCTATCGTTCACATCCACACCCTCACACCCGCCTTGCAATAAAGTAAAACAGCACATTAGACTTTAATAAAAGTTTAGGTACAACGGCAATTTATCATACTTACGTTTGAAAAGAACTATATAACAATGTCTAGCTTCTATCATAACATAATATCAATTGTAGACTTTTAGTGACAAAGAACAATGGATGCGATAAGAGGAATATGTTTGCAGATGGCAGAAGTTTCGAGCGCTTCTTAGGAACGTTTAATATCGAGTATGTCTTACGTAAAGTTAATAGAAAAAATACTTTATTTTCCATATATTTGAAGTTGAAAATGTTAAATATTAACAAGAAACAACATGAACCCTCTGTGCTAGTTTGTAGTGGATAATCGACAGTCTGATTTTCAGTAATTAATTTTGAACTGCCGCTTAGATCGAAAATTACATTTGCCCACTTGTTGCCCAAACATACTTAGTTAAAGCGATGTTTTAATAGTATATGATTCACATTTTATACTTTATTCTTGATAGACTATGGCATAGCTGGTTTTTTAAACCAATGCATAGATATGGGTTGATTACAATTTGAAAATAGTATCGAAAAGAGAATTCAATGCACTGGATTTGTTTCTGAGCAATTTTTCATAGGTACACCATAGAGAACCCCAGTTTTATAGGAGCAATAATCAAAATTCAAGAGCACATTGACATAAGAAACGGGTTATTTTCGGAAAACAAATTTCGAAAACTAGCTTTTTTTAGAGATGTAAACATATTGAAAATGAATTTCTCTAAAAACGCTTATATCATGCACTTTCAATATACCTCTAGTTCTTGGTTGTTGCACGTTGGAACCTCGAAATCTCTAATTTATTCCTATGGAAAGCTTTTCAAAACGTAATCCGAGCACTTTTAGTGTTTATGCTGATAATAGCTAATTGAAGATACCTTCATGATTAATAGATCATAAGATAAATATCAGCAGAGTAAAAAACACCATCAGTTACGTCTGTTTGCGAATGCATATATATATCAAAGACGATGTCATAATTTGCCCGTGTGATATTTTCATGCAAAAATTTATCGAAAATAAATTGGTCACATGCAAACAAGCTTCATGAATTAGAAACAAGAGGAAAGGTAAGCAAATCTAAATAAAGAATATACAGTGGACTTTGCTTTATCCCGATGTTTACTTATTTTATCACAGCAGTCAGCATATCATCGGACGATGTTTTTTTGATCTCCTATTCGTCACTATTTTGTATAGCATCAACAAAATTAGAATTTTATTTTGATCTGAGCAGTTTTTTTTTCTGCAAACATAAGTGATTCCATGACTGATAATCCATTCTAATAGCAACAAAGGTGATTATTAAAAGATCACTTCGTTGATTTGATTTCATTAATGCAGGTAATGATAATCTGTATTAATCTTTTTGTTTTGAAAACAAACTGCAAGAGACCAGACACAATTTTGGCAATACTGCAGTTACATAAAGAAGTCTAGGTATAATTAAGCTGTCGAAAAAATAAAATAAAATAAAATGTTTCATTTGTATTTCTATTTTATATGTTTCGGTAGCGTGTGACGAGTAGTAGCTCGCGAATACCAGTGCATTGATATTTCTAACTGATTTTGTAGAAGAAAATTTTTAAGCTTTTGTCAACTTACGTGTCTTTTCGCAAAAGTAGGTCAATTTTGGATTATAGAAAAATTTTTAACAGTTTTTATTTGTTTACATCTACAAAACTGTTTACCTCAAATTTATCGCAAAAAACTAAACGTAGGACATTTATTTATAGATGTTTCATAACTTTTAGTTCACGACGATAAATTTCATACGAACTATTTTGGAAATTATACGGCCATGAATGAATTGAAAACAATTCAGTTATCAAAAACTGATCTCCATTCGAGGAAAAAACAGATCAAATGAAATGAACAGAAATTAATCTTCAAAAAAAAATGCATTGCAAAACATGAGAAACCCGCGTATTTGTGTTACTCTGATAACAGACGATGTAGAAACCTCATAGAAAGAGAAGAACATTTAACTTCAGATTTCATTTTAAGTTGCCGGTAACTTAATATAGATTCAATAATTAGCTGTGTGATAAATAATAAGCTCTATTCTTGCTTGCGAGAACTTTTATCGGAAAAACATATTTTAGAGAAATTCCATATGCTTCCAATAACTGAACTGCTACTCTCCACTTGGTGGCTAATTCTGCCGATTATTGCTCTAGTTTTTCTATATTTACATCAACCGAAAGAAGAAAAAACACAATCTCGAAAAATTCGTCGTGGTGTGGATCGAAGTTTAACATATCCTCGTCAATATCCATGTGGTTGGTATCGTATTTGTAATTCAGATGATGTATCCAGACGAGGTCAAATCAGACGTGCTTTTGCATTCAGTCGAGAAATGGTTGTTTTCCGATCGGATGATGAACATAATCAAGTTCATGTCTTAGAAGCATTTTGTATTCATATGGGTGCCAATTTAGGTGTTGGTGGACGAGTTATGCCTGGTACAAACTGTATACAATGTCCATTCCATTTGTGGGAATTCAATGGACAAAATGGTCGCTGTACAAAAATTCCATATATTGACGGGAAAATACCTGATAAAGTAGAAAAGCATTATTTTTAGTTGTTGTAGGTGTTGCTGTTGTTTAGTAAATGAATTATTCATATTCATAGGCGAAGATGCATTCGTATCCATGTGTTGAACGCCATGGAATGATTATGATTTGGTATCATCCTTTGAATGAACCACCTCATTATGATGCTATTTGCGTAGATGAATTACTTGGTGATAAATATGAATTTCGAGGTAATTATAGTTATCCAAATATTCAAATGCATCTACAAGAATTCGCTGAAAATGCTGCTGATGTTCAACATTTTCAACCCCTTCACGGGCAAATGCTTATTCCGTGGACTAAAATACGTGTACCACTTGTATATGTTCATCATACTGCATCACTAGTATTTAGTGATCAAACTCATATTGCCTATTTTTATGATACAGCAATGATTCAATTATTCGGTAAACCGTATGAATCAACGAAAGTTGATGCCTCGATTACATTTTATGGACCTGGTGGTATAACATTATTTCGTTTTGATGGAGAATTTGGTAGAATTTATTTATTTCATACACATACACCAACAAATTATACTGAATTAGACGTAGAATTTCGAGCATATGTGGAACGAAAAATACCGAGATTTTTTAATTGGTATATTATCGGAAATTGGATAGCACAATGGCAACGAGATATTGATGTTTGGGAAAATAAAGTAGAAACTTCTTTGTTTCCATTTTTTTTTCATTAAAACTAATATCATTGTTTGTTTCCATTTAGATACACAAGCGTGCACCTTTTCTTGTGAAAAATGATGGTCCAATTTTAAAAATGCGTCGATGGTTTAGTCAATTTTATCTTTCTAAAGAAGAACAAGATAATATTGCCGATACACTAGACTGGTGACTTTTATTTCTTATGATGTGTTTAAATATTTGAGTAGCTTTTTTTATATTCGTATATGAATAGACTTTAATAAAAAGTTTAGATCATCATCATCAAACCATAACGACTTATTATCTCCTGTTTCTAATTTATCATTCCTTAGTAAATGCATTGATGGTTCAGAGTGCTCGAAAAGATATCGTGCCATCAATATGTAAAAATAAATTTTAGATACTTCAAAACTTGCACATTATCTTGGAATCCTTTTTTATTTAAACTTAGAACACTTTTTTTTTATTTTCAATAGACTAACCTACTAGAAATATGTGAGTTGGGCGCAGTAAAAGATGAAAAACCATCCAAACAAGTACCTAATGAATAATTTTATACTATTAGAGTTTCCATTGAGGTGCTCGGTCACGATTCTGTCCCCTATACTAGTAGTAAAGTAATTGTTTTGAGTATCATACTGAAAACTGTACTAATATATAATAACTTTCACGTAAGTATATTGAATAGGAGTTTCAATTAATAATATACATATAAATTTTGTACAATATAGTCTAATACTAATATTGAAGTATAAAGATTAAAATTTTAATTACTTTCTCGACTACAGAACACATCATATATATACGTATATACACTAATCAAAGTCCGTCATAGATCGGCAAAGATAGTTTAGCAACATACGCTGTCTCTCATATTTCACGTTAGAAGTTGTGGTAAACTTTATTCATATAGTCGAAGTTTACATAAGATGTGTGTCTCGTTCTAATGAATACATGAACTACATTCTGATTACGTTTCAGAAGGATAAACTAAACAGGTAGGAAAAAGATTGAGTCCATCTATAAAGAAAATGAAACAATCTTCTTACGGCCAATGAAATCAGGAATATCCTCTGTCATATTTTAATCCGACAGACATTATGCTTATAGTCTTAATTTCCAAATATATTTAATATATTAAAAGCATTATTATTCTATAAAAAAAATTAATGAAAGAGCTTTCAGATAAATACTTTATAATCAAGAGATCGTGTTCTACAGTACAATTTATTATATTTAACTATTTTCAAATTCCAAGTATTTGCAATTGTTTCATTATTTGGTTTTAACTGAATGGGTTATTTTTAAGATTATCATCGATAAGAAGCAATACACCAAAAAACAAGTTTAATATGTAGTGTTAGTGGAAACTATCTTCGTGTTCATCCAATTATCGAATGATGTATACATGATTTCAAAATACAGTCAAATTATTTTTCATTAGCAAGTTGACAGAAAAGTGATTATCCTTCGTCCCGAACTGAAAATTACTTTTGAACAACGAAACCCAAAAAAAGAAGGCAAAATATAATTTCTTAGCAACTTTAAAACATAGTTTCTGATTTATATTATCTGAATTTCCGCTCGAGTATTCTACTCATCACAACTTTAAATTCACTACCAGAGCATCAACCAGACCGTGTCTTTGTAGGCCTGACCGGCCTGTGGCAGGCCTTTGCATTTCAAGCCTGCCTGTGTCTGTCAACTAATTTGTTTGGCCTGGCCTGCCTGTGACAGATCAGGCCTCAAGATCATGGCTTGTGCCTGTCACAGGCAGGCAGGCTTAGTGACCTGGTTGATGCTCTGTTCACTACTATGCAAAATCATTCAAAAACAAATATATATATATATGTCACAGTTGACATGAGAGTTTCAGTTGAGATTGGAATGCGCGAAAAAATAAATTTTTCTCTTTTTTCTGCTCGTGATAATAGATTATAGAAAAACAGAACAGAGAAGAAACACTTCTCAGATAAATGCAATGTCCCCAGTCCCCATAGTTTAAAGAATACACAGAGAGTGAATATATCATTGAGAGATAAAAACACAAAATTTATTTTTCTCCGATAAATTCAATTTCCCCATAGTTAAAAAAATAGACAGAGTTGAATTATTTAAAAACTCATTCTAAAAAGATGCAAGGAATAATTCTCAATATAAAAATTTCTAAAGTCAGATCTCAACAAAAATTCTATTAAAAAAATTAAGAAAAAAACTATTCCAAACTCAACTAAATTCCAAACCCGTCTGTCACATATATAAATCATTAAAAAATTCAACTCCTTTTTTTATTTGTTGCGACAACTTTCTGATTATGAAAAGTTTTTCCCAAGAAGTAATTGTATAATTAACATTGATTGTTGAGTTAATAGGTAAGGGTTTTTCGTAATAATAAAATAATTTTCTTTCTATTAGTTGTTTTTTGTAATAGCTTACAAGATCGAAGGAAATATTCTTGACATTTGAAATAAAAGAATAAGGATATAGTAAAATTATAAAAAACATGAGACTAAGACTAGTAAGCCTCTAATGGTGAATAGCTACTTATGTAGAGAAATTGGCACACGAAAGGGAAGCAAAAAATAGAGTATGCTAGTTTATACATTAGAAGTGTCATACTACCCATTTAGCCTGTCGTTGTATTATCGTGTAAATATAGCCATTAGTTACCATTATAATGCAAATAATGGCTATAATTGCATAATAATGCAACGACCAGCTACATGGGATAATCGGCAAAACCAGAAAAAAGTGTAACTCATTTTCATCTGATATATAGCTAACACACAATAAATATGGGGTGTTTTCATTCATCAATACGCCGAATTAGCAATGACTCTATTTTCGATTCGAATGATATTTTACATTTAACACAATCATGGAATATTATTAAAACTCATAATCTTCAAAAATTTGCTCAAGCTGTTCTCATTAAGTACACAAAAGATAATAACAAATAACCATTGAAATCTATACGAACTTATTATATTTGATGTTTTTAGAATCACTAATCAAAATCCATTACTCCGCAAATTCTGGATGTCAAAAGTTTCAGTTGATGGAAATAATTATGATTATAGTCAACATGACTCATGTTTACGAAATGATATAAGCTGGCATATTGGATTGCGTGATCAAAGTATTCAATTTGTATCCATACTTGATAAGCTTATTTCAGTTATTCACGATGAAAATCATTTAAAAACAGAAATTAGGTCACTCAATATTCCAGACGATTTTTTCCGGATTGAACATAACTTATTGGTGGTAAGTTTTTTTTTTCTTCTGAAGTCATCAAACCTAATTGATATCCTTTCGATTTGTTTATTTTGTTATTTGGAAGACAATGACAAATTGTTTATTGAAGAATGTCAGAGACCATTGCCAAACGTTTAACTACGATTTTACAGATTCTCTTGAACAGGTTTGGAATAAATTTTTTATGTTTATTGTTCAAAATATGAAAATAAAATGAGAATAAAATAACATAATCTACAGAAATCATCGTTACATCGTATAATAACAGTCAACAAAGTTGATTCTTTTTATTTTTAATTAAAATGAATGCTAAATTTTTTGTGTAACTAAATAAATAACATTAATAATTTTATCGTTACGTTGAATAATGAATCTTTATAGATACTTACTTTCTCTTTACTTCAATTATTATTTATGAATGAATTTTCTAAAATAGAACAATACTGCATATAACAAAACAAATCTGTCATTTCTAACGAAATCAAGTCTGGTAGCGATGTATAAATAAAACAAAATGAAAAATATTTCAAAAAAGTATTGCCTAATTAAATCATTTTCTTGGTACTTGTTTCAATATGGAAATATATCATACTAATTCATTATATAGTGAATTGTATAAATGACACCAACAGAGAAGTTTAAATAATAAAATAACTTAGTTCCTTATCAGTCGAAACTACTTTATTATTAAATATTGGACTTTTATCTTAACTTATTCGGACTCATGTTCAATTTATCAAGGATTTCTCATGATTTTTTAAGCAATTTTAAACTATATCTTTGGTATTTTTAATAAGAGTGAACTGGTTTACACTTGAAAGTAGCTGTGCATCTATATTTAATTCTAAACGACTAATTGATGCCAGATCGTTATTACTTGAATCGATAAACTGTCAGAGCAAGCAATCCAGTTCTAATAAATAACTGCTTCAAAATTTCATCAGATTATTAATTAGGCAACATCAAAAGAGAATCTAATTATCTGTCAACAGATATACAGAACTCATTTGAATTATTCTTGCGCAAACAGTAGTCACAAAGTGATAATCAAGATTAGGACAGAAGTATGTCATACGTAGTAGCTTTGATTGTTATTAAACATGTTTTTATCATTCAGTTCGAAAAACCAAAGCTTGTTGAAAAACTGACTGATGCTTACAGTATAGAAGACATTTGGGATTCATTAAAATAATAAAAATGGATATACAGTTATATTTAATAGAAGAAAAATAATATAAAAATAAATGCGAAAACCTCGGATTTAAATCCGAGTTTTGTGTGTACTTCAAAAGGTGAAAAGGTATATTCACTTTTTTTTTCTTTAAGACATAGATCTCATCAAGATAATCCCTTGTCACTAAATTGCAAGGAGAAAATACAGGCGTGCTAAGTTAGCATGGACCACGCTGTATGCGACCATATCCGGTGACCACTGACTCTACTCTTAGAGTGATATAATATCTTTAGAAATCACAGAAATTAAGTTCAGATTCGTGTTTAGCTTGGAAAATTGGGTAAGAAGAGTTATTTTTGCATGGATTTGCGCTTGTATCTAGCGGGATTACGATCGTAAGGAACCTCATGAATCTATAAGAGATATATGATAGATACAGGCATCAGTATTCTCCTAATAAATCACCAATATTAATAGCTATCGAGTTCGGGTTTTTACTTTTCGATAGTCCTTTTGACTAGCTACAAAACCAGGCATTTGAGAAACCCCAAAACTACTGGTCATCTGAAATATATTTAGCCAATTTGGTTTCTGGATGCAGTTTTTGTGCATTTTTTGGACCTTTTTCAGGCGATATTTTGTTAGAAAGCTACGATTTGGTTCAAAATTAATATCAGATTCAGAATCAGCGTTAAAAACTGAGTCGATTTATATGTGTTGTGAATAATTCTAAGAAAAATTGTTTTTTTGAAAAATCCCTGTACCTCCCCTCAGGGTTGGATTGGTCAATAATGACAATTTTTTCGATAACTCAACCATTTCTCGGCGGATCCTTCTCATCTTCGAACTCGACTGAGACATTAATGAGGCTGAACTGTGTAGAAAATTTCATCATGATCTAACTCTCCTTTCGAGAGTTATCGTGTAAACGGCCGGTCGGACGGACACACTGACCGATTCTAGAGTGTACTCACTTTTTTGAGTACACAAAAAACCAAATAGAACGAATTTAGTGTTTGTTTATATCAATAAATAAGAGATAAAATATCAAGGAAAAACAAACTTACTAATCGACTTAGATTATTAATCGAATCGAAAAAATGCTAGGTCAAGAGAAAAGCTTTAATACATTGAGCGTGTCTGGACAAGAGGTCTGTAACTCTCTCTGTTTATGCTTACAAAAAGAGACGATTGATTCTTAAACGCTCTCCCTGTGGATACTTAGCTGTTTATAGGAATTGAAAGACTTGCAGAACAATCAGTGAGCTTCAGTTTTTATTTGATTACCTCACCACTCATGTAGATAATCAAACCTAAGTGCATTGAGAAATAAATATGCGGTTTCTTTCTTGTACTTCGAAACATTTTCTTGATTTAAAACTAATAATCTTGTAGATGTTAAAGTATTCAAAATAAAGTGCACAATAGTATTTTTACAGATTTTTGATTCAAATGACCATTCATACATCTAAAACCATTTATTTATTTTAACGTTCAACATGTTCAATTACTAATAATAATCACATTAAAATTAATTTACATATTCTGGAATATTCTTTAAGTTTTCATCAATATAGTAACGTTCCCTGTTTCCAAGAATGATTCAGAAAATATTTCAAATAAACGTTTTAGTATAACTGCTAGGTTGTAATGCATACTAGTCATTTTAAATGTTTTTAAAGAAATTATTTCCTCGATATTGTCATTAAAATTTAATAAATGTGGAAACTTCGGATTTCATCCGAAAGTTATGTGTACTGCAAAAAGTGCATGGGACATATGAGTCATTCTAGAATGTCTGAACACCAAAATTATCATGAGAAACTAGGCAATTTGATTTCTGGATGCAGTTTTTGTGCATTTTGAGACGTTTTTCAGGCGATGCTTCATCAGAAAGCTACGGTTTAGCTCAAAACCAATATCAGATTCGGAATCAGCGTTAAAAACTGAGTCGATTTATATATGTTGTGAATAATTCTGAGAAAGATTTATTTTTTGAAAAAAAAATCCCTGTACTCCTCCTCAGGGATGGCCTGGTCAAAAATGACAATTTTTTCGATAACTCAACCATTTCTTGAGGGATTCTTCTCATCTTCGAACTCGACCTAGATATTCATGAGATTGAACCGTGTGGAAAATTTCATCACGGTCTGATTCTCCTTTCGAAATTTATCGTGCCTACGGCCGGACGGACACACTGACCGATTCTAGAGTGTACTCACTTTTTGAGTACACAAAAACTGATGTGTGTATGAAAATATTGTTAGTTTTGTAATTGTTACACTGAAGATGAAGAATCATTCTATTACTGTCATTGAAAATAAATAATTTATATTTAATTTATGATAATTCATTCTCTGATTGTACAATATAAACATATTTCTTTTCTGAATCGTACGCTTAGTTTTATCAAACATATTTACATCTTTGACTGTTTTGTCTTTATAAACATCTGTGCTCAACTATTATTCTTCTATGCCAATATGATTTAAAATTAGGTGCTTTATTTACACTCATTATTACTGTTTTTTCTTTCTCTCCTACTCTCTTATTGTTAATTATCTTCGTTAATCTTGATCAATCGATCACTTTTATTTATCGCGTGTCACTTCATAGTGGCACCTGAGCTTTCATTCAGTTGCCTAGCATCCCTCTCTAACGTAAAGCTATATTTGAAAATTTTAAATGGAAGTCATTAACTGACCAATAGCAACTGAATCGAAGAACTTAACAGTAACTAATTAATACGAGTACACAAAGAAATATTAGTAAATTCATGAATTTCGATTCATTTTTCTTTTAGTATACCACCATCTATGAAAGATGATACATTCTGATTATTTATTTTATTAATTCAAAATCATCGTTTCTTGAAATTCATGAAGACAACATTATTCATATTGATTTAGTAGTAATTATTCAATAAAATGCAGAAATGAGTCATAGAAAGCAAAATGCTCATGAATCATAATAATTAAAAAATTGATTACCAATCATTGACATTAACATCTTTATCATTGTCCTCTTTTGAAAGATAAAATTGGTTAAACCAACGACGTAATTTCATAATGGGACCATCGGTTTTAACAAGAATTGGTGAACGTTTATGTATCTTAAATAAAGTAGAAAATATTTTATTCTACTAGTCAGAAAACTAGAATCAATTTTTTTTACTTTATTTTCCCAAACAAATAGATCTCGTTGCCATTGAGCAACCCAATTTCCCACAATATACCAACTTAAAAATCTTGCAATCTTTCTTTCTGCAAATACTCGAAAAACAACATTTAATTTTGTATATTCACATGGTGTATTTGTATGAAATAAATACAATCGACCGAATTTTCCATCAAAACGGAATAGTGTGATGCTACCTGGTCCATGAAATATAATTGATGCATCAACTTTTGTTGATTCGAGTTTTCTTCCGAAAATTTGCAACATGGCCGTATTATAAAACATAATCTTCCATGGTTCGTCAACAAATGAAAACGATGGGGTATGGTGAATATTAACAAATGGAACACACCATTCAGTCCATGGTACTAACATTTGTCCATGTAGTGGTCCAAAATGTTGAATATCGGCAGCATTTTCAGTGAATTCCTGAAGATGCATATTTATATTTGGATACCGATAAGTACCTCGAAATTCAAAACGTTTTTCAAATAATTCCTCTATGCAAATAGCTTCATAATGAGGTGGCTCATTTAAAGGATGATACCAAATCATAATCATACCATAACGTTCGACACTTGGATATACTTGAAGACAAGCCTGATAAAAAGAAAAAAAAAGATGATCTTATATTACTCTGTAAAAAATGAAGGTTTATTCTATTTCAATACTTTCTCAGGTATTTTTCCATTTAAGTAGGGGATTTTTGTACAGCGCCCATTCTTTCCATCGAATTCCCATAAATGAAAAGGGCATTGTATACAATTCGTACCTGGTACAACACGTCCACCAACTCCTAAATTTGCACCCAAATGAACACAATATGCTTCGACAACGGATACTTGTCTATGTTCATCATCGCCTCGAAATGCTACCATTTCTCTTCCAAGTCGATAAAAATGTTCTATATGACCTCGTAGAATTTCATCAGAATCACATAAATAGTACCAGCCAATAGCATATTGACGAGGATATGTTAAAGTTCGATCAATACCGCGACGTGGTCCTACTAATTTTGTGTTTGATCGACGAAGATATCGAAAAACAATCAGAAGAATCGGAAAAATCAATATCCAAATGTATAAAGGAATAGATAGATCGTACATCCTTGAAAATTAATAACTTTTATACTATTCTTGAAAATATAACTTTTATTTACTTTAAAATTTCTGTCATGGTTTCAAGATTCATTTTTAGACAAATACTTTTCTTGTCACATAAGATTGTCTACTTATCAAAGTTAATATTTGAAAAAGAACATAAAAGACATGTATCCATCAGACAAACAGATAATATATATAAATAGACTTTAACCAAAGAGGCAGATATACACTTGAAAAAGCTATGTATTTTACAGTAAACATTGATGATTTATTCTCAAACGTGAGTTAACACGAGTTAATAAATATTCATGTGACTCGACATTTTTCTTTTCATTTCAATAAAGTTGTCTATCTTATTGTTGTGTCTTTAAGCCCTATCTAGAACATTGATGTAATCTCTTTAATAGTAGAAATAATGAATGCTTCATGAAGATTATTTTCATTATAAAAATTTATGATTATATGAGTATAGCAATTAAAAAGATAAGAATAGATCGGCAGTTATTTTTATCAGTAACAGGTAACGATACTTATTTTACGAACAAAAAAATGTTTTATTTTTATAATAATGATATATTAAAGACTACTGTAAATACTTTTTGGCAGAAAATATGGGTACAAATGTTGAGATATGGATCACAGAGAAGAAAGATAAAAAGACGATAGATAAAACTATGTCAGAGTTACTGATAACTCATCTATTAAGAAAGAAATGCTCTTCTAGTTCAAATCGTATTTGTTTAATGAAGATCTAGTTTAATAATTTGATTTCATCCTTTCATAGAAAATGTTTTATCAGTTCTAAAGAACAAAAACTATGCAATGATTCATCTATTTTATCTCAAATATTGCAATTGTATGTTTTCGTTAAAAATGAATAGAACCATCTTTTACGCATGTTCTATATAGGCTATTCATCAAGATTACTAGTTCATACGTTTTTGTTTTGTTTAATCATATGCATTCAATTTACAGATGGGCTTTTGTTTAGCAGAAAGTAAACTCCTAATCCACTTACAATAGACTTTCAAGTTCCATTGAATATTATTATGGGTGTTATTTTTTCTGATTAAATACATTCGATCGAATTCACTATCATGCATATATTTATTAACTTTGTCTATTTTCAGTTTTAAAATAAAATGGACAACGAGACACAAACTATTAACACGTTCTAAAATCGTCATTTATAAATAATAATTATTTCTCCTTCAATTGAACAACATTCATCAAATTCTTTCCAGTAATAAATCCAGTTTGTACTGGCATTGCCATGTGCTTAATAAAATTCATTTTCTTTTTTGGTGGTTCATATATTCTATTATTTTCATTGTTCTCAAATAAAAGGCCCTTGGGAATTTCCGATATAAATTGTGATCGTTGGCATGTTTCTTGTTGGCCATAATTTGAGCGGGTTTCAGAGTAGGATATATGAAGATATCGTTTTGCCCGGGTTATTGCTACATACATTAGACGACCTTCGATATAATGAAAAAGTATAACTTCATCTAATTATTAGAATTGATTAAATAATGACGACTTACGTTCTTCTTCAATATCACAATTTCCGAAAAAATTTGATGGAAAAAGATTTTGAACTATATAATACAAAAAACAATGGTTTAAAAAATGTCTCGTCTATGTTAGATGTCAGTGTGAACGTTGGAGATTTTTATTTTCATAAAATATAAGTTTTGACCAAAAGTCAGGAAAATCTAAAATGCAATTCATTTTGCATCTTGTCATAGTCTCATTCAATGTGATTAGCATCGAAAAAAATCTCTCGTTACTAAAGTTTATCTAATAAAGACAGATAAGTAAATAATTTAAACCAGTCGGTAACTGATCCCAAGTCTACACGATGATATTGAACAAGAAAATGTTATAGAAAAGTTTGGTTTTCTTCAAATTCTATCTTAAGATTACGATATTGTTCAACGAAGAGATAGGCAATACATTTAAATAAACTTACCAAGGCCAGCAATAAATACATAATGAAATTCTAATCCTTTTGCACCATGTACCGTCATCATTTGTATTCGTTCTATTTCATCTGTTGTATCTAATTTGCCATCTTGTGTGTTTGTTGTATCCTATTAGATAAAATACGTTTTGTTTCAAAGAGAACTAAAAACAAAGGTCAATATTTTCATACGAGTGCAATAGTACTAAGATATTGAGTAAGATCATTTGTATTATATAATTGTGAAAACTGCTTCATAGCATTACATAATTCACTTAAATTTTGTAAACGTTCAACTTCTTGTTTTTTTTTATATGCTTCCATTAAACCTGATTGCTCAAAAATATATAGAGCTTGTTCATATAATTCCATTGGAACATCCTTTTCTAATATTCTCTGTTTGCATTCATTTATTAGTTTAATAAAGTCAAGAATCTTTTTTTGTTTAGATAAAACTGGATCACATTGAATATATGAAAATAATGAACATCGTTTTTCATTTGCACCACTTTCAATTTTTTCCAAAGTTGCTTTACCGATCGCACGAGCTGGAAAGTTAATTATACGACGAAAAGCATCATTATCATTTTCATTTTGAATTAAGCGAAGATATGATAATGCACTTTTTATTTCAGATCGTTGATAAAACTTTATGCCACCATAAATACGATATTTGATGCCACCATTCAGTAATGCCTGTTCGAATTCACGTGCTAAGATTTAAAATTAAAGCAACAGATTAATTTGATAGTTGAATGAACAATAGATAGACGAAAGATTTACATTGAGCGTTTGTACGGTAGAGAATTGCAATTTGAGATAGAGGAATATTGGGATGGCGATGATTAAAATCATGAATTGTTTTGACAATATGTTCAGCTTCATCAGTTGCATCACTTGCTTGAAATAATGCAATTTTTTCACCATTTTTTATATCGGTCCAAAGATTTTTACCTCTTTAATTAGAATATTTTCATTTATACGTTTGAAAAAAATTAAGTTTCTCCAGACAATCATAAAGTATTTCAATAGAGAGACCAATAACGAAAATTTATCTATGTCTCATGGGAAAGTTAATACTCAAGATTAGCTGAGAATTTTTACGTTTTCGTGGAATTCTGTTTTTTTTTCGAAATCATACAAAACGAAAAGAGCCACCAGGACAAAACATATTTACTATTGGTATTTACTAGTTTTTCCTGTTTTTCTCTTATGAGAATGTGATTATACAACTAAAATTGTAGACACAAGAAATAAGCTTAAATATATGTCAGTTCTTATCATGAATAGTAAATATTTATCAAATCTAGAAAAATGTACTTTAGAATTCGTTGAAGTTTGTGAATTTGTTTTTACAGAGAAAATCCAATTACTGCTAGTGGCTCAATCTGCGATTTCAGTTCATTAGTCGAAGACACTAAACAATATTATAAGAGACAATATTCAATGTTAATTACTATTGACTAAAATTAATGATGAAAAATCTCAGCTCTTTACGTTAATAATATGTTATTCTCCGAAAGAAATCTAACGATCTGAATTGATTTCCGTAGCATCAATTAAATAATGAATACATCTTCATTATTAAGAATTCATAGAATTCTATCGATTATTTCAGTCGTCTGTGCTCAAATTCGAATCATTTATCGGATACAATGGTTTGATTTCTTCTAGTAATTAAAATTGAAAATTGCCTAAGTTATATTTTCTCTTAAAATGACTGAATTTGATGAGTTCTCAGTCTCAATTTGTAGAATCAAGGACCCTACTGATAAACTCGAATAGAACAGAACAAAACGTGACCATAATTGTTAGGAAAGCAAATGTTTTAATACTAAAGAAAGAGTCACTCATGAAATCATTGTTAACAAGTAATAAATATAGTATTAATTCTCAAGGCTAGTAACATTTTTCAGCTATTTGGCAAACTTGAGCATGTAAATAGGCATCTCATATCATCACAGAATTATTTTCTTTGATGTTGTTAAATTCGACTTGATTATTTATGCTAGAATATAACTGATTGTAAATTACTATTTTTATACGCATGTAATATTTTAATTTATTCTGCCACATTCATCTTAATAAATAAATATCTATAGAAAATCATATTTAATAATGATAGTATGAAGTATAAGATCCTATAACGACTTGTCTATTTACATATGTATGTTATGATTTCTTCGATAGAAACAATGAACAAATGAACAAATTATTTTTTCTTTCACATAACTATGAAACTTCTGGATATTATTCTGTGCATTATTAGCAATCGTTTAATCAAGCTAACTGCGAATCACTGTCGTTTGCTGTTAATTACATCTTAGACTACATAATGATTTTATATTTACTTACAGACGTGAGTGATTATGATCAATAACTGCATTTGCTGCTTCTAAAACAATATTTGTACTTCCTAAACAAAGAAAACAATAAATCTGTTTTTTTTTTCTTTTCGTTAACTCACGATAATTTTGCTCCAGTTTAATAATATGGTCTGTGTTTTCTCTTTCCAAATAAAGAACTTTTAAATATTCATCTATATTATTAATACATTGAGCACCACGAAAAGCATAAATACTTTGATCATCATCACCCTATAGACAAAGAAATAGATATCAAATTTTGTCAATTCGTTTTGTGTTTTCTGTCATTGAAAACGAACTTACGACAGCCATAAAGCAATTTCGAACGATTTTGTTTTCATCATCTCGATCCATCATTAATTTCAACCAATCCATTTGTAATGTTGATGTATCTTGAAATTCATCAACAAGTACAAATTGAAATTTTTTTGCATAATGTATACGTAGATCGATTTCTTTTTCCATTAATTCTATGCAACATTTATTTCTTGGTGATAAATTATTCAAATGAACAAAAAAGAAATTAAACCTTTTGTTAAAAGAATCAATTCAGCAAAATCAACTTTATTTTCTTCACGAAGATATTTTTCATATTTTGTATAAATTATTTGTTTAAACTTATTTTCCTTATTTGATATTATATCCGTTGAACGTTTACCTTCATCTTTACATTTATTGATATAATTAACAATAGCTTTTGGTTTATCGGTATAGAAATTATTTGCGCTCATCTCATCTTTAATCATTCTTTTAACAATTGATAATTGATCATCTGTATCAATAATTAAAAAATCACTCGTAAGGTCAGCCATCTTATGATGAATACGTAAAAATCGATTAGCTGAAAGAAAAAGACTAGTTTATTATCATTTTTTCCAATGATTAGCAATCAAAAATTCACCAAGTCCATGAAATGTTCCAAGCCACATATCATTCAATTGTACACCGGGTAACATTTGACTGATACGATGACGCATTTCCAGTGCAGCTTTATTGGTAAATGTAACAGCAAATATTTGATACGGTTTTACATTAAAATGCTTTAATAGATAAACAATTCGCGATGTTAATACACGAGTTTTTCCACTACCTTTAAGGATTGTTGAAAAAATCAAAAAGATATCATTCAAATAAACAGACCAGCTCCGCTAAGCACAAGTGTTGATTGATTTGTTGAACAAATGACAGCACGCTTTTGTTCAGGATTAAGATCATGCAGAAGTTTATCATCATGCATTTCGTTTGTGCTGATATCATTTGTAGTAGATACTACATCAGTTTTCTTCTTTCGATACATATTTGTTGTTTGTTCTATAATCAAACAAGAAAACTACGCATTGTATCTACCTGTTTGTTGTGTTCCTTTAACGTATTTTATATACAGAGAGATACACAACTTATCAATTCACTAATTTCTATTAATAACATCAATCGTAGTCTTGCTTTATTTCCGTTTCGCCACGAACAATCTTGTCTTTATTCTGATCGCTCATCATCAAAAAAGAAAAAGTAGGACGTACATACGCATAGTGAAGAAAAAAGAAAAAAAACGAGTAAGATAAAGTGCTTTTATGTGAGGAAAAGAAGAAGCCAACAGACATACATAGCGAAAACCAAACACACAAACAAATCACAAAAAGAGGGTGCGTGGAAGGTTTTCCATGAAAAAAATCAATCATTTGTCAGCACAAAACAACGTTTGTTACTAAGAAAAAGTTAGTAACCGGATGTGTTGTGTAAGACAAAAGTAAATAAAAACAAACACCATCACCACAATCAACAAGACAAGAAAAAGAAAACAAAGAAGAACAATAATTCGCTCATGGTTGTACACCGGTCAAAGAAAAGAAAAACAACAAACAGCTGGATTGAGCAGACAGGAGAATACACTCGGATGAGAAGAAGAAGAAAAAGAGAGCTATTGCGCGTACATAAAACAACAAAAGAAAAAAAAGAGTGCTTTTATATATATGTATATTTTTCTTTGTTTTAGTTCAACAAACAAAATTTTTAATCGCGACGATAAAACAGTAAATAAGGCGTAAGTTTATCAGCTGTTGAATTAATAACTTGGTGTGATGTAACAACATTAACAGTAGCATCGTCAAATCTTAGCCATCCTTGAAGACCAGGATGAAATACATCAGTTATATAATGTCCTTTGGTCGCATGATCACCTTGATGATATTCAACAGCAAACAATTTATATCGTTCGTGATATTGTTTTTTAGCTTGTTCTGTTAATATACCTAAGATAAATACAATTTATTAAAAGATCAAATATTCTATTGTCTATTTTTTACCTTTCGGCAATGTTAAATTAACGGTGTAGCTAATAGGCTTATTAACTTTTTTTATTCCATCTGTTTCATCATATAGAAAACATTTTAAATGTATGATAAGTATAGGTGGCAATTGTTCGATTAACATAGTTTTGTTTGTATGCACCTAAAAACATTATTTGGTCATATATATGTTTTTTCGTTTGATTATTTTGTTCTTCACTTACATTTTGACGATTTTTACTATCAATGTAATCGGAAAGTGTTGATTGTTCACAGAAACGTGTTAGAGCTTCATCGAGTGAGGTTATCTTTGAATCCTGAAATAAACAATTTGTAATGAGAAATCTTATGAATTTATCACATAAATATTCATAAGTTGAAACTAGACATGGGATTGATTCAGGTATTTAGAAATTTGAACCAAACCGAAGAGAATTTTTTGAAACGATATCATTATGGTGATGAACCGAACTGTGCCTCCACCTCTAGTTAAAACATGTAGAATCAAAATTATTGTAAAAGATTTCGTTGTTTTACTAAATAGAGCTTACTATTTCATTCGAAAAAAAATTCATATACACTTCTGCATTTGTGAGACTTCAAATTCCTATGAAGATTTGAATTCAAACCTATTCAATTTCATGCCACTTTATAGAACTTGAGCATTATCTTATCTATTTCAAAGCATAAATAAGCAGCAGAAAAAATTCTTGAAACGGTATGATGATAAAAAGAAGGTAACCTATTGTCAGATGCATTTCATAGACACGTTTCAAATACGTTAACAATTCAAAATAAAAATGCTGTCAGTATTTTTTGGAGCATGAAAGTTAGAAGACTGTGGAGCCACATTTTTCAGCGGATGAACCCAAAACCTAGTCAGATCCACAGTTTCTCAATGTGATTCGAGAGGATAGTTTCTCTCCGAAAATTTAGTTGATCTGATAGGAATTTATCGATAAACTAATCTGAAAGTGAAATCAAAAACAACAGACAGCACCTAATAATTTTAATATTTAATGCTTTTCTAGAATTTAATGATCTATGTATTGAATCGATCGATACATGCAACTGGTTGATTCATTCAGCGGCATGAATATTCACGGCTGTATAATACAATAATTGAAATTATATTCATCTTTAAATAATTTAAGTAGGATATTTATCTGTAACCTATTCTCTCTTACATCCGATTCTTGACAGTACAACTGGCAGAAAACAAAAACCAGTACAACTGGCAGAAAACAAAAACTCTTATACTGTTAACAAAATGAATTTCATAAATTAATGTTTGAATCGTTATTTATGTAATGTTTGATTTAATCATTAAAGTCTTTCGGTTCATTTACTAAGGATAACTACTTCGGTCAAATATTGATAATTGTAACTGAAATTCATGAGAAAGACGATTATATCAGTATTTAATAAATAATGATTGAATCTCATGTAGTACGCTTATTTTCTGGAAAATTTCTACTCGTGCAATCAGATATTTAATTACTATAAATGATCGTAAATTAATGTAAAAAAATTTTACTATCCGAGTTTCATATATATGTTGTTTTTTGTTTTCAAATACTACATAACATACTTTAATATCCAATGAAAGTGTAAAAAATGGTTCATGCACGACGGATTTTTGATTTCCAGAACTATGTATGGTTGAGCGAAATTTTCCAGCAAATATATCAGCAACAAGACTCTTGCGAATTTCATTCTAAAGTATAGAAAAAATAAATAAACACTAATAGAAATATATATATATATATATTTGTTTAATACCGTTCGAAGAACATGTGTACGATTTCGTTTTCCAACTTGAAGCCAGTCTTCTGATTTCTCATCAGTTTTTATTTGTAAATCAGTTGTTAACGTTGTTAAATCTGCATTGGATATAGATTCTTCTAAAAGTAGTTTTTGCAAGATAGTTGCTCATGATTTTATTATTATTATTATTATTATTATTTTACCACTTTTATTTGCTGATGGATTATATAGGATTTGACAAATTTCATCATGAATTTCACTTAGTAATTGACATAATAATTCGTGTGCATCTTCTTGTTTATTTTTTATGATGTCAACAGGTAAATGACGTAGCCGAGATAATTCTTGAAGGACATTAATTGGTTCAAAGGATGGACCACATATTATATCTTTATGATTGGAATTTGATTTACTTCGATCCATTTTTTCAAATTCATTCACAAATGAATGACTAATAAAAAATTTTATTGTATTTTATTTTATTCAACAATTCACTTCATCGACTTACAGAGCTGTGATGCATGGAACATTATGATTGGATGTATCATCATTAAGTGGAATATATTTCATGACATTAAAAAAGGCAGGACAAGCAAGAAGTGCTTGAAGAGTCTAAGAAAATAAACAAATAATAGTTACATTTATTAGACTTTTAAATATTAGAATGAATTCATTTTTAATTTAAAGCTCATCTTCTAAAGAAACTAAACAAATTTTGAAGACGAAGAACTTTTCTCGGTCGACGAAGAATGAATGTAATGACATTGATCCTCTAGTGTCCACAACCAAATTTAGCATTGTATGATTATTCTAATTTTAAAATTCGTCAATATACTTCCTCTAAAATGATGTGGAAGTATTTTAAAGGACATTACGAGTTCAGATCTAGGAGCAAAATGGCGCAAGAGATCTTTACAAATTCATTTTAAACTCAGAATTAACATGTTCTATTCACATCATAAACAGAAGCTTAAGTCTAAAAAATTCGAAATCGATACATGCGATTTATTAGAAAATATATTTCATTTTTGTAAATATGCAGATCTTTGAATTTATTACTAGTAATAGTCACTCATAAACTTCGATGATTATAAAATTTATAACGTACTACATAGATAAAATGACCGGAATTTCCATGAGATGGAATACTTTACTATACCAGATAACAATTCAGTATCAACTTTAATTTTCTATTAGTAGATTTATTCAAAAAATTCTTTCCGTTAATCTATTTATTTCAAAAATTTACTGTTGATCAGTCAAGAAAATTGGGTAAGTGACTCGATGGCCGTAGCATATGTTTCCTCAATTTTCAAGTCTAAATTAAGATAAGCGATATTACTTTCGTCTGGAAAAACTCGAAAAACAGTAGACGCTTGAAGATATTACGAAAATTGTATCTAAAGAGTTGGCCATTGTCATTTCGCAGTGAAAGAAAGAATATTCAACTATTTTATCGAATCAACATATGCCTACTTCCATTTTTTTCGGAATCTTTCGAGTGATACCGATCATTCAGTTGATTATAAAAAAAAGTTCTCTTCTCCATCTCATAAATATTTTTTTATATACGTACCGCATTCACATAACAATAATTGCTTCTATTTAATAATCCACGAGGTTTAATAGCCATAGCTGATGGACGCACTTCACATTTGGAAAAATAATCTACACGAACAAACACAAGAAATAATAATAAAATTTAGCAATTAATTTTTGTAAATATTTGAAAACCTTCTAATGATCGTGATTCTTCTCCGTTGCTATTATAAACATGATAATTTATTTTTGGATAAAAATTATTCGTTGTACTATTTCTTCCGTTTTGTTGTGGTGGTGCTGCTTGAGCTTTTTGAGTAGAAGTCGTTTGCTGTTGTGGAACATTTGTTGTTGTTGTTGCTGCTGCTACTACTGTTGTTGATGCTTTTGTAGCTACCGCTGCTTGATTGCTACGAAATAGATCTGCCCATGATGACGGTTTTGATTTTGCTGATGACGATAGATTATCTGATGATGGTTTTAATGTTTCAATAGAAGCTCCACTTGCAACAGATGTTGAGTAAATCGATAGATCATTATTGTTTAATAATGTTTTATTAATTGGTATATGCTGTGGATGATCAATATCATTATCTGTGTCAGTTGTTGTTTCATGACCTAACAAAAAAATTGTTGATTTCTGTTTTTAACTTAAATTTACAATGAAATTATATTTACTATCGGATTCAGTTTCATCTTCATCATTAGTTGATTGTTTATCATCATGTTGATGTATTATAGTTGAATCAACCCATTGATCACATGCAATGTATCGTGTGTCATTTTTAATTTGTTCAATTTGTACCGGTTGTTCATTAATATCATTTTGGTTTTGATGTTGAAGTGTCGATGGCTCGAGCATCTGTTGATATTCTTGTTTATAATAATTTGGTGGACGTTTTTTCTTTAATTTTCTATCACTATGATGACGACTATGGGATGATGATTGTTTATTTATTTTAACATTTTCAACGGATGAACTTTTTGATGAATAAGGTGGAGATGTTAGGGCTGAATTTGTAGATTCTTGATGGGATAAACTGCCATTACAGGAATAAGATACACTAGTAACGCCGACCGGAGCTATTACTGGTGGAACACCGAAACCAAATTCAATTGCAGTATTGGCACAGTCCTCTGTACCCCATGGAAACTAGTTTTAAAAGCAGATAATTATTAGATCGTAGATTTTTTTAATCAGTTTCATTTACTTTAACTCCTTGTTTATCATTACCAAAAAAGTTTTCTGCTTCTTGTTCGGAAAAATCACCAAAGGCGAAATCCTTCAAAAAAACATGATAGCATTATATTCTCTTCGATAAAAAAATTGCACTTACAGCCATTGTTGTTTAAAAGAGAGAAGAAAAAAAGAAGATTACTAAATAGTTAATTCGATGATCATAAGTAAAACGTAGCTATATCAGTAGTCTTTGTAATGCCTAGAAATGATCATCTAAAAAGAAAATGATTTAGATGTTGTATCGCATTTGCCAAAGAATCAAAGTTATTTCACAAGAGTGGATTCATATGAATCAATATTTATAATCGTAAGAAGATGACAAACAAGCATCCTTGCGGTAAAACGGTAAGAGCCTGTCTTTCTTGTTTATTTATTTGTTTCTTTATTCTATTCTCGAATCCATTCGGTTGATCAATTCAGTTAGATATTCTCTATCAGCCAACCAATGACAAACTCTATTGAAAAGTAATTTTTTCCTCTTTGTAATAAAAATTAAAAAATAAATGACTTTAGAAAAATCAATTTTGTAATAAATAATTAAAGAATCACTTGATTTTTATGAATATTCCCGTGTTTCTTAAAATTTTATATTATTTTGAAACGATGACATCTATACATCATAGATGTCAATGATTTATATGTATATATATGTATGTATCAGTTGTCTGAGAATAAAAGTATGTAGAATATGCATGAGATAGTCAATATAAACGTCGCGCTTCAAAAAATACATTTGACCTACGATCTAATTACTGTTAATTCTGTATCAACTGTAGCTTTATAAATACTAAGATAACAAGTCAGTCATATTTAATACATTATTGGATGTGTATCGGAAAACTTAGTATTTGTTCTCAGACAATGCTTTCTATAAACTCTACGATCTCGATGAAATTATTTAAGATTTCTCAATGAATATTTTAAACATATTAATTCAACATTCAATGTGACACAAATTCATGAATTTTCTCAATCAACTATGAGAAATTTCAATTCAATATTGTTTTCATTTAGAATATATTCGAAAGAATTCAGAAAATATTGTACAATAGAGAAAGGTCTGTTTTGTTGTTACTTGATCTCAGATTTCTGTGTAATTGCACGATTCATTACACCGAATATGCCTAAGATCAATAAGTACAGTCAGGTTTCGCCAGGAAACTAGTGGAAAAAATTAGAAGGTGAAAGCAGTATTTAGATTGGAAATTGTTTGGAGTTTTTCCTGTGATTTTTGGTCAACTTATGTTTTTTTTCAGTTACTTTTCTTTCGAATTGGTGACTTTTCCTCTGAGCTTTAGTAAATTTTCATTCATTTCGAAGTTCGAAGCTATCGACCTGGATATGATTTGAGTTTAGAATTTCTCAAAAAAAGATTTATCATGTTCGATTAAGATACAAATTCTAAGTCACGTAATATTAAATGTGCGCTAAATCAAAAATTTGTATAGTCATAATCAATAAGTCTTTTGCATATTCTTTCAATGTAATAGTAAAATAAAAAAAGATCAATTTGAAAGTAATTAAAATCTAAATTTTTGGGTTTATAGCTCTCCTTGTATTAATAAAGATGTTACACATAGCTTGGACATAGATATTAATATTCATACAATTCAAAAAATATATCTAAAATATTCAAAGATCAGTAAAAATAAGCAGAGTCTTTTCCAGTTATTATTTTCAATTTACAATCATAAAATAAAAATCATTTTAAGCATAATATTACTTTGCACACTGTTACTTTTGAATAGTTTATTCAGTAGAAACGAGATGAGATAATTATTAGTTTATGTTGTTTTAAACTAATGTATTAATTGTTGATGATTGCACGATCAAATTACTGCTCGAAAGTTTTTGTTTTTGATTAAACTAGAATTAATGATAGATTCATATCGAAGTAAAATTACTACAGATGTTTTCTTTTTATGAGGATTCTATTGATATGATTATGTCGAATTACATATGTGTTTTGTATAATAGTTATGTAATAATAATGTCATTGTAAAGGATGGAACTGAATGATATCATTTATCGAATAAATGCAACACTGATTGCTCATATGAAAGAAATATTGTTACAATAACGACTATACTCATACAAACAAAATATGGAACGAATTGATTATTTTGTTGATGACATTCAATTTAATGTTTCCATTGCCTGTGAAAAGAATGGCGTCAAATATATAATGGAATTAATGTGAATGATTGGCATTTTGCTCAAATTTCATCACTGTGCTCTGAGAGAATTTAAATGCTATGCACAAGGGAATGTTTAGGCTACAGAAGTTTCTCTTCGATAATTCTTTCGATTGTAACGAGCCAAATAAAAAACGAGAAATATGTGCTATTTGTGTACTCTTTTCATATCCGAGACAGTGAAACTACGATTTCAGTGAATTCTTGTGTACAAAAATAAAAGTGGATTTACTTTTGATGATGAAAATTTGTATTTTTATAATATTTATTAAGCATTAATAATTCAACTAAAACCTATTAGATCTATTTTGTCGATGCAAAAGCTTGAAGAGAAGAATCTGTCCAGATTGAATTTGTAGTTATTTTTGATAAAATATGAAAGCAATTAAATTCCTATATCTTATAGCTAACTTTTCATCTCTTATGCCTTGTCTATCTAGTTCTATACTTAGACAAAATCTTAAAATATTTTTACAATACTTCAATCATGGTAACATCCTACGACTCATTTATTTTGGTTCGTTAAAACTACAGTAATTTCTGTGTATATACAGTGTCTCGCTGGTTCATTCATTTTCCATTATATTAAAATCATGATAATTGCTTCAAATATCACAGAAATCAATAAATCGAATAATTCATCATCTTCTTTTCAGTATCATACATTAGTTATGCTTATGCCTTAAGATTAATGATTTTCCTAAAATTAGTTGAAGTAAAAAAGAGAAATATCTAATTAATTAAATCTCACTTAAAATAAAAAATTATTTCAATATAAGGATTATCTATATTCTGTATCCTTGAATAAAATATACATATATGAAGTGAAAATTTTTAAGGTTTTCAAGTTACATGTTTATGAAAGAGAAAAATAAAACTCCGCCAAATTCTTCATATCGAGTGACTATGAAACGAATAGAAATATAAACTGAATTTCGTATGCAAATATTTATTGTTAGTTTTGTATTTTTCAAATATCAATGGTGAAGTTTCATGTTACGCATGATTTTCTCGCAGAACACTTATATTTACGTTAATTAGCGTACGAAAAATAGAAAATCGATAATAGGCGCTTCCATTTCAAGTAATGTAACTTTTCAAGAAGAGATCAACCTATAAAATAAACAAAAATATTTAAGCGAAAGTCATCGTTAGTAAAAATAAGATTCATATATTTAAAAAATATTTCAAAGGACACTATAAATAAAGCATTGACTACACAGCATTGCACAGCATTATAGAAAAGAAGAAATTGTTTAGTTTCGTTTAGAATAGTTATCAAATTTTTTAAATTTTTTATAATAACGTTTCAGTGATCGGCTACAGAAATTGCCATAGAACAATCCATGACATAATTCATTTATTAGTTGTCTATTTATTTTTAAATTATCTCCTATAGAAAGTTATAAAATATTGATACTTTTTTTGTGTGGCTACATAATATATCGATAAGCGCCAGCAAATCCTGCATCTTAATCTAAATAGTTATTGTATGTAAAGATGCTATCTTTTGACAATAAAATTTCTTTTGAATTTTCCTCATAATTAATCAGTTTATCTAATTTCCTGTTACTATAATAGGCACTCGAAAAACTGTAATTATTTTATTCGTTGATGAAAAACCTCAAGTCATTATTAATCTAAACATAATATTCCTATTTATCAATCTCAAAAGAAAAGGAATCAATCTTCTTTTTGATTGATTTATTTGTTGTATAGTACTAAAATATCAATTGATTATGATTTTGTTGAAACTCCAATTCATACGATAATATTCAACAATTCAAATGTGTAGCTTTTATCACTACTGCTTGTATTACATTCACTTTTCAAATGTATTTTTTATCAGTCGTTATGCTACTAACACTATTCTAGAACGATTCATTAATCAATATATTAAGCGGTGAAATCTCTTATGGTCGATTGTCGATAGGGAATAAATAGTAAATCTTATCTTGGTAATTCATCATGCAGTTCAGAGAAACTGTTTTGTAACACTCAGAAATCATCCTCTAAAAAGGAATGCTGATATGGATTCTTACCTGATGTATTCTTTGAGTTTTGATATTGATCAACTTTTCATATTATATAGAATAAAAAAAAAACAAGAAGTTCTTTGACACAAATAGAATAGTTGCCAACAGAAAATTTCAATCCAAAAGCATCATCTGTCATAGTTTTCGTTCTATTGATCAATTGGCCTTTTCAGATTATAACTACTTTATAATAACCACAAACAATTGTGACTTGACGAAATTTATTGTCACTTTCATGATCATAACACAAGAGATCTCTTTGTGTAATCCAATATTTTGTAAGAAAATGTTTCTAATCATTAAGAAAATGTTACAAACCTAATGCACAATAAAGAAGTGTTTTATCTTTTCTGTGCAAGATTTTTTGAAGAGAAGAAGATATTCAATAAAGTATGATGTTTTCAAACTCGCTGACATATTAAATAGATCGAATAGACAATACTACAAACAAGACAAATCTATTTTTATTGCTTCTTTTTGTTCCCTAAAAACAACTACAATATTTCGAAGTTTTAGATTTATATATGTTGTATATTAGTATTCTGATATATTGTTTGATGTTTTAGAAAACTCAAACAGATTATATTTTGTCGATTTAACTTTGGTTTAGAAAACAATACAAAGTAAAAATATATAATCTCTTATCGTTGAGTACCTGTGTGATAATTTCTTAATGATCACAAACATTTTCTAGAAAAAGATCACCTTTAAGAAAAGATCGCTTGTTTATGATGTTCAAAATAAAAGCATACTTGTGCATGGTCATTTTTTGACGATCTATTTTATGATACTAGTCTTAATCAAAAATAGTTAATAGATGAATAGAGAAGAAAAATGTCGTAGAACACTTTGCCGCAAGACATTCTATATGTTATTGGATACAATTTTGTTTGTGTCAAAGATCGATAATTTCTTTAGCCTATATAGAGACAAAAGCTTGATCAATAACAATAGAAAACATGTTGCTTCAGTCAAACTCAACTCCAAAAATGAAGCTTCATTAGGCACTATTTCGATTGTTTCTGAACTTTCGGTGGGATCTCTATGTCAATCAAAATCTTACATTTCTGTTTTTATGTCAAAAATAAAGAATTTTTACGAAAAGTATTCTCTAAGTGTACAATTTTATTTGTAGTTCTCCCGCATAACTATTGCAAAAATTTTCATAAGAGTTAATATAAACTAAAAAACTCAATTATCCATTAAGTATAAAAATACGTAACATATGTCTGTCAATAAAGGATCAAGTAGAAAGTAAAAAAATAAACATTTATGAGTGGAATGTTATTCTTTCAAATGTACGAATAACTAGGTTTCAAATATTTCGTTGTTCGACAAATTTTTTGAATGACTTTAATCATATTCTCTTATAAAATATTATCATCAAATAACATTTTCATTCTTTTGTATCATCGTAGATAGACTATGGCTAATGTTTTTCATTTAATTTCTGAACAAACTTTATCTATTGAGATAAGAATAGAATTTGACTAATATTTATTTTCATGCTCACATTTTTTTCATTAGAAACACATATATTTCGTACTGATTTCTATACCTATCCAGGTTATTAATTTAAAATTTAAGCTAGAGTATTAATATGATGAATTATGCATAAAAACGAATTTATATAACATTCAAAATCAAATTTTAATAACTAATAAAATTGATTTTGATTTTTTTTCTATATTTTTCACTCTCGTTATTGTACACATCGAGTTTTACAAAAACAAACGAAACAACTCATGTGCATGTGAAAACTAGGAAAAATATGACAGACATACAAGCACACAAAACAAATATAAAAAACAAAAGACCAATATTATTATTATTATTATTATTATTATTATTATTAGTGTGTGTGTTTCAATGGAAGAGATGATCTTTTCTCACTGTTAATGAATATTTTCTAGTCATCATCATACACCTTATTTGTTCTTTGCTTGAAATTAGACTGATTTCACCGGTTTCAAATTTGGTTGAAAGAAGGATGAAGCACATGATACATAGACAAAAAGAACAAAAAGAAAAAAGAAAGAAAAGAAGCAAACTGCATTCTTGCGGACATCATCAAAAATGACTCTCACATTTTAAGAATACATTGCACAGTATCTACAAAAAAAAAAGAATCGACGATGGGATTCGATAAATTAAGGGAACGTGAAAAAGAAACGAAACAAAACCGGTCAGTTACACTTGTTGATTGTGCATATCTAGGAAAATAAAGGAAAAAAATTTCGTATAGAATTAATTGGAAATTCTTACCGACAATAGGTCTCTTAAGCACCGTACGTAAAATTGATGTTGAAGATTCATTATGTGAAAATAATTGATGATTATTAGAAGGAAGAAAAGAAGATAGTTGTTGCTGTTGTTGTTGCTGTTCATCAATCATTTCGTGATGATGATGCACTAAAGTCGAAAGATCATCATCATCATCATCGTCACCATCATCATTTTCTTCATCAATGCCATTTAATTGAAGTAAAGATTCAATATCTGAATGATGTTGATGATGATGACTATAAAGTGTCAATGTTCCATTCGAATTTGGATGGAGATAACCATTAGATAATGACGATGAAGGATTTTTATGTGGATGTGAATAACTTGATGACGAAGATGCTGATGATGACGATGATGCTAAAATATTATTTGCCGTTAATATTGGTGGTGATAGTGATAGTGATGATGATGATGAATGTGACGATGCTGAATGAGCATGTATATACATATTTTGATCATCATTTTGATCAATTTGATGTTGTTGCTGTTGTTGTTCCTGCTGTTGCTGTTGCTGTTGTAAAGGATACGATAGTCCATTATTTGTATGATATGTATCCATCGGAAGTAGAGGATGATCATTAAGCACCGGTTGTTGATGATAATATCCATTATTTGAACTGATATCATAATGCGATCCATGATGATGCTGATAAAGTGTTTGCGGTTGATGATGATGAAAATGTTGTGGTTGGTGATGATGATACGAATAATCGCTCGTATTTGTAGGGTTTGAAGATGTATTAGATACATAATTAGTTGCTATATCGTCAAATAAATATGTCGATTGAATTCCACTGGTAGAATTATTGTTTGCTAAAGGTGTATTTACTGATGTTGAATAAAGATCTTGTTCGTATAAATGGTTTACTGATGTATCCGAATCTAAATGTGTTGTCCATTGTTGTGTATCATAAATAGGTGCAGATGATAAATCAGGTAGTGGATTTTGTGGCGTTGTTGAATCTTGTTGTTGCTGCTGCTGCTGCTGTTGTTGTTCAGTAGTTGTTAATATCCGAGAAGATTTTATTATTGAACGAGGTGTACGAAGTCGTTTAGTTGTTGTTGAAGAGGATTTTAGATTTTGACCTAAACGGCGTCTTGTTTGTTTTATTTTATTTGTTGTTGCAACTGTACCATTGGGAATATTTGATGAGGTATTCTTTTCATCTGGATTAATAATCCACCATGATGATTTACCGGTACCTTCGCTTTGAATACGTTTAAATCGATTGTGTAATGATAAATTATGACGAATAGAATTCTGAAGAAATAAAGGCAAACATAAATTAGAAGAGTTTTTGCTTTTAAATAATATCTATCTGAACGATTACCTTCCAACCAGCACTACTGGCTCTATCAACTTTATTACGAAAGAAAGGAACATATTTTATCATCCAATCATAAATTTCAGATAATGTTAGACGCTGTTCAGCACTGGTTGTTATAGCTTTACTAATCAACTCAGCATAACTTAGATTACCCCATGCATTTTTTCGTGTGCCACTACCATTCTTTTTAGTTAAACCCAATTCATATTCGACATGTTTGGCTAATTGTGGATCAATATCATTTAGAGCAGATGTGCCTACTGCTGCAGGCAATGCTGCCGTTCCTGATGATGTTGTTGTAACAGCAACTGTTGTACATGAAGTCTTTGGCGAAAGTGATGATGAACAGATCGATGGTGATCGTGAAGAATCGCTTTGTTGATGATGTTGATTATGGTGATGATAATAATGAAGGTCAGATTGATGTTTAACCATCGGACTATCGACAAATAAATCACAGGATGACAAGACACCAGACGGGTCGTTGTACATTATCATTCTGTGTTAATGATTGCATCGGAGAAGAACTCGTTACAAAAGAAAAAGGGCGACAACGGCGACGGCAACGGCGGCGATGACGACGACAAATGAAGAGGGAATCGTTTTCTAGAATATACAGCTGATGATTGACTTCGATTGAAAAGATAGGCATAGAAAGAATACAGGGGGAATGTTCTGTCATCATCTTCATCTCCTTCTCATTCTCAGTTGTATGCGCAGCCGGAACCCACGAACGCCTACAGTGGCATCGAGAGCGCGCAAGCGAGTCGTTCAAGGACGTGATTAGTGCACGAGCCTTGCCGCCGCTTCTCTTTCTCGTCTCTACATTCTCTCTCGCTAGCCCGACTTTTTTTTTGTATTGAGAAGCAAAAAAATTATTCTCCTCCTTTTCTCTATTCATATTGGACAGACGTATTGCATCGCATCGCGTAATTTTCTTGCCTTTTTTTTCTTTCTATTCTTTTTCCAGCCGTTCGAGTACCACACAACGTAACATACAACAACGCGAGACTGACAGGGGCAACCCGCTAAAAGCATATAAAAAGAAAAGGAAAAGAAAGGGATCGCACAAGCTCGTCTACTCTTCATAAGCACATATAGAATATATATATATAAATATATATATATATAAGAAAGAGTGTAGTAATATTCAAAATATTTCGTTTGGTCTTTCTTTCGTGTATCTGTTCTATTCTGTTCTGTTCTTTTCTTTCTTTTATTCGTCATGTTTACTGACATATATATATATATATAAGGAGGCATCCTATTGCGCACAAGACAACAGTAATAGAAAAGAGAAGGAGGTATGCAACACAGTTTTAGATGCATGCGTGTAGATTGACACGGACGTCCGGAGCTGTGCAAACCTTCATTCTCTTTTCTTGGTTCCCTATCTTGTCGATCTCGTACATGGACTTTAGTTAGCGCACAGCAGCAAATCAGCGAGACAGTGGTAGCAAGAGTAGCTCTGTCGTTGATGATAGGCCGTTAATGGAATGAAACAACGACAGGAGAAATCGAGACTCGTTCTTTCTTTCTCTCCTATTGTTCTTTTTTCTTTCTTTCTATTAACAGACTACTATGTGACACCTTTCAACAAACATCAGCAGTTGTAAAGCGCACGTCAGAAAGAAATAGACGATGAAGTGCAGTATGTTGACACTCGCTTTTGTCTTTTTGGCCTTGAAACATTGAATTGACAGATCTCACTAAAAGAAACGATGATAGATTACTTATTACGTCGAAATAAAAATAAAAATCTCGAACTTTAAAGAGAAAAAGATTAACATTGATGCAACATAATTAGAAAGAAAAACTAACGAAGACATCATATTGGGTCCGTTTTTTTTCTCTTTTTCTCGCACTACTTTTTTCCCATCATACAGGTGCGCATGCTGTGGTGTGCTTTCTTTACCTTGCACACACAAACGAAATCAAATTACACTCTTCTTTTTTCCTGGGAGACATTGAGTGGGAGCAAGAGGCAAAGAGAGAGGTAGAGCAAACATGTCGATGAAGGTATGCATAAAAAAAAGAAAATGAAAATGAAAGCAAAGTAAAAGCGACAACGATAATCATCATCATCATCATCTTTTTTATAAAAATTACCTTGCGATTAGTATGATTTCGTTTCATTGGACGAGTATTCTACTAAAATAATATGACATTATTTCCCAAGAAGAATCATCGGAATAAATTCAAAAATTCACATCCGTTATAATAACCATAATAGTAATCAAATGTACATGTTGATTAAATTGATCAAATAAATGCACAAATTTTATATCTAGGAAGAAAAGCTTCAAAAGATAAGAATTGATCATTAAAATACATTCTTTTGATAATAGATTTCATTGCAAGAATGGTTATTCCATAACATTTTTGATAGACAATGGTTTTTTCACTGTGTAAAAATAATTATTACTAGTATTATCTCACTAACTAGAACTTGTCAAATTCAAAACGACAAAATGAATCATCAATTAATTTCGGCATCATATTTTGGATTAATTTCTACAATAATCACATAGAACAAAATTTATATATTAACTTAAGGTCATTGATTTCAATGAGTAGCTCTATATAGTATTGTATAGAACAAGATAATCAAAGTCAGAAGAAAAATGAATAGATGCATAATGCATAAAGCCGAGGATCAAATGATTTCTGTATTAATGCCTTTTTATTGGTATTGGTGGTATATCGAACAGTATTTATTAGCTTTCAAGAAGACTACCGATATGAAAGAATGAATATTAGTAGAACAGGTTTTTATTATTAATACAGATCAGATCTTTTCGAATTAAGTATGACCATTGCATAATTAATTAATGCGGTGTGAAGCGCAGCATTCATGTAGTCGGGCGCGAGTTCTTTTTTTTTACTATTTTACTTGACGCGTACGCGTCTAAAACGTGATTTTTGTTGCGTGGTGGTTTCGAAATTGGAGAGTTATATAAGATTCGTTGAAAATTTAGGTAAGAGTTTTAAGATCGAACTTGATAGATCTTGTTTCCGCTTTTAATGACTTCGCGTAACGCGTATTTGCTTCGCACCGCATCTCGTAGTCGAGTGAAACTCGAATACCATCTAGTTTAATTTAATTTGATATAAGTTATAATTCATTCAATTTTAAAGATAAACGTTGATTTTGTGTAAGAATTATTTCGATATGATGGAGTTAAAAGTAAAACAAAACATTCGAATACTTTAGTAAGATTAAATTAAATGATTTATTTGGCAGATCAAATTATTCCATGAAAGAACTACGTTACTTTAAAAGTTTAACATTCAGTCGATGTAACTAAGTGATTTTTGTTTCATTGAAAAAGATAAACTATCGAGTTTCCGTTAGTTTTCTGCACTGAATTATTATTGCCTATAAAAAAGGAACAATAATCAGCATACTATTCATAAATTAGAATGCTTGCAAAACTTGTGTCGAACATTTTTTTGTACAATCAAGAAGCTTTAGAAATGTTTAGCTCAACGAAAAGAAAAACAACAGAAATCATACTTTTACTAAGTCTCTGTTGTTTCCTAGCTTTTTCAAGAATCAAGTTTCTTAAGATGTTTAAAATAACTCATTTAGACTTTGAAATTGTTTTTGTGAACTATTCACTTTGTGTTCGTCTAATTGCTCATAAAATTAGATAGATAAAAATACGAAATCTACTCATTGACCACTCAAACGAAAACTTGCTGCACATCGAATGTGATATATACATTTTTAAACAGAGTGGTTCAAAGGCGACGGTGATGAAAAAAATTGAATATCTTCATTATGGTTCTATGTCTACGAAGACATGTTTAGAAAGAATCTTTGTTCAGAATCACTTTTGACTTCAACAGAAAGACTCTCAATATTAAAAATCAAGCGAAATTTTGATTATTAAACATCTTTCATTCATTTTTTTTCCTCTAGTTTTCTTCTATAATTCTATTACAACCTAGATGGTTAGTTTACAAGATACTGTTGTCCATATTCGTATAATATTCATCTACTTTTATTCTGTGTTCTCTTGTCCTGTGTTGTCCGCGCCTGTAAATACATGAGTTCGTTATGAGAACTGCTTACTGACTATATCGTAGACAATAAAGAACAAATGTGGGCAAAGTACAACTATAATACACAAAATGAAAGTAGGCAAATATTATATGAATATAGCCAACAGCATCTTACAAACTAAGTATCTAGGCTGTAATAGAGTTATAGGAGAAACAACGTACGAATGAACGACGCTTAATAGCCAAAACTTCATTTGATTATTGGCTTTTTATCTAGATTACTGGTTCTTATTCATATTGCATTATTTTTCTTCTTATATATCAGTATTTCGGATTATTTTTGGTGAAGTCAAAAGTGATTCTGAACAAAAGGTCTTTCTAAATATGTCTTCATAGATATAGAACTTGAGTTCTTGCATCATTAATAAAAAAAATCAACTCGTTTACTCGAGCCATGATGAAAATATACAATTTTTTCAGCACAGTAACTGCTGGGTCAGTCTGTACGTATACATATATAATAATTCATGTCTTGCAATTTTGTTCAGCAAATAAGCGTAACAGTTTTTCAATTACATTTAGCCTACATAATACATATATAGCGCTTCATAAGAATACCCAACTGCAATTGAAAGCGGATATCATCACATAATGTAAGAAAAGTCGCAAGTAGATTTATTTTCATATTCCGATTCAAATCAACCGAAACGTTGAAATCTATTCTCTATCTTAGAATAATACTTTTTCAAAAACAAAAAGACTTCAGTGTGATTAGAAATTGATTTTTCATGTTTACATTAGCCGTTACCATAAATTCTAACAAGAATTTATTTAGTGAATCAAGTATCGAGGTTTATTTTCGAAAATAATTGATTGTTTAAAATTAAAAAAAGTGAATAGATCCTCTCTAATACAGTTTTCTCAGGAGATTTGAGAAGTAAAGGTTCTTCAGCTCCTAGATTATTGAAGTATGCTTCTGTTTGAATCCCGCAAATCAAAAACTTCTCTTATTACTTCGGCAATTTTCGATAAAAATTTAGAAACTCTTTGGAAGCTCTAGAGATCATTTCTTTTTCATAGGAAAATAAAGGGATAGCAATTTCTGTGCTTCCGAAAAGATGGTGCAACTTATCTAGGAATAGTCAAATGAGACTAGAAGATATTTCATGCAAATAGTTCAAAAACAACTAGAATTACAAATCTTTCACACAGAAAAATAGAGATCGTTTTTAACAGTAGAAGCTTTTTGATGAAATCGAAATCTTTATCCAAATCACTATTTGAATTTTTCCTTAGCATTTACGATAGGAAAAAAAATAACTCAGTTAAGACAATAATCCGAGTTATTGTTTTTCAAGAATGTTGAACTTAGTGTCCGCCAATTACTAGGAATTTTTTTTCCGGTGACTTTATTTGAATTTTATGCATCAGTGCTTAGACGTATATTGATATTTTTAAACGAATAATTATGTTGAATCTATGTCGACAAAAATAGAAAATAAATTGAATAAAAAAGGAACAAAAAAAATAGATTAGCATATTTTTTTAAATTAAAATCGTATAATAAAGCTTGAAATTGAAAATTCAATGCTTATGTATGATTGACATTCATTTGTAAATTCTGCTCCTTAAAAATATTCGTTAAAACACATGTTCTATTCACAGGAAATCTAGAATGAATTTGAATATATTATAAGAATTGTTGAACATGCATCTATATATAGATGGAATAAAAGCCGAAAATTCTCATTATACTTCGATGAGGTTGAACCATACGTAAACGTAGATCATCTAGTTCTTTCACGTAACGGAAGGATATCAATTAATATTTCTAAATCCTTTTCTTGATGAGATTTCATAATTTTATGTACTTTGAGAGCATATTTGATTGTCTACTGGTCGACGTAACCATTCACTATCAAGTCAATGCTGACTTTTCTAAGATCCGTGAAATAGCAGTCTTCTAACAGCTTTTTCTATAATTTGATTTTGATTTTTTGCACACAGAACAGCATCTGTAAATGTTTATAAACCGATAACATGAAGTAACTAGTTTTTAAAAAAGAAACTCAAGAAAATAAATCTTTTCGAAAAAGGATCATTTAGATATTCTACATCACATATTAAAATGAGCAATACCGTTCTTCTTTGAATGAAATTCAATCTAATTGGACTCGAATCGAAAATAAGATTTGCTTATTCATCATCATGCCTATTATGATATTTCCACGTCTATCTCTACAAAAGATAAGACGAGGATAACAGAAAACTCACAACTAAAGAGTCTTCAAAAACTACAAATGAAGTAAACGCTGTAAGGATATATAGGGACTGAGAGCACAACATTTCATAAATTTTTTGAGACAATAAATTGTAAGCTAGCAAAGACCAGATGTATTACGGGTCTTTTTAGATCAAATTACTTTCTTAATTCTCTTGACAATAAATAGTACAGATTATTTTTGTAGAAATGAAATCAAAAACTTCTCTCTCTGATAATCGTACTTTTTTATTGAATCCGATGAAAAAAAATTAAAAAAATTTTTATTTGCTAATAAATTAAACAGTTAACGTTTTCTCTATTCAATTAATTATTTTGCTTCCATTTAGTATTTTTAAATACATATTTCTCATTGAATATCTCAATGAAAAGTTAATCAATAAAATTTTTTTTACATCAAATAGGGATCACTTTCAATTAAAACAATAATAGAATGACTCAACATTTATTTCAAAAGTAGGTACGTAGATTTTCCATAATGCAACTGTCGCTTCCAATACGATAGAAATCATTGATAGTTTCGAGAAGACCATATCATGAAATTGCTGTGATTCGACTAGTTCTACGGAAGTTTTCTAGCTTACGATACATTTTATTTTTATTTCAGAAAAATTCATCTGATTCACACATAATCATCAACACAAGCTGAATTAAATATTTGACTTTTATGTAAGTACTACCAGGAGAAAAAAGGATCAAAACAAAAATAGAACAAAGATAAAATTGATATATTATAAATGCATAATCAATACATTGTATAATTAAAAGTTGTACGAGATTAGAGTAATTATTGTGTCCATCCTTTGAATATTGCCTATTATTGCCAAATCACAGATGATATCCAGAAAAATAATGGCATTGACCCTGTTATTGATATCTCGAAAAAATTCATTACATATTTACTAATCCCGAAAATAATGCTTTGTAATTTTACACAGTGCATCGCCATTCTTACTCTTCAAATGACATTATAATATGCACAATACAAAAGGAGGGCAGTAGTGGATTGAAGAGTAATTTAAGGGAGAACTTCATCCACTTTTTATCTTATTTAACTTTTTTAAAGATTTATTTCAGTCGTACGTAGATGCCACAGTAAGTGATGCTTTTCGCTTCTTGATTATTTGTACCTTATTCTCAAAGAGCGAGCATAACAACTTCAAATGCTTGGTAAAATGAAAAATTAACAAACTTCTTATTATGTGTGCATTTCACTAGGTCATCACTGGTTTCAACATGTTTAGAATATTAATATATTAGTTTTAGAATAATACAACATTGAAGAATAAAAGAAAATTATATTACCTAATATCATATCTGAAAATAAGGATGTCTTTCAATCATCTTTTTCTCGACAAAGCGATCTGGATAAAAATACAATCTAGAATAATATAAACTAGAATAATGTAAAAACTTGCATGGTAAATAACTCGAATGTTCAACGTTTGAATTCCAATGATAATTATTTTGCTACAATTGAACGTCAGTACAAAGGATACATACTTAGAGTGTTTAAACGCATTCGTGTAAATCTCTTGACAGCAACTCCATTCAATAATATCCTTTTCTGTACATTTGTATTTTCAACTAGTAGAATTATATCATGCAACCAAGGAACTTGTTTAAGGATAAAAAAAGCAATGAATGACAAATATTTTTCTAGAGAAAATTTTGTTTGTTAACTGCGAATTGCTGAAAAGGATTAACAGGGTTGACCATATTGTGTACAATAGTCAAATTAACACTAAGATTTTGATGAATTACAATAGAACTGGTTTTATTTCGTAAAACATTAATTTCATCTATTTTATGTTTACTAAATACATAGAAACGATTTATCGTCGTATTCGTTACTACGAAATAAGATCTGAAGTTCTACTTGACTTTTAATATGTTCAAAAATATGAATTGATTGGCTACATCAATAACACGAGAAAAATAGTCTAATTGAATAAGAAACGGCAAGGTAAGTAACTTTCATTTTTATCTTTTTGAGATCCCCATCATTGATCAATTACATATGAATCTCTTTTTACAAGATGAAATACGAAGCAGATTTACTTTATTGTTATGGCTACCTACTCGATGGGACCGTTCATTATTTGAATAGTTTTAATTTCAACAGACCACAATGGGCTCATTCATTTGTATACATTGTACAATCTTGTTCTGATTTCTTACCTCATATAATTAATATTATTGTAGAACAAAACTTAATCGACATGTGTCTAAAACAATGAAAGAATGTTTCATTTTCTTTTTGGAATATTGAAGTTCTCTTTAGTAAACATGCTCTATAAGTTGATATTATTTCGACTATGAAGCGATTTCACTGATTGCCAATAGTTGAATAAAATAACATATTTTAATCGATCAAAATTCATCTATGATTTTGGTTTATTAATAAATGTTGGCTCTTCTTTTCTGAGTTATATTAATAATTGATTATTTTTAATCATACTTTTCTTTAGAAGTATACAAAAGTAAGAAGAAAAAATTTCCAACAGTGATGTATCCATCTATTTCGCTTAGGAAGTAAAACAAATACGGGTTACAAAAAAAAAGAATGAAAAAAAAACGCATCAACTCGGAGGCGAATCACTGGGATCCTCTTTTTGTTTATACCGATTAGAATTTTTTGAATTCTCTGTTGCTGATACTCTCACTTCTTGATCCAAACGTTCTTTTGCTCGATAAATTTTCGATTGCAAATAAAACGAGCCACCTTTTGTTTTATCATTGAGATTGAATAAATGTTCATAGTTTTTTTTAATTTTCTCAACATCATCAAAATCTGCATCACTGATATTAAGAATTTGTTTCGCTTCCTTAAAAGAAAAACATTTTTTTTCAAATTTTTAATTAGAGAAAAACAAAACTCGCTAAATCCATACTTGAAGAGTCATGCCAGCGACACGATCAGCTTGGACAGTATTGGCTGTTGTTTTACCGCTCTGTTGTGCAGTTTTTGCATCTAAATTGAATTTATAAAATATGAAGTATAGAAATGAATTTTTTTCTTTCACACTCTACATTGTAGTTCTTGACGAAGTGCACGTGTGAATGCTCGACCAATTACTTGCGAACCTAATATCGCTATTTGAATCAGATGTTTTGCCTATTTCGATTAGAATGAAAATTAGTCTAACACCAATAATCCATCTATACATACCATTTGATTGATATGATTTTGTTTAGATTTAGGAAATTATATCGTAATAATAACAATAATTTAACAAAAATGAAGATTCATACATGGATGGATTAAATATCCATAACGATCTAAAATGATGTAATGATTTAGAACTACAATATTATTCACGATAAGAAAAAAATATGCAAAGTTTGTTATTTTTCTATATCAGAAATCTAACTGCTAGAGTAAACAACATGAGAAACTAAAATGAATACATCATGAAATGAGAAAAAGAATTGACTTTAAATATCAATTGTATCCTGATTTTATTGCGTATGCGAAATAAAACGACTTAACATAATCAGCAAATATAGATGTCGTACAATATCATACGGAAACGTATCTAAAAAATATAAATTCATCAATCAAAAATTTATCAAAATCCACATGATACATCTAATTCCGAATCAAGACATTTATCAGTTGGAAGAATTCCTTTATTTTAGTAGTTAATAACTTCTTCTTTAAGTCATTTTTGAAGGATTGAAATTATCAGATTTGAATTCAATTAGAACTCTGCAAAACATATTCGATATGACAATATGATGATAACATTCACGGAATGACTTTTCTCAAGAGTTGATAAATTCAAAACGTAACAAGAAGTTATAACTGATATAATACATATATTGTAAGATGTACATGAAAAACATCAAAAAATGATTTGTTTTTCCATTTTTTCCATCAGTAACATCAATACAGTTAGTATCTTACTCATCGCATAGTTTAAAATTAAATTAGACATAAAATTATGACTCTTCTTGTATTGATATTACTTTTTTTACACTGATTTAGTTGTATATTTATTTTTCTTCTTATCTTAATAGGGTAACAATCAATTCACTGTTAAACGTACTTGTTACCGCGTTATGTTTTTATCTTTTCTTTAACAATAAAAATAACAATAACAAAAAGAAAAAGAAGTATTTTATTTGCCGGTTTTTGCTTTGTTTTATGTCATGAACTCTATTTGATTAAGAATTGAATCGAAAATCATGACGGCGGCAAAGATGATTGGAATAATGTGATTTTTTTATGATCATTCAAGAAAAAAGTAATTGCCAGCTGCTTTTTGCTCCGTATCCTAATTAACAACGAAAAATAAGCATTAGTAATTGGAAACAGATTTTATCGAAAATTTCATTTACTTTAACAGACTCCCGCTTATTGATACGTGGTCTAGCATTTTCTGGATCTCGTCGAAATGTTATTTCAAGTTGTTTTAAAAATGAATTCATACCAGGTACAAGTGCTTGTGGTCTAAATATGAAAAGAAAATTTCTTTAGAAAAACTCAACTAAATTCATTTTTCATACTCAGAAGCATGAGAATTGACTGATGGTTGACCATCAAAGACAATAACGCGATCAGCCAAATATGTTGCCATAATAAAATCATGTTCAACGACGAAACCTGTTTTCTTACAGTGAAGAATAAATCTAAAAGAATTTTAAAATGGTTAATGGTTTTGTTTTATTTAGAAAAGTTCTTACCGTTTAATAACTCGTGCAGCATGTAAACGTTGTTCCGAATCAAGATAAGCTGATGGTTCATCAATTAAATAAACATCAGCTGGTTTACCCAAACATAAACATAATGCAACACGCTGTAATTCACCGCCAGATAAATCTTGAACCTTAAAGACATATTATAATTGACGAATAAAACTGAATTTCATTAGCAAAAAGAAAACAATTTACATCTTGGTCAATAATATTATCGATTTGAAGTGGACGAGAGACATCCGTTTGAAATTGTGGATGAAACATAGAGTCACGAATTTTTGCATGAAGTAAATCCCGAACTTTACCGGCAAATTTTGGACTAATCTTTTGTGGTTTATAGGAAATGTTTAATTGAGGAACTTCGACTAAATATTAAAATAAATTATGTATTCAAGTGAAAATTAAATAAACAATAAACTCAATAAATATTTATTAAGTATTTTTAATTTTTGCATGGGCTTTTCAAAAGTTATCAGAGAATTTCTAAAATATTAGAGAGAAATTCTTTTTCTTTTTTTGTATAAACATTTTCAATGTTGAGAGAAAACTTTCAGGTTTCATTATAGACTGATCTTGAAAACAATCACTTCTCTACCAAAATTATATTGATATTGTAGTCAGAATATTGAACTGTAGTCTTCAGTTTGGATCTCATTGAGTGTTCACATTTCACTTAAACAAGCAACTTTCAGAGAAAAAAAACGGATCAGGTATATCTCTATGATTCTATAAAAACTAGAACTCGAGTTAACAGGCAAAAAAAAGAAAATGAAATCTTGTTTTCTTTTAAACACACTAACCTCCTGCATCGGGTTCCAAATTTCCAGCTAATATTCGAATCAAAGTTGTTTTACCTATAAACACATAAATTCAAATTTAATTCAATCATCTAAGCTGATTACTTACCAGTTCCATTTTCTCCAAGTAAAACAATGATTTCAGACTCAGTAAATGATCCTGCATCAACTGATAAATCAAAAGATCCTAACTTTTTTGTCATAGCTGGATAATAATGTGTTGATGAACGTTTAACTTCTTCTTCCGATGCTGTCTCGACGACTTTGAAGGTTAATGCAACATCACGAAAACGTAAATTTTCTGTTCGAATAAAGCCTTCCAAAAATATGTTAATACCTAAAGAATATAAAATCTTAACAATAAATAAATCTCATTGATATTTTATATTCAACCTTCGCGAACAGAAAAGGGCATGGTAACAACACCATAATGACCAGGTGAACCATATAAAACACAAATAAAGTCGGACAAATAATCAAGTACCGACAGATCGTGTTCAACCACAATAATATATCTATGCAACATAGAAAAATAGCGCTGTTAATAATAGAATTAATGTAATCGATTAAATAAGCTTCTTAATATTTTAATCATCATTATTTCTAGAAATTTGACTCAAAACATTCATTTCTTATGATAGAAATAATAAAAAAAATCACTAGACATAAATAGTGGATAGTTCCATCATTTCATCTGCTTTTTTGCGAAATATAAATACTCAGCATATAATTCAATGTATTTTAGTTAATTAATAACTAATCGAGTTGATCATTATCAACAGAACTGATCGAGAGGTACAGTAGTAATTTCATTTCAATCAAAAATAAAACTGAGTGAAATCAACGTAACTACTAGATTCATCGATTAAGATCCAACACTCTATATATATATATCATATAGAACTGGATGATTTATGAATTACTCGAAGAAAATTTTTGATTGTTATCAAATATTTATAGGATATACTATCGGTTCGTAATATCTTCTAAGATCTAGTGATCTCTTTCAGTAACAACGTGACAATAGATTTTTTTTTCAATTTTGATCAGTATTCCTATAGAGAAACTATTCTCGATGAGTTATCTATGCATGAATCGTTTAAATTCAAAATTTGAAAACGACTGTTTTGAATTGCTAACGAGTTCTATACTATTGAATACTCAAAAAGTTTGTAAAAATACAGAATTTTCATAGAGATGAACTAAGATTTCGAATGTATCTCAGCATGTGTATCGTTTATTAGGATCTATACACATGATGCATAACTATACGTTCTATTCAACAGTAATCAATCAATTGTGAAATTTTCTTCACAAAAATCAACTTTGATTTAAATTGATCTTTCTTGTTTAATCTCAAAGGGTATTTAGCATTATTCAGATCCTTCATTTCTATTTGCTCCTGTAATATCACTCTGAACATGATAGTAGTTATCAATGGCACTAAAACAAATTGTTCAGTTATATGCTATATTTTCTTAGTTCACTGATTATACTCATCCCCACTGACAATGATCAAAACTGTGATCCGTTAATTTCAAACAAATAAATCTATTCAAAATGGTCAATAGTTCAGTTATTCTTTGATTCTTCAATTAATAATAGAAAACTAACCAACCGATTTTCTCGAATAATATTTCGAATAGCCAAGGCAGCTTTTAAACGTTGTTTAACATCGAGATAACTTGATGGTTCATCAAACATGAATATATCTCCTTTTTGTATGCAAACCATGGCACATGCAAACCTTTGTAATTCTCCACCTGATAAATCACCTATTTGTCGATCTTTAACGTTTGATAAATCAAACGATTCAGTTATTTCATCTTGATTACCCAATTCATTTTTTTTATCTAATAGATCACGTACACAACCCTACGAAAAAAAGACGATGAACAATTTTAAAAAAATTCGCTTTTTTTCTTCATCTAAATCATTTTACTTGAGCAGCTCGTGGAATTTGATCAACATATTGTGGTTTAAGTATAGCTTTAAGATTTTCTTCAAGAATTTTTGTAAAATAATTTTGTAATTCACTACCACGAAAATATCTTAATATATCTTGCCAATCGGGTGGTGTCTAATTAAAATAATAAAACATAAATTGGATCAAGTAAAAACAATCATATTCTCTACCGTAAATTTGCCCAAATTAGGTTTCAGTTTTCCAGCTAACACTCGCAAAGCTGTCGTTTTACCTGTACCATTTGAACCCACAAGACCTAAAACTTGTCCTGGTCTTGGTGTTGGTAAACGATGTAATTTAAATGAATTAGGCCCATAGCGATGAGTTGTTTCTTTATCAAGATTACTTGGTAAATTAATAATAGTTATCGCATCGAATGGACACTTTTTCACACATATACCACAACCAATACATAATTCTTCTGATATGTGAGAAATTTTTGATTCAGCTGTTACTTCAATACATAATTTTCCTGTTTTATTAACTGGACTATAATATTATTAAAAATAAAAACATTATTATGAAGTATACAAAGAGTGAATAAATTCAAATAACAAACCATGATCGCTTGCACTCTTGGTTACACTTTTTTGGTTTACATCGATCATTATTTACTATAGCAATACGTGTTAAAGATTCTTGTTCACGATCTTGTCTTTCCAGACGCCGACTATGCATTGTTGGTAATTTTATTTCTCTTGAAATAGAAGAGAAATCTAGAAACGATTTTATATATAACTAATGAAAAAAATGCAATACTTGCATAAAAGAAATTTCACAAGAGTAACACGAGAAGAAAATTATGAAATTTATTCAAGCAACCGATTTCGATATAGTTAGTAGTATATAAATAGAATATTTCTATGAAAAGATGTTCTCAATCTCAAATTCTTTTCTCGATAAAGTCCTATGTGTTCATGAGTGACGTATTATTCATTGTCGTCTCATAGGTGGCGCTTTCGAAATCACTTATGTGTGAATAAAAATGGATGAGTTTCTTATAAATAAATGGAAACAAGCAAACCTCACATCGTATTAAAAGATACAACAAGCTTTTGCTATCCAATGGAAATTTTTGATAGATGTTTATCCAATCCATCGAAGTACATTGTGTTAAACTTTTAGTTGTATCAAAAACAAATCAACAACAAGAAGGATCATTATTGGTAAACTAATAGAAGATAAAGCGGTGTATATTCGAAATATAATATACAACAAGTCGTATAGGAATGACATCTATCACAGGGATATCTATATATAGATAATCATATAGTGTTGGTGCAAAATGAAGAGATCGAACATTTTGAATAAGTTTTATACTTTCGTGAAATCGACAACATATCAACAGCGATTCTTGATAATATTATACTAAAATATAATTTGATGCGCTGTTAGAGATAATTATTTTGCATATGACTATTATGCTCTCGTATCATGTACTTGGTCGATATTGCATACTTGTCTTTTTACTCTTATCACTAAGTCCTCTCAAAGGGCATATATGATATTATCTGTATGATAACTTTATTCAATAGAATAGCATCATACAATCGTCAAAAAAATTTATCCATCTAATGAACGGTAGACAAAATTTTCATGTATATCCACAGCGATTTTGGGTTTTATTCATTTTTGCCCTACTTGCTTTCAATCAAACTATGTTTTGGCTAACATTCTCGCCTATTGCTGGCCCTTCACGAATCTTTTTTAGCATATCTGAAGCAACGGTTGATTTGTTACTGAATTGGGGTCCGATTATATTCTTACCTACACTACCATTTGTCTATCTATTACTAAATACATACCACGGCTTTCGTAAATGTGTACGTATTTTTGCTATTGTTCCTGTTGTAGCTACATTATTACGTCTTTTCCCGTTGATAATTGTATCCCCGACTAGTGAAAAGTTTCATGATATTGCTGTACCATTTCTTCATATTGGCCAGATTCTTATTGCACTAACAGGTCCAATATCTATGGCACTTGTATCGCAACTTTCATGTATTTGGTTTCCTTTGCATGAACGAACACGATCAACGACTTTTGCTATTCTTGGCGCAACTTCAGGTGGTGCTATTGCATTTGTCGTTGAGCCTCGTCTTGTATCTGAAGCTTGGCATATTCCACGTTTATTATATATGCATACGGGGCAGGCTATATTTGTATGTATTCTCACTCTTGCCTATTTTCCTGCCGAACCACCGTCTCCTCCATCTGCTGCAGCTGATATGTTGACAACAAGTCACCTAATCCACATAAGACCGATTCAACGATTGAAAAAATTTGCACTTGATATTTTTCATTGTTGTCGAAATCTATCTTGTATTCTTATGATTTTATCAGGTGCTGTTATGGGTGGCATATTTGCTGCATGGGGTGGGCTCTTTGCTACTATTCTTGCGCCATTAGGGTACACAGAAATCGAAGCTGGTAAGATTCTTGTTTTTCTTTTCATCTTAATCTTAACAAATAGGATTGTTCTTTCCGACACAAATTAGGTTGGTTTGGTTTTGGTCAAACAATAGCTAGTGCCATTGGTTCAATAGCCATTGGTTATATTGCTGATCTTCCACGATTTCGACGTTCGTTTAAATTATTTATACTTATTTCTCTTACTCTTTGTTTCATATTTTGTTTATTTTTTCAATTGAGCGTTCGTACAGTTATTTGGCCTAAAGAACCGATATTACCATCAAGTTCTGCTTCTATTGGAGTTCTCTTATCTATTATTGGTTTTTTCTCTGGTGCTACATCACCACTTTTTTACGAAAGTTTAGCTGAAATCATGTATCCTTTGCCAGAATCTTTAACGACATCGATATTAGTATACATTTTTAATATTATAACACTTTGTTTTATTGCAATCGCTCCCAATCAATATAAATTAATGAACTTATTGGTATTTCTAATGATTGGGCTCTGTATTCTGATGGTTGCATGTGCTCGAATTACTTATAATCGTAAAGATGAAGAATTGAGAAAATGTCGAGGGCAAGAAAATGAAATTAGTGAAGATGTAAATCACATTTAACATGTTTTTTTTTTCTCAATAAATAGTTTAATTAATTATCTTTCATAGTAAAGATGATTTTTCATTGATTTAGGAAGTTTTTAATTGATAATTATGGTCTATTTTTCCATGAGTGGTACAATATCAACTATATGTAATATTACTTACTCAACAATTAATTCATACTTGATTGCTCAAAGTATCGTATCAGAGTCTGAAGCAGATCTACTTTACTTTTGAATCTATTTTTCTTACCTCTGTCGGCAACAATCTTTACCTTTTCTTTAAAATTTCCTACATAATGATGATTAGCTGACATTAAAATATTGTTTTGCGCAAGAAAAAGACAGAAAAGTGATGTATAAAAAATCAAATTACTGTCGTCTACTAAATTTTCGAGTAGATTTGCCATTCTTTTATTGAACATTCATTAATATCATAGTTAATTTCGTTATTTTGTTCGCATGTGTCAAACTTGAACTTTGACTTCAATCATGAAAGTACTCTTTGCGTATTCAATTTATCTGGAATTTCAAAACGAATAACTTAGTTAGATGATATAATGGCACAACCAATCACAAAGATTCTCCTGTGTACATTCATTTCACGAAAACATAAGTACGTGAGTTTTAATACGTCAAATTCAACATTTTAACTTTGTCATGTGAGGAAAACAACAGGATATTTATTGTAATTCTTAGTGTTTAACAAAAGCACAAGTTATTGAATTTAGTTCATTGATAAATATAATTAGGTTTCTTATTTCTTATTAGAATATAAATTTTTGGCTTCATTTATAGTTGTTTGTGCAGATAATTCTGAGCAAAATCAAGATTTTACGATTTTACGATTCTTGTTTTTGTATCATTGAGATCTACTCTATTGTATTGTCAGTTTCTGAATAGATAGTTTGAGTTCTCAGCTACACTTAGGCTCAAAATATAACTCGATGTCTTCAAGTGAAAGGTAGCCACTAATTACAATCGGATTTCTTGGAATAGATTATAGGAATAATTTTGAGTAATACGCTAAATGTTGAATTTTATTATTAAATGGCCACATGAGATATTCATTTGAATTAATCAAAATGCACAAGCTGTTTGAGAAGGTAGAGCAGGAAAAATATTATCCTAATTAAAAGAGTTATTTTTTATTTTGATTGAAGACAGCATTAATTTCATTACAATTTGTTTTCTTAATAAAAAGCTAAAGATACAATCATTACCACCTCTACAAAATTGCCATAAAGATGTTATAATATGTCAGATGAGGATAATAATTCCAATTGATGCAGATATATATATATATATACATAATGGATATAATATGTAGCGAAAAAAAACATATCACAAAAAACGCGACAAATTATGTGATTGATGATAACGTTCAATTTGTTTCCAATAGATTTTATGTTCTTGAACTAGCGCATGTATCATAATAAAAATCTTCAACTCATGTATGATACTCATTGCATTATATCGTCGTAAGTAAACTGTTCATAAAATACTCTAACCATCATATTGGTGATCTCGTGACTAGTATTTGTTTTTTCTTTTTTTCCATAATCTACAATAATTTCATCGAAATTCATAATCAGGATGACCATTCGATGGCAATACAGCATACTTTGAGTTTTTTTGTTTCATTTAGAAAAATTCATAATAGAAGTAAAAGATCATCTCCAGTGTAATAAGTAGGAGATGTAAAATATTTAATTGATTGAATATTCGCTGGATGTTTTCGGCGTATGCCTGGTTTTTCATCTTACAGCTATTAGTTAAGCGTAAACAGTATGAGATGGATTTTCATAATCAAAACATTTCACTTTTATTGGATGATAACGAAATTCTACTTAATCTGGACGAATTACATGTTTATTGGAAAGAAGATGAACTACTGTATCAAAATCGGCACCAGAATACGCTTCTAAATCAATGATACTATTAACTTCTTACAATACAATTTTATGATGCATACATGTTATCGTACATAAGACCGTATAAACTGTTAAATCATGAAGATAAATAAATATTGAATTGACCATACTACCGATAGTAAAATATGAAATAAATATTTTTGTATCAGCTAAAACAATTCCAATATGCTCGAAATCGTTAGAGGCGAGATTGGAATAAATTATTGATTTTTCTCGTCGAATACATTTGGAGAGTACAAGATCAAAAAGTGAGTAACAACCATTTTTAACAATATTCAAATGTGTTGTCCATTCGAAAAATGATTCATTTCCCATATATTAGAAAACCCTGAGTCTTCTATCACAATCAACCAAACTTTTTGAAAGATTTAATTCAGTCATCAGTCATGTCACAAGAACTTGATGTTAACGTCATGTAAGCTCAAATATATTGTTCCATATTGAAATTTGTCTTCAATATATTGCGTAGAGAATTATCAGTAGCTATTGTTCGCTATTACTGAAATCATTTGATGAGTCTTCGTTCATTCTTCTTGTGAGCACAACATGAATTTATCTTGGAAGAATACTACGTCAGCAGTTCGATAATACGTATTAAGAGACTTTTCGTTTACAACAGACGAAAAAATATTTGTCTAACATTTAAAATACAAGGTTTATCCTAGCTTGTTTGATTTAAAACAAACCGAACTTTTTTCTTCTGAAACCATTAATTAATAATTGTATTAGTCGAAGATAATTATACAAAAAATAATTGTTACTTGCACCAAATATTAAACAAAAAAAAATAAAACTTTATTTGTCGTACATATTTAGAATGTTTATTGCTAAAAAATAAAATACTTATTTTTCCATAATTTTAGACAGCCAAATACTGATTTTTATCAATCAATTTTGCTAAATTGAAAGATAATTTAACAGTGATAATCTATAAAAGACACAGATATTATATGGATATTGCTAAGTAATAGTCTTACCATAACGAATGCCATCACTGCAATAACAATTCCAAAGAATATGACGACTCCATAACCCTGACCCGTACTACCAAAGGCAATCAGTAACGCAGTTATAACTAATATAATATAACCAAACAGAAGACACATTCCTATCAAGAGAATTATTTCAATTGATGCCAACTAAGATAAAAAATAGATTTAAAAAATTAATAAAATAAAATGACATAGCCTACGATAATTAATCCAATGCGATTTTGTTTATATGTAACGATAAGACCAAATATATAAAAGATTGTTAAAGCAATCACTGTGACGAGTGACTCAGCTCCGTATGAATATGAAGTACCCATTGAAACCTGCCCTATTATTGAATAAGATTCAAAACCAAGAGTAACAACGCATAGAAACTAAACAGATATTGATTTTTATGATTTATTATTCTCATAGAACATGATTGGAAACGTACCAATTGTATAGCAATAAGAATAATAAGATACTTCTTAACACGGACTATATTTTCATTGTCATCAGTTAACGTTTTTTGTTCAATTTGAGCATTCTCATCTAGTGGTAATGTCTTATTTGTTGCAGGCGGCATATTGTGAAGAATCTTTCTCTGAAATGTACTAATGCATGTTATTTAAGAGAATATTTTTGCGTTTTCTTTGTCATCAATTCGTGTCACAGCTGTCATCAATATTAACTCCTTTCTATTTCATGCATGTAAACCATTATAAATTTTGCCATTGCTGATCTATGATTGATTATTATCTATATGAAACAGAATATTTTAATATATACTGATAAAAGAATGTTTTCTTGCCTAAGTCTAATAGAAGAATAAAAGAAACTTTATGATTGATTCACCATGAATCCTTGTTGACAACATTAGTTCTTTGTATTATATTTATATATTTTTTATACAACGCACAGTTATCAACTGTTGGTTTTCATTTTACAGAGTATTTTGAACAGATTTTATAATTATCTATAGTATTGATGAATCATTTGAATAAAAGAAAAGAAAATCATATCGTGGAAGAGTCGAATGATAGATTGATATCTTCAATATGTGTTTTCTCTGCTTATATAATATCATTGTATCGATAGAAATCTTTTTCTCAGAGGAATTTTTGTTTAGTTTCATAAAAGTTTTTAATAATTCAAAAATAGAAAAGAATCATAGGATCAATAAAAGGTTCAGAACTTTTCTCTGCACTTCTGTGTAGTATATCGATTTCATATTGTACAAATAAATCAAGAAATATAAGATTATAAACTTTTTTTCTTATCAATATGGGTTATCCTCGTTTAAAAACCTATCTTGTGCACATCTCTGATACAATTACAAATATCAAACAAACTAACGCTTATTTTAAAGATATAGAAAGAACAGAAATAATACAATAAGGCGGCCAATTCAATTAATATAAAATGTTCATATTAATGATATATCAATCTCTGGCATGATTTTCTAAATCAATATCTTGTCCTTTGACGCTCTGAAATGAAGAATTTCATGTTTAATTTCTGAATCCTTGTGTTTATTGTTTGTAGGACACTAGTTTTTTTAAATTTCGAAATGGTAATAATTATCTTTTATCAAGTTCTATCAAGTGTAAACGATTCAAATGCTATTAGATATTCTATAATTCATCACAAGTCTATTATTTTAAGGTTTTTTGACAAAATTATATTCGATTTCTTTCTTGAAGTATATCATTTTACTTGAATAAATCCACTAATCTGAAAATCATTGCAATTTTCTATGTAATGAATCCATTAACCTGACTAACTTTAAATGCTTCTTTTCTAATTATAATATTTCTTTGGTTTTCTTGTTTGCATTAAAAAAATATATTTATAGACGGCTTACATAAGGAATTCATTTGGTATTCATCGATAGCAAAAAAGAAGAAAAAGACGAGAACAGAGACTATACATGAGAACGAAGAAGAAAAACTTGACGGACATTGAAACAATATTAAATAAAGATCTTTAAATAATTTAAATATTTGGCAAATGCGTATAATTTTCTCCATATGCTAAACGTTTTGTTTGTGGTGATGGTTTTATTGATAAATCTGGATCATTAACAACACTTGCTGCTGGTACACTTGGATGTTGAGTATTTCCAAAACGTGTTTTGTTTACATTTATACGTTGATCAGAATCGAGGTAAATTTCAAGTCGACTTGGTCTTAAATAGTCTCCGGGGTTATTCGATGTTGTATGAACATTGGCATATTGTGTTCCTGTTATGCCCGTCAAACTTGGAAGTGTTTTCTAAAGAAAAATCATTCGGCATATTTATGATTTGTTTTAGTGAAGATTTTTCTAATGATGAATATGTGCAAAACAACGGGTGTTAGAAAAAAAAATGTATGTATCGTGAGAAAAAAAGCAATTGCAATTTGGGAAAATTTCCTCATACAGATATTGGGTAAATGAAAGTTGCGTCCACCACGATCATCGGACGCCGGTGTATTATTTCCGTCATGATCTTGATTGCGAGAAAGGGATGGAAAATGCTGGAAAAAATTTTGTTTTTGTTTAATCTGTTTTCTTTTTGATGAAGTTAAAAAAACTTACTCCTTGATTCTGTTGTTTTGTTCCTGTGACATACACATTATTTTGAATTTTAGCCTGCTGTTGTAATAATTTTTGTTGTTCACGATGTAAATGTTTTTGCTGTTCCTTTCTTTCGCGTTCAAATTCATTGGTAAAACCATCAAAATATGGATGTTGTGATAGTTGACCACATGTTAAACGCTTTTCAGGATCCATCACTAAGCAGCTCTAGAATAATAATGATCTAATAGTTGATAGGAAAACAAAGGATAAAACTATTTTACTTTCATAAAATCAAGACTTCGCTCGGATACATAGGGAAACTTTTGTTCTAGCGGTTCGATTGTGTCCGGTTCAGGAATGTGAACATTTTTATAATGAGGATTACTTTTTAATATAGCTACATGCTTATCGATAAGATTACCTGAAAGAAAGAAAAATAAGAAATTAGAATATAAGAAAGTCGTATTTAGTTTTTACCAAGAGTTTTACGAATTAAATAAAGTTGATCAACATCCGACTTTCCAGGCCATAATCTAGATAGTAACAAATATCAGTAACATAGACGCTAACAATGTATGAACACTTACGGCACACCCGAATATAATTCACAAAAGACACATCCAATTGCCCAAACATCTACAGCTGTACCATATTGTCGATCACCGACTAATAGCTCCGGAGCACGATACCACCTAGTTGCTATTCGATCGAAAAATTCTCTTATAAACGGTTCTATTTTATATGGATTTCAAATACTTACCAACATAATCTGTCATTTCAAGTTGTTGAGCTATATAAAATTATAATTGTCATTAATACTTTTCATTTATCATCTAATTCAAAATACATACTCATCAATCGTGCAAATCCAAAATCACATAGTTTAACAATATTTTGTTTCGTGATAAGAATATTTTCCGGTTTCACATCAAAAAAAAAATAACCACAATAAAATACTTCTATAATTCAACTTTTATAATCAAACTCACCACGATGAATACACTACAAAATAAAAATGTATAGATTAATTTTTTTATAGAAATCCTCCTGAAGATATTTTTCATACATTATGTCGATGACAAAATTCCACTGCATTTAATACTTGATATGTTATTTTTTTTATCATCGTTTCCGGCACGCTAAATTGTAAAGAAAATTATAAAAATAAAATAAAAAAATATCCCTACCCATTTCGATGTGATTCAAGTTCATCGAGAACAGTTCTATCACAGTATTCAAATACCAAATGGAGTTTATGTTTTCGTTTTGTTTTAAATACCTCGATGAGATTCACTAAGTTTTCATGTTTCAAATGCTTAACAAAAAGAAAATAAGTAGACAAAACTTTTTTTTTTCAATAAATAGTTTTACTTTTAACATTCGTATTTCTCGCATAGCAATACGCTTTATGGCTGGATCATCGTCGGATTCAATAAATTTTTTAATAGCTACGGTTTCTCCTGTGTCTTTATTTCGACATTTGAAAACTTGTCCTGAATGTATATTTCTTAATTTAGAATTTCCTCACTGAAACATTTTCTTACCGTAAGAACCTTCACCAATTTTTTTAATTTTTTCATACTTATCCATAGTCAACAACTTTTTTATTCAAATCTAAATTTTCAAATGAAATACTGGAAAAAAAAGAAGTGAAACATTTGATAGGATTCGTTAGAAATGAATCGGCTTTATAGGCAAAAAATATTTAAAAAAAGAACGAGTGTTTATTATTGCAGACACTAAAAAAAATATATCTACGCATATTCCTTCGTTCATTAAGCTTGAAAATGTCTATGCGACACCTTTATTTTGAATTCGAATCATGTTTATTTCTTTTCCACTCATTTATGCATTTACATCATTTTCTTTTGGTTGGTTTACAGAAATAAGCAATCATTATAATTGCAGATACTCACTCACTTGCTAAAATTAATTAAATTATATAAAACTATTACCACAGGATACGATTACTACTGTGCATGATATTTTTTTTATGCATAAATTCTATTCTATTGTTCTGCCGATTAAGAATCCAATAATATTTATATATAGATTGAATTAAAATTCAAATCGAATACCTACTTGCTTTTCGTTTCAAAAATGTATCTTTCACCTATAAAATATACTTATCCTTATAGGTTCATTTGAAATTATTTTTTGAAACAATAAACTTTCAACTTTTTGAAATTGAAACACTGATAAAACTATAGTGATGATCAATTTCTAACAATCTGCAGATATTTCTAGGCCAAGAAAAATTTATCTATATCGCTGCTAGTTTCGCTATTGCGTACATAGTTGTATTATTTCATCAGCTATTTCGTATTAATCTTTTGAAAATAACAACAACAACGTAATTGACAACAAATTCGTCAAAATGGCACATATTCTGGTAAAGTTATTAATGTTTCGCTTGTTGTTATTGTGATGATCGTGAAACTCGTATTTTAAATGGATTCTACGCATAGATATTAATATGAACAGTTAAACTATATTTTTGTATTATAGCTTACGCTGAATAAATTTCTGAGAAATAAAAGAATATATCATTTGATTAGTACGTCATCTTCGACAATATTAAAAATAAAATAGAATACGTAAACTGAATTTTATAATTCTTCTACACAGTAAAAGTTGAAATAAACATTAGTCAACTAGAGAATTTTGAAATTAAAATCTTTAGTTATTTCAAACAAAAGTGCGAAATTATTTTATTTTGTACGACGTGACCTTTGAAAAATATTTCTAGCTTTTATTCTAGCTACATCTGTTGTCATTAGAGAGTTTCATATTTCTGTTTCAATCCGGAATAGAATAATACTTCTGTTAAATAGCTTGATTATGCCTTGTAATGCATCTAAGAAAACAGCTCGTTATATTCTTTGACAAAGATCACCTGTTATGACCGAAATTGAGTAAATAAGATGTTAGAGCGATCGGTGCACTTAACACTTTATCAAAGTTATGCATCGTTAATGAATAAAAAACTGTACGTATATCGGCAATAAATCGAAGTTACAGCGAGTGAATACTCGACATAGAATAACTGATTACATGGATTTTGCGTGTGTTCTGTCGATAGATCTGTTGTATGATATTGCTAAAATATCACTATGTATCAACTTTTATAATTCATTGACATGAAGATGGTAAAGGAATATCAAAAGAAAAATAAGAAACATAGCTCTCAGACAATGATATAGTGGATGAAATTGATCAGTTGTTCCGATAACAACTTTGCAAGTCGAAAGAGGTAAGGAATGTTACTTCAACACAGATAATTAACGAAACAAAACTTGAGAAAAAGCATGATGACTAAACATGAATCGAAATGATTTCTTCTTCGGTAAATTAACAATTTGTATCTTGCCGGCGGCTAAAATACTTACTCGTGGAAAACAATCGAGTTTGACACCAATGTTCTATCTATGTTAGTTTTATTAGAACAAAATGTCAAGAACCATATAACTTTCAAATACAAAAAATAGTAAATTAAGATTGTTTTTAGAATGCTACTTTTGACTTCACTATCTATTTTTTTGTCTTTCTTTAGTCATTTGAAAAAAGAAATCTTTTAGATACAATATATATCTGGGATTGTCATTCTGATTTTGATTTTCAGCATTGTTGACTATCTCAATATTGATGATTCGTTCGTTTTGATAGTCTATGACATTGACATTACTATTTGTATAGATATATGTTCATGATAAACAAAGATATTTTGATGAAGTTTATAATGATCAATTAAATATGATTGTTATACGTATATCAATGATTTCCATATATTCTTTTTACTAAATATGTTTCCTATATTCTATCAGGAAGCAATAGAGAAGCTTATGGTGCGTTTGAATATTATCTAATTCATGTAAGTATATTTATATTTTAGACGAAGCCTATGGATCGATTCTTTTCTATTTTCATTATATAAATCAATAATTGACAAAAATATAGAGAGAGCTCTTGCCGAAACGATTATACACATAGTTGATAGAATGAAAAATCCAATGGAAGTTTATAGATTTTGTTCCTAGCTTGTTGGAAATAGAGAAATAAAGATATTTGAACTCGGTAAAGTTTATTGAACAAATCTGTAAAAACAAAGCTTCTATAATGAAAAACAGAAATATTTCTAAATAAACAAATACTGATACTAATATTAATTTTTCATCGTAAAAGTGAACGAGACGAGTGAAATCACTGTTTAGAGTTAAGAAGAGTGTAGTTTTTTCTTCTATGAAACGTCGACAATTTTTCAAAAGATAATCAAAATTTTCTGCGATGACTATAATATTTTGCTAAAATCTAACGGCAACAAATTAAACGTTCAGTATTTTATTGCAAATGTTCAGTAAAATTTGTTCAGTATTATATACAAATTTTCAGTAAAGAAATCAAACTGTCAGTGCAAAATTTAATGTTCAGTAACTATTACATTTGTTCAGTTAAGTAATTGTTTGCTCAGTATTAAAATTAAAGTTTCAGTAATTAATTCAGCTTGCTGTTTCAAAAATACATTTCCTCAGTAAAAAATAGTGTTTTTGTCAGTAATCACTTTTATTTTTTCGATGTATATTTTGATGTAAATAGAAGAAGATTTGTCCATTTTGACTGATGATGATGTTATCAGTCAAACGATATTATGTTACATAGTTGCCCTCGATAATCATATACATATGTTGTCCTACTTATTGATATCATGTTTTCTTGACCTATATTTTATGTTTTATATTACAGGGATGGCCCGGCTACTCAAAGGTTGGGAGATGTAAAAACTTCTGTTTAATTGATAAATTTTGTCTATTATTTCATGAGCGTTCCATTTTTTAATTTTATCATATGTTAAATATTCTGGCATGATCACGTTTAAAAAATTTTTAAATCTAAAAATTTCTAATTATTGAGGGGGGGAGGTGTTAGACCCCCCCCCCGTCTGGTCACATCTGTTTTTTTAGTTGTTCGATATTTTAAGTCATATATAGACTTGTAGTAACTCACAGTTCTAGGAATTGGTCCTTTTTTTAAAGAACTAGTCTGAATTAAGTGTTTTTCCAATTAGGCTCATTGTTACCATTCAGCGACTTTACATAATTTTTATTCTAGTTGTGAAAAAGAACCGATTATCATACCCAGTTCGTGACAAAAAGCTGATTTAAATGTTCAGCTCTTTTCAAATGAACTGGTTACTGATACCAGTTCTCGTTCTTCGTTGAAGAACTGTCACAGGCTTTGCTATATACGGAGACGAATATATTGCATTCTTTCCTTGTTCTCAATTACACAATGGAGAAGACGATGCTTGGCGTCGTTCCCTTTTTTCTCTTTTGCCTATCCCTATACAAGTAGCTCATATTTTTAATAAGCTGAATTTTGGTGTACCAAAACTATTGTTACTAATTTGATTTTAAAACGACAACGGTCATGGATATTGTTGATGTGCCAATTTATGCTTTTGACGACGAGATGGATACAGGTGTAACCGTAGAAGATGTGTGTTTGGGTGAAGGCTTTCTTTTATGATACTCACACGAAACGCTAGAGTCCATCAAGTTCAAGAATTGCTGAACCCGGACCCAGGTGATTAAAATTTGTTGGATTCCATCCAAACCAGATCGATCAGAATTTTTGAAATTGAAACCTACTGAAGAATTTTTCCGTAGTTCAAAATTTAAAGGTACTGTTCAAATTTTGAATGAGTTTTTCTAATCGAGCAACGGAATCTTCAATTTTTTTTTAAAATAAGCTGAAGACTTTTTTTGCTTAAAACGAACGAAAATTATAAAACTCATAAAATATTATAATATGGATCAAATCTTTCTGTCTATCTACCTTCGATCAGTAAAATTTGCAGACCCGGATTCAATGGAGTCCGGGTCCGGTAGGAGCCAATTGCCTCTACTCCACACCCACAACCTCAGTAAAATTAAAAAACGTGTTACCGATTCAATAAACTTCCGTTAATTATAATTACACTTTTTTACTGAAATACGTGATTAAAAAACTGAGCAGATATTAATTAGATACTAAACAAAAATGGATTAAATACTGGATATTTTTAAATAACATACTGACCTTCTTGAATTATATACTGAGCAAAAAGTCATTTTTTACTGAACAAAAATTACTGAACATCTGATAAAAATTTGCTGAACATTGGTAATAAAATACTGATCAATTAAATACAAGCCAATTCTAGCTAGCAGGTAAGATTTACCTATACTTGACCTATTTTATATGATATATTTGAGAAAAATAGACTAGTAAACCCTTATCAGAAGTATTAATAGGATATCAATGATTTCAAATTCATAGCACTCCATGTAAAAAAAAAGAGTCTCTGATACTATTTCAGTTTTGACGTATCTATACTGTATCACATATACGATACTTGAATTTGTTACGATCTTAAGACATTAACGTTTCATAACGACATTATTCATTTTGCTCATAACCTAGAATACACACAGATAACTTAAAAAACCGATCAAATTATAAACAATTAACATGAAATTCTTATCGATAATATAAGCGGTACTTCATTCTTGAGCAAATACTAGGGGTGTCAATTTACAGTTTATTTAATTTAAATTTAACTTCATGAAAAGTTAATTTAATTTTAAATTAAATTCTATCAAGTTAAATTTAAAATAAATTTAAATTAAATTTTTGAAAATTTTTTTAAATTTAAATTTTAAATTTAATAAACTGTTTGGATGGATACACATGATTGCTACGAGAGAAATACGTGACTTTAACAGTAGTAAATACTAAATGAGAGGAAAACCTAGTATTTTAGGTTAATATTTATTCATAATAGTCAAAATTTCTCTACAGATTAATCAGGATCCGTCGTCTTTCTTCTTCAGAATACTGGGATACTCATAAAAATATATTTAATAGTACAATTCATAGAAGAATGACTAGTTTTAACTTTAGAAAACAGGAAACATACTCAAATTTGACTTTAAATAGTAGCAATCAAGTCAAAAACTATTTTTATCTGCTAGTTTTCAAAATTTAACTAATTTAAATTTAGTTAAATTTAAATGATACAAAATTTAAAATTTAATTAAATTTAAATTTTTGAAAATTTATTTCCCGATTTAATAATTTTTTTTAAATTTAAATGTGACACCCCTAGCAAATACTCAAAACCTCTAAGTGTACTTTTCGCTTCAATATGTACCCAAATGATTTACATTCGAATAGGCTTTGAAATGAAAGCAAGACTTTTGACAACTACTGTATGTATTATGAACATCACGTAATGATAGATACTTAACTGTTATTGATTATCCGTTTCAGTTTCATCATACTGGGTAAACTTTCGTTCGGATGATTATCTTTTCAAATCTTAAATGCTTATTCATAATGGAAAGAATGAAATAAGAATAATTGTGTAAGAGAAGTATGTGATAAGTTACTTTATACGTATCATGACAATGTTAGACTTGTGTCTAATCTCTCGTTGTGTTGGTTACAGTCCTCGTTAGGGATTCTCTATTATACTAGAGATCATTTTATTCTTCTTTTTTCTTCTCAATAGCCATTCATAAGATCGCCTCAATAAGTGATTAGTTCTTTAGATTCTACTAGAGATTGTCATTGATCAAACCATAAGTAAGTATTCCATGTATTTAAATCTATACGAAATAATTGTAAACCATCAAACAATAATAATACAGTAGCAAAACCAAAAAGAGTATACGCCTCACAACTTACGTTAGTTGTTATTAACTATAGACTTTGAAGAATACAAAACAAAATACCTGTATTTTATAAGAGATTGTATATAATCTGTACACCGTCTTTCCTCATCATAGCCTTGTGAATATTTAATATAATGCATTTTCTGAAACAAAATCAAAACTAATCTTCGTCTACACTCTAAGTAAAATTTTAATTGTTAGTAATTACGAATAACTTACATGGAAATGTTGAATATCATGATGAACGCAATGAAACAGAAAATGCGTTTGTTCTTGATTTATGTTTAATGGCAATCGATATGATTATTTTTTCATAAAGAAAGACAACAAAATATATATTTATTTTTAAATTACACTGCATTTAACATACACCATAGTTAGAATATTGTGATATTATATACCCTTAGACAGTAATATAAGTGAAACAATCTATTATGGCAACAGCAAGATAATCGTCATTCAAGGTAAAGAAATATTTTTTTTTTGAAATATTGTGAACCATTCATCGAAATATTCGTTAAACAAATGAAAAAATATTGATTATACTTTATTAGGAGATCAAATGGTTGAAAAAGGAAATTAATACATGTTGATAATATGCCTTTCATTGAAATCGTGCAAAATAATAATATCATGATGAGCATATTGATATCTTCTTAAATAAAAGAGAACTATGAAGAGATTTAAAAAACTTATTATTGTAATAGATTTGTTTTATGTCGATGAGATTATAGCGATTCTTTATTTATTTTTAAAATAGTGCATTGAAAAGAACGGTAGTATCCGGTTATTTTCAAGTCAATTAAGTTCTTAGAAACAAAAGACTATCGTTTAAGCGATCAGTAGAATAAATGAATGATCAGTACATTATTTGGGTGGTCAGTTATTAATACATTCAGATTTATTGATATATTCAAAAATCAGTAAATTAGATTCAAGGATCAGTATACAAATTGAAATGTGTTATAAGGTGATTCACTTTTTTTTTTCATGTTTGTTCTTTTGGTCTATATCGTACAGCTGACAAGTACAACATATATAAATGTACGCTTAGCTCCTTTCTTTCACGTTCAGCCTAGTACCAACGAGTAAAAAAGATGGAAGTCGTACAAGTTGTTCAATATGAAAGTGATATATCTGACAAATGAGTTCTGGAAGGAAATGACGGAATAAAAGGAAATCAAAGAATTCCAAAAAGGGGTGTTGGGGTAGCGCAGATGAGCAGAAGAATCACACCCACACCCAAATTTTTATTTTACTGATCAATTTTATCTTCTTTACTGGTAATTATATATAATAAACTGATCACTTTAAGATTAATTACTGATCATTTTAGTGCTGACCATTTAATATTTATACTGATCTTTCATATTCTTTTTTACTGATCATTTCATTTATTTTACTGATCAAATATAATGTTCTCGGAACAAAATAACCAGAACTCTTCATTGATAAACATTCATTTCTATGTCGATAATGAATCGATTTCATAGTTATAGACAGAAATATCGAACGATTCTGTGGCAGAGACGAAAAAAAATCATTTCATGCGTTAGTAAAACGAAAAAGGGTTTTTGTATTAAGGAATTTATTTGGTTAAAGAAAATAAAGCAGATATTGTAAATGTGAACTTTTTTCTCTTGCACAGGTAACTTGGCGACTATCAAGCATACCTTTTCATGGTTCTTTTTTTTATCGTTCTCGTGTACATAAAACGAACAGTTGATCAGTGCCAATTCATTCGTCTCTATTTATGTTTATCGGTGTTTGTGGCTTTATTATATTGCCTCCCTTTCATTTTCTAGCTGTTCAGAGTTATACTCGTTCCTCTTCTTCATCCTATCATATGAAGTTCTAGTGTACTTAATCATCTAATAAAATTATAACAAATAAATTGTCATATAAATATTTTTTATTGCTGAATTCTGTGGTTTTTCTTTTTCAGTCTATCTATCATGTATATATATATATATTTATTGAGATTACAACTAGAAAAATATTTGACCATAAACTTTACGTCAACGAAATATTTGACTTTTTAATGCTCGTTTTCTCTCTCCTTTTATTCACATTGATAAGATTCTGTGTCGATCGCTGATCAACTACGTACACCGGATTATCTGATTATATTCGATGGATAGGTTAGATATTTATTTGCTTTGCTCTATCTAGAAGACACCCACATAACATATGCTATTGGAAGCGAGCAATTTTTTATCTGTTCTTTTCTTGTATCTGTATACAAGTATTTTTTCTTTTTATATCCTTGCTTGGCCTTTTTTCGGATTTTTTATCACATTATTACGTGGCATTTTGATCGTTGACCATGAAACTGATAGAATGTGATAGATTATAATGTCATACGATGTGATAGAACTATATTTTTGTTGTGTTTTTTTAAATATCAGCACTATAGTTTATAACCGATAGAAAAACATACATAAATTCTATTTTCTATGAAATAATGCATGTATAAGTCGTGATGAGAAAATCATATTGTTCTTCTTTTCCTCTATTTTTCTTTCTTTGATCGGTAAGAAAATGAAAAAGAAAAAGACATCGACAGACAAATAAAAGAAAGTAAAACGTAAAGGAAAAGAATGGAATAAAAACGGTGAGTGGAAAAGGCGAGAAGAACGAGAGGAACGAGAAGGAAAGACTTGTTTCATTGAATGTTTACGTCAGTTTTTCAAAACGATTGCTTGTCAATGTCAGCGTTATATTATACATCACATTTCTTTTCTGTATTGTGTATTATTCTTTTTCTCTTATATGGTGCAGATATGTAGAAGTAGACGCATTCACTAATAGTTAAAAAAAAAAGAGAGAAAGAAAATGAAAGAAGAAAGAAGATGGCGTGGCTAACTATAAATTCTTTTTTGCGTAATAATTTGTGCGTTCAGATGAACGTTGCAAGTTTTAACCTTAATATGATAACCAATAACAGATGATGTATTCTTTTTTTTTAGATGTTAGCCTCATCAACGCAAGAAACTTTACTTAATGAGGATAGTCTAACACCTAACAGCACATTTTTACGTTCCATATCTGTGTTAGATCCAAATGACTTTAATATCTTTATTCAAGAACACTATGGAGCATGTTGGGGTACACTCAAATTTGAAGATTCATTAAGTGATTATTCAAATGATGCAAGTATTTTTCTTATCTTAATAAAAAAATCAGATTTCAGAAGTGTACAGTTCAAAATCGCTTATCTTATGCCATCGATTGTAATTTTAGGCTAGGCCATTTCTATATGTTGATGGTAGTATCGATTTACATGTGTTACGGCAATTTATGATAAGTGAATGGAAGTTACAGTCAGCCAATATTGTTATTCCAGTTTTAAGTGGTGTAACTAATCATAAACCATTCAAAAATCAAAAAATGACTGAATCATTAAGAAATGGAATTCAAAATGTAGGCTTATCAATATAAGAAAAAAAAGACACTTTTTTCAATATGAAATTTTGTTGTAGGCAGCAAATGCATCAGAAGTTTGGTTTATAACAAATGGCATTGATGCTGGCATTCCACAATTAATTGGATCAGCTTTTAGAGAAGAAATTGTATAAAAAGAAAAATTAAAACGTGCGAATATTTCTGTTCTTTTTTGTTTTGTTATTCGAACAACTAGGCATTGAGACAGGCTGATGACGCATGGGCTATACAAATGGGGCGTCCACCAAAACCACGGAAAATACTTGTTTTAATTGGTGTGGTTTGTGATGATGAAATCAAAGATCTTATTGATCTTAGATCACCAAAAGATAAAACGAAAATGGTACGCGCGAGAGTCAAATTTGAAATGTTTTTAGTTAATGTTTTTATTTCTTAGGAAGTTAAAGTTCCAGCACGTAAACGTGATCAACTTTCAATAAATAGTGGTCATACACATTTTATAATCATTCGTGAACAATCCATCGGTACAAGCTCCATTGCTAATTTAGGGAAAAATCCAACAACTGTTGAGAGTGGTGAAAAGCAACTAGAAAAATTAATTGATTCAGCAGAAAGTGCAACGAATAAATTTCGGGATCGATTTGAAGACTTTTTACATCAAGAAGCATTACAACAGCCTACTGGTGAACAAACAACAATAGGTAAAAACAAAAATATCTATATGTTCATTGTACTACCCGACTAGTTAACTACCATTCACGTTCGCGATTGTAAAAGAAATGCATTTATTTGCAATAGCGCAAAAGATTTCTTTTAAAGTTTTCTGAAAGAACACTGTTTTTCTCGTGATCCCAGTAAAAGTGCAGTACTTCTACAAAAATATGACCAGTAAAATTTACTATTCCTCAATACAATTAACTACAAAATCATAGAATCAGATACAGGAAAATGCTCCAATGCTAACTACCCTCGAATTTATTTTTGTTATATTTTATGTGAAAATGATGATCCTAGGTTTGAAACACTGAAACAATAGGCAAAGTTGTTTGAAATGGTGCAAAATTTTCATGGTAGAATCAGTAATGTTTTAGCAGTAGTGTCAAACTTGAAACTTGAATTCAATTGAAAATTGAAATTTTCAACTTTTAAACCAATTGCATTCTGAAGAATCGTGATTCACACATATATCACTATGAGTTGAAAGTTGAACGTTGAAATTTTCTATTTTCAACTGAATTCAAGTTTCAAGTTTGACACTACTGAAAACTCAGTAGGGATCATTTTCAATTATCGAACACTGTGACTTCTGTGTCGACATCTGATTGAAGAAATGAAGAAGAAATATTCAAATTCTACTATCGATGAATGCCATGAGTCGAACCACCTAGCATGATTCAATAAAACCTTTTTTTCCATCATACTGCGCAAATACATCGATGTGTTTTTATTAACACTCAAATTATACCGTACAATCAAGTATTTAGCCTTGACTGATCAATTGACTTCTGCATGATATTCTAGAACTAATATTGTTGTGACACACGTCAATAGTATAATTATTCCAAATAGTTAAGAGTGTCATGAGAAAAAAAATCTAGAAGTATTTCGAAAAACTTCAGAAATATAAAATTTATGGTTTTATTTTTTCTTGTATTGATATTACATCCATATGATTGAGTAAAATTGTATTTCGATATTTGAGGTAACATAAGTTAACCTTGAAAAATTATAGACTCGAGGCGTTTTAGTATTATCTTAAGATAAAAAATTCTATATGCATATAGCTAAAAGACATGCGAGGTATCCACAAGAATATTTAGTTCATATTATTTCATATTAGTTTTTCTTCTTCTGCTTTATTAGATATTTTATCAACTACGCCGTTAATATCTCGAAAAACTAAACCATGGAGTGAAGACGGTTTTCCAATGGTATGCACATTAGTCCGTGGCACACCAGGAACAATTGAACTTTTATATCGGAAAATTCAACAAGAAGTTCCTGCTGTTATTCTCAAAGGAACAGGATCTGCTGCTGATATTATTGCATTTGCTTATGAAGAAATAAATGCAAAGTAAGAAAAAAAAACAATTTTGACAAATAAACTAAACAGAAATACTTCTTAAATTTTCTTTAGAAATGATAAAGAGTATGAAGATAGTTATTTAAAGGTTGAATTAACTCGACGGTTACTTGATGAATATCCAGCATTAAAAGATAATAATGTTAAACGAAACGAAATACGCGATCATATTATTTCCATTGTAAAAAAATCAGATCAAGGAAAACGGAAATTCCTAACATTTGTTGATGTTAATAGCACAACAGCATCGTTAAATGATTTTCATAAATTTATTCTTTCAGCTTTATTGCAATGTATGTATAGTTATATGTTTATTTCATTTTGTTCTTTGTCATGGCTTGTTGTATTTTAATTTTAGCACAAAAAACTGCTACTGGAAATAAAGTTAATGTACAATTGAAACGAAATCTTCAATTGACACTTGATTGGAATTTACCAGATTTAGCTTTATCTGAAATCTTTCAACGTGATGATGATATGAAATATTCTATCCAAGCAGATTTATTTGATAAAGCTTTACTTGGAAAAAAACTTGAACCATTCGTTGATTTATTTCTTGATCGAGAATTTGCTCTACATCGATATTTAAAATCAGATAAATTAATTAGTTTATTTAAGGATGCAAAAGATCGAGAATTTCTAACAACAACATCACTTGAAGGAATTCTTGGATTAACTGGAGTAATGAAAACATAAAATAAAATTTATTGCAAGTTTAATAAAAAAAACAACTTCCTCTTTGTTTTTTTTTGTGAATAGGATGAAGAGGAAATGCCAAAAAACTTTGTTGAACATGGTCTTAATATAATTGTTAAACGTTTAACTGGTATAAGCCATTTTTTTAGTAAACACGAAATGGATTGCAATGCTATGGGAATTTATTTTGGTGATAAAACAGATAAAGGTGTCCAACGACAAAGAATACGAGCAGAAAAGAAAGTAAATTATTTTCTTTTACTTTTTTATTTCAAAAACGATTTCATTTTTTTATGCAAAAAACAGGCACTTCGACATTTAATCATTTATGCTGTATTAGTGAATCGACATCAATTGGCTAAAATTCTTTGGAAACGTTCATCCGAGCCGATTCCATTGGCGTTAATATGTTGTATGATGTTTAAAAAATTAGCACCCTACTGTCATGAATCATATCAACGATTGCTAATTGAAAAACAAGCCAAGTTAGCATATCTCGTTTCGTATTCAAAGAAATTTTGAAGTTATTTGCTTTTTTTAATATAGAGAATTTTCTGATTGTGCTGTTGGTGTACTTGATAAAGCATTCAATGAAGATAATGCGAGAACATTTGAAATGCTTGATGAAAAACATCCAGTAAGATTTTAATTTTTTTTCAATAATTGATGTTCAATTAAAAATATTTGTTCAGGACTGGAATCATATGGCAACTGTTGAATTAGCTTATAATGCAGAAAATAAAGAATTCATGGCACATGCTGCATGTCAAAAATGGGTTACTAGGCAATTTTATGGAGAAATCACTCCACGAGAACTCTCATGGGGATTATTTAAATGTCCAGATTATCTTAAAGTTAGGATCAAATAAATATTATTCAATAATAACAATATTCATTTGAACATTTTCTTTTGTTTTCGAAACAGATTATTTTTAGTGCTTTTCTTATATTTCCAATGTGGTTTTGGATAAATTTCTCTCCAATAGGTCAAGCACCACCAACGCCGAAAACATTAAGTGATTTACATGATGATAAAAGTTTGAATGTGAAACCAGAAAAAAAACTTGAGGGTTAGTTTTATTCTTAGCTGTTTTTTCTCATATAATATAGATGTAATTATTTTCATTTTTAGAAGGAAAAAAATTAGATGAAATGACTGGCGAAATAAGCGTACGGCAAAGAGTATGTTAATTGTAAATGAAAAAATTCGTTCTATTTAAATGTCTATGCTTTTTAATAGAATGGTATATTTCAACGAATAAGATCGTGCTTTCGTCGCAATGGAATTCAAAAACAAAAAAGTGTTACTAGTACAACAAGTGCTAATGAAAAATCAATGAGCCATTGGGAAGAAATCAAAGTTTTATGGACAGCACCAATAACAAAATTTTATACAAATTTTGTTGCTTATATTGCTTTCTTATTATTTTTTACGTTAGCTGTTATGTGGCCAACATGCGGCAATTTATTACTTGATTGTTTTGTTTGGTTTTGGACAGCATCGATTGCATTTGAAAATACACGTGTTGCTTATGAAAAATATTGTGTAAAATTTTGATATTGATTTATTTCATAAATTACTTTTGTTTATTTTAGTCTCAGAGTAGTCTACCTTTACAACGAGCTGTGCTAGAAGTTATAGTACAAACAATATTTCTAGCATTATATCTAACTTTTAGAATAATTGGTTTATGGAATTTTGGTAGTACGTTAATAATATATTATTCTATTACTTCTTCCAATGCTTCTTTTCGTTTTTTTTAAATATTGTTTCAGCTTGTCAAGTTTTAACAGCGAAAGCAATATTAGGCATTGGTTTAATTTATTACTATTATCGAATATTATTTATTTTCTTGCCCATTAGTCCAAAACTTGGTCCGATGATGATTCGGCTTCGTTGTATGGTAAATCAATCATATATTCTTGAAGTTCATCTTTATTTCTAGTACTACATTAATTCTAGATAATGGATGATTTTTTTACATTTTTACAATTATTTGTAATATTTATGATATCGTCGGGTGTTGCAATAACCGCTGTACTTTATCCACATTATCCACTTGGTTTAGATCTGTTTACAAAAGCTTTTGTATTTCGTGGTTTAATGGCTTTGTTTAGTAGTGAAATGTCTGATTTAAAAAATCAACATCAATCCTGTTCGATAAATGCAACAGGTCAAAGTGAAAGTGAATATTCTTGTTTGCGATTATCCAATGGATTATCATTTAAATGTATGAAAATTATTTATTTAAAATATTTTAATCAAAAATAATTCACCACTTTCAATTTTAAGATGATAACCTTTATGCATATAATCGATACGGAATATCATCACCACGATGCAATCAAACATCATGGATAGCATGGTTTTTACTTATACAATATTTCTTTTTGGCTAAACGTTTTCTTACATCACTTTTAACTGCAATGTTTGGGTTAGTTTGATTAAGATGAATAAGAAATAAATGCGGAAACATCGGATTCGCATCCGATTGTTATGTGTACTGCAAAAATTGAGTCGATTTATATATGTTGTGAATAATTCTGAGAAAAAAAATGTTTTTTCAAAAAATCTCTGTACCCCCCCCCCGGGGGGGTGGTCTGGTCAATAATGACAATTTTTTCGATAACTCAGCCATTTCTTGACGGATCCTTCTCATCTTCGGACTCGACTGAGATATTGATGAGATAATTATGTGTACAAAATTTCATGACAATTGAATGAGGCTTTCAAAGGTTATCGTGTTAACGGCCGGACGGGCACACTGACCGAATCTAGAGTGTACTCATTTTTTTTTGAGTACACAAAAAGAAAGTTTAAAAATTCTTTTACTTTAGGTTAACTGGAGCAAGAGTACAAAGCCAATCGGAACAAATATGGATGTACAATCGATATGAAATTGTCATGGAATATGATAAACGCCCTCGATTGCCACCACCATTCGTCGTTATTTCATATATTAGTTAGTTGCAAGTTCATTATTTAGAGAGAATCTTTCAAAATAGACGGAAAAAAAGAACACCTGAGATAGAAGTAAATCGATATTGAGTCTGCATTTTATTTCTTTCTCGAATATTTTCAAATCTTGAAATTATAATTTTTAGTCAAGATAGATTTTTCAATTAAAAAATTTCAATATCTTTTTTTTGAAATATGTAAACTCGTGCGTATAACTTGATATAGAATAAGAATCCATAGAAATTTTCAAAATAGTCATAAAAATTCTGAGGACTTTTCCTTTTAACTTGGAACAGTCAATTAATTGTAGCTATCTTTAAAGGCCACAACCATCACATAAACCAAATATGAATATGAATTTATTCGTTTCATAGTTTAACAATAAAAATAAAATCCAATCAATTATGATTGCAAGCAGATATCAGTACTTAATCAGCTTGCATATGATAGACTTAGAACACTAGCATGAATATTATGTTCAGTCGAGATTATCTTCACATTATGATTGTATCTTGAAGCTTTTGATTAAATTGAAGAAAACGAGACTATGATACTTCAAAATACGAATGGAATACAATAATTCATCTGATATTTTAAAGTAATAGAGTCAATATTTATTCGCTTTGCTTTAGCAAGTTCTTTCCTTTTGTCTCAACAAAACCTTTGATGAAATCTGTCAAAAAATAAAATATAATGCAAACTAATTTTTACCTATTTGCTTTGAAACCTTTTCTGAGTCAATTGTCGAGTCTAACCGAGCTACAATACACGTCAACATCATTATAGATTAGCATCTCGTTTGCGCTACACAACATAAACATGTAGAATTTTGTTTAACAAATGAATAGATTGATAGTAACGAATGAAAATAACGACAAGCTAAAAAATAATATAAGCAGAAACGTTTTTAAGATCGAAGCAGAACGGATGATTTTTTCTTTTTCTACATCTAGTATTCGCAAATCAATTGACCTTGCATTGATGTTTGCGATCAGATTTTACCGAATACTTTTCCATCATTGGCATGTAAATTGTATTTGATTGTTTATTGACATAGTGATTTTAACGGATAGTAGGCAAAATATAGATTGATGAAGGATTGCATGTTAAATTCTTCTTTCGATATAGAATTTTCTTTTTTCTTGATCTACAATTCTACTGATAAACTTCTAAGTCTGAAAAGCTGATAGCTAAAGTAACAAGATTTATAGTTTTTCCTACGACCTGATGCCAACGTTGAAAAGTCATTTATGGCAGAAAAGTAAACGTTGTTGTATAAGTTTTGTCTATATACGTATATTATGATAGGAAAAACTATTTAGAAAAAAATTGATAACTTTTCAATCAATAAATCTTATTGAATATTTTGTTTTTAAACACTTTGAATTTGTACATCGATTTTCACGTTGGTATAAGGAAGAGCAGGACATTTATTTCGTAAACTTTTTAGAATATGCATGGTTTCAGAAAAAAAAATCTAGAAAAATAGATCTTCTTAGGATTTCTCTAACCTTGATAGGGCATACTAAATGAAGTTATACTTATCTGGAAATATGAATAACCTATTTCTGACTTTCATCACTGAAGATCATTCGTTTGTCATTGATAGCATAGTCAAATGCAATCAATTCTTTCAATTGGATTTTGTTTTCGAATTTGATAATAGCATAGAACAGGAGAGTCAACATGAAGTCGGTATCACTGAAAGAATTTATTGGATTTTACGTACTAAAAATGAGCGATCTTTAGTAATAAAAAGCTGTTAGCGCAACCCCTTTGGGATTAAAAGTGTGAAACATGATGAAACTTCTTTTCTGAAATTCGTCTATTACTGTCACTGGTGGTCTGTGGAGCTTCTCTATTACGGTCTGTATTATGATGTACGGAGTCTCTAGAAACCATCGCAGACAGTGACAGAGAATTCAGACACCATCACAGGCCGTGACAGAGAGACCTCAGAAACCATTACAGACCGTGACAGAGAAGTTTCACAGACCATCACAGACCGGGAGAGAGATGTTTCACAGGCCATCACAGGCAGTGACAGAGAATTCAGACATCATCACAGACCGTAACAGAGGGACTTCAGAAACCATCACAGACCGGGACAGAGACCTCAGCAACTATCACAGACCGGGACAGAGAAATTAATCAATCAATTAATTAATTAATCAGCTAACTANGGGTCCAAATTTCTACCCTATATACTTCAACACTCCTTTCAGATCATGTTTCACAAAATCAATAAATGATACATTTCTACCTAAAAATGAATCAAGCACCATTTTGCAATTTGTTCCATAATTTTCTTGTTGTCTCTTGAACCGTAGTTGAATCTATTGATGATAATAGAAAATAAATCTTACTTATTTTACTTACATTTGTGTTTGGTTCTAATTTTAAAAATAATTTTGTTTTTACTTTAGGCATGTTGATAACAAATGGTAGTCGTCGATGTGTCATTAAATTAAAAGAATATTCAGATAAAAAAAAGAATAGAATTAGTCATAATCGTAGACCTCTAGTAGAACCAAATAGTACGACAAATAATGAGCGAAATATACCAGATGGAAACAATGACTCAAGTACAAATGAACTGAATGAAATAAATGAAGATCGTTCTTTACTTGGACGCTTACTAAATTGTAAACCATGTCTAAGAGTTACCGATACTCATCAGAAAAAAATTGTATATTTTTGTTCTCTCGTCAAAATGAATTAAAAACCAAATTTTCGATTTTTCTTCTAGGAAGATTCAAAGCGAAACTGGGAAGATAGTGAAGCAAATTTATATTGGAAGTATAAAGCTATTGAATTTTATGCTAAGACACAAGAAGCTGACAAAGTACAAGAAAAACTTGATAATCTATCAAACAGGTAAAAATAAGAAATTAGTTTTATTTTTCCTTATCAAACTGAGGAAATTAATTTTAGTGTCACAAATGTACAGAAAGATATGGATGTACAAAGAAAATCATTACGACAAATCAATGATCGTGTTGTTACATTAGAGAAAATCATGATTGATTCACATATATTACTTGAAAAGATTCGTGCAACAATTCAACAAGAAGATAAATCATTACCTGAATGTCAAAAATTTATTCATATTCTATCAAGAGAATCCCCGTATATTTATACAAATGAAGCAAGATTTCCAGTTACTGAAAAATACATTCCTTGGAAGGTAAACTAACGTATATACTTTTTCAAATCTTTTGTTTAAAACAAACATGAAATTATAGATTCCATTTGATTTATATGATCCATCTTTGATAACATTACCAAAAGAACATAGTTGTTTTCGAGACGATGAACGTCCATTTGTTGAACCAAATTTGTAAGTTTTGATTTGCATTAATTTGAATATAACAATAAAAAAAACTATTTTAGATTAAAAACAAGCTCAATAGATGATCTATCATCGTCGATTATTGATACTTATCTAACACCAGCAACTCCAATTAGTCAACCCGGTACATTTGGAGCGATTGAGCCAGCAATGACAAATATAACATTTGACTTTACAATTCCTGCATTTGAATATAAATGGAATCAAACTGCTGAAGTACAATTACCAGATAGGAAAAAGGTTCAACTAAAAATAATAATATAGAAAAAAAATATGAATCGACTCTTTAGATGATTGTTGATCGTACTACTTGGTTAACAAATCCTGGTGATAAAACACCACTTGTCTATCGATTAGATACTCAGCTATTAATTCCTTTGTATGTTGTTTTCTTCTCAATAGGATATATTACTATAATAATCATCTTTATTTAATTCTAGATGCCCGATGGGTCGTACAGGTGTTCGTGGTCGTGGTGCATTAATACGTTGGGGTCCAAATAAATCGATCATGGGAATAATAACCCGATGGAAAAAACATCGTGGACAATTTGCAATTGTTGATGGACAAAGAATCTTAGAAGCATTAGTATTTAAAGATAAACTCACAAATGATTGGAAGCTACCAGGCGTATGTTTACATTAAAATAATGACTTCGATTTTGTTAAATAATTTTATTTTCAGGGAAAAATCCTAGGTGTTGAATCACCATATGGAGCTGTTTGTCGTAGTTTTAATATACTTGCTTTTCAAGATAATGATTCTGAACATAGTTTATCTCTGCAAGAACGAGATATGATTGAAGTATTTGTTGAGATTTTACTTTATTTTTTTTTATGCTACAAAGAATTGATTTTTTGATAGCACTTTGCATCATTCGCTCGTTCATCTGATGGTACTGATAGACCAAATGGTTTTGAATCTTATATGGTCTATCGAGGTGAATTAATCTATCGAGTTTTTATCTTTGATTAAAGTTTTTGTATTTGTTAAAATTTAGGATATATTGATGATGTACGCAATACAGATAATGCTTGGGTAGAAGCAGAAATATGGAATTTTCATTATGGCTCGACCATGTCATTTCCAAATTTACGTACTGATGTATGAAAATTGACTTGTTAAAACAAAAGCTTTTGTTTAACATTAAATATTCGATTTTTATTTAGGGTATGGCTTTATGGAAAGATGTTACATATAATGCTCGCGGTTTTCTCATGCAAACATCAATATTACGCGAAATAGCTCGAATACATGATGCTTATTTTGAATAAACTGTTATAAATCTAATGTGATACTTAGAATGCTATTGATTCATGTTATCCAATATAATGCACGGATAACTACTATAACTTCTCTCATTCTTTTTTATTGATCATGTTTTTCTCATTTTATGCTTGTGTATATTAATATATTTGTCTTTCTGCTACCATACAATTTTCACTTTAAAGTTCATTTACTTGGAGCTGTTATTAACAAGAAATGATCTCAGTATATGTAATTCTTAAGTCAATAATAAACAATGCTAGTAAAATACTAATAGAAAAAGAAATAGCATCTTTAAAACGATTTGCATGTAAGATTGTTTTTGATAATGGTTCAATAGACAGAAAAAGTTGTTAGCGCAATCCCTGTGGGATTAAAATGTGAAACACGATAAAGCTCGTTTTCTGGAATCCGTCCACCACGGTCTGTGACGGTCTGTATCTGTATTATGGCGTATGAAGTCTCTAGAGACAATCGCAGACCGTTCCACAGACTTTAGAAGCCATCGCAAACAGTGACAGACAATTCAGAGACCATCACAGACCGTGACAGAGAAGCTTCACAGACCATCACAGGCAGTGACACAGAATTCAGACACCATCACAGACCGTGACAGAGTAATTAATTCATTAATTAATCAATCAGCTAACTAATTAATTAATTTCTCTGTCCCTGTCTGTGGGGGTGGGGCGGGGGATGGGTCCAAATTTCTACCCTATATACTTCAACACTCATTTCAGATCGTGTTTCACAAAACACTGTTAAATAATGATCAAAGACGTATTTCATAGTGAAATACAATATAACTATGCTAGATGAAATTTGAATTGAGAAAAGCAAAAGACAGATAATTCATTCATATGCTAGTAAAGATAGAAATTAATATTGATCATAAATTAATAAGCAATGATTTTGATAGTTTGTTTTACCTACGACTACCAAATACCTACGTGTATATGGAATTCAAATCAAAGAAAAAAGAGCTCTCGTTTTTCAATGACAAAATTAATTAACATAGTTCATTCAATCTATTTTTCTATCACAAATAATAATTTGATTCTGTCTCTCGAACAAAATCATACATTGAACATATCCCTAGCAATTGTCTATGCCAAATTTTTATTAGGTTTGATATAAAAATCTTGAGAAACGATAAAGTTTCTATTTTACATTTGAAAATAGTTGTTAACAATAAGAAAATATACTTGAATTTTTCATTAACAAATATATATTGTCATAAAAGAATCGATTGTTGGTATTAGAGAAAATTTTCTTTTGAAAACACATCTTTGCATATGACGACAAGTGTTCCTTTTTTTTCATTTTTCATTGATTGGTCTTTATTCAACCAAATAAATTCAGTGTAGGCGTATAACTGGTGTGTTAGTTATTTATTGACAACTCTCTCATCATGTTAATCATCCTTTCCCAGATAACGTGGAACTTAAATTGACTGCTTTTTCATAAAGATCAGCAACTAGATATGGATATGTTTGACGAAATGTTCTCCAATCAGCTGTACCTGTTTCAGAAAAGATTTGTCCTAAATTATTATTGATAAATTTAAGTGTTAAGTCTTTCAATCGTGTCGCTCTATGTCGATCGGCAAGCATTAATAATCGAAGACAATTATTTTTATTCAAAGTAAAGTAATCTTCAGCTAAGTTTTTTAAACTTTCAATATTATATTTATCAGCTAATTCAAGTACGTCTTCTGCTCTTGTTTCATCGGTAAATACACATATATCTGAATAACAGTATTGAAGAAATAAATCAATAGATGATGAATTATAATTGTTTAACATAAGAATAGATGTAGCCATTTCAGTTGTATCTCTTTGTTGAAACATAGTAAGAAAAACATCAGATCGAGCAGCAAGTATACATCGATGAACAGGATAAATACATTCGCCAACTTGAATTGTAAAATCAGAAAAATACGATTTAGATTTCAATGAAAGTAAATCACGATTTAATGAACGAGTAAGTAGAGTTTGAGTGCAAGTACATCCTGACTGGCGACAATTAGGACGACGACAAGATTTACAAGAAGTAGATGATGTCATTAATATAAAAGGATGAATTAAATTGAATACTCATTTATAGAAACAAAAATTACCATGACAGCAATAGCTTAGTCTTTATATCTAATTAGATGTTTACATTGATTAATCATTAGAAAATTCTTCAACATTTTATCTTTTTTAAAATATATTTTAGTAACTGACCATTACATATTTGAACATTCGCATAAATCATACTGAATAGTTTTGATTCTAGAAACACTCTTTGTTTTACTGTGTTTTCGTTTTCTATGAAACACATGAGCGATTAAATGACTAACTCGCAGCATATCTAGCTATCATAGTGTTTATTTTTAATGATTTCAAGTTATATTCTTTTTTTCTTGTTCAATCTATGAAAGGAATTAAATGCTAGGCAGGACAGGAAAAAAGAGAATCATAGAATTTCTCTTTTTTTTCTACGCTTTTTTGCTTTCTCCTAGTTCTTATCAATGACGTCAAGACTTGTGTAGGATGCTTACAGCACGACACATCAAGAAGGAATAAACGACGAACATGAACAAGCTATGAAGAATAACAGTTCCCAGAAAAGAGGAAAAAAAGAATATTTTTCTTTTTCTCGTTTCATATTGCTGTTGGCTGTTTCAGTTGTTGTTTTCTTTCGCCAAACATTTCTAGTTTCTTTTTTTTTGTTGTAGATAGCGATGGGTTCGATGTCGCTTTATCTTTTCAATATTGTCCTTCTGTCATCCCTTATCTTACTTAGTAACGGTCAAAAAGAATATGAAAATCATCATAATACAGAGCAAATGTTCGATGTACTCGATCGTGTTCATGCTAAATGTCCTGAAATAACATATATTTATGATTTACCATTAAAATCAGTCGAGAAACGTCCATTACGCGTTATTGTTTTTTCGGACAACCCAAAACATCATGAGTCGCTTGAACCTGAATTTAAATATGTTGGTAATATGCATGGAAATGAAATTGTGGGTCGAGAATTATTATTACAATTAGCCGAATATTTATGTGAAGAATATAAAAATGGAAATCAAGCAATTCAAAAGTTAGTCGATAATACACGTATTCATCTTATGCCATCCATGAATCCAGGTAAATTGCCATTAAATATACTTTTATATGAAATCAAATTTTTATAGATGGTTGGGAGATTGCTGCACAATATGCATGGAATACAACAAAACCTGATCAATATAAAGATCTTGAAACAATGTTAAAAGTTCGATTAATTATTTTGTTCCACTGTTGAATAATAATAATAATAATAATAATATATTTTTCTTTGTACAGGAACAAGGTGCCACTGATTGGACAGTTGGTCGTACAAACGCAAATGGAGTTGATTTAAACCGAAATTTTCCAAATCTAGATGAGTTTATATATAAATATAATCAACGTGCAAATCATCGAAATAATCATCTTGATTTGGAAACATTTGTTGCATTAACAGAAGGAAAAGATTGTCACGATCAAACAGTAATAAAACTAAATTGAAAATAGAAATACGTCAACGAACTCTTTTATATTTGATATTATTTTAGTATCAAGTTGAAACATTAACAGTTGCATTTTGGATTATGCAAAATCCATTTGTATTATCAGCTAATTTACACAATGGCGATCTTGTTGCTAATTATCCATATGACGATTCAGCAAATCATCTTCGAATGTATTCACCATCACCTGATGATACATTATTTCAGTAAAAACTTTTATCGTCATAAATTGTATCGTTCTAATCATTTGAATATTTTAGGCAACTAGCTGAATCTTATTCTCATGCCAATACAAATATGGAATCACCAAAAAAGCCATGTGGTACTGATGTCTTTCCAGATGGAATTACTAATGGTGCAGCTTGGTATATAATTGAACTTAATTTTTTTACTTATTTACCAAGTATTATTCATTTTAGGTATCCAGTATGTGGTGGAATGCAAGATTTTAATTACTTAGCTAGTAATTCGTTTGAATTGACATTAGAACTTGGTTGTCAAAAATTTCCACCCGGTAAAAACTTGGCAAATCTTTGGAATGAAAATAAAAGAGCACTTATCAATTTTATGTGGCAGGTTAATATTAGAACTCTGGAATTTACTTGGTGAAACTTTCTTTCTTATCTTTTAGACTCATTTGGGTATCAAAGGATTGATCGATGATGAAGAAGGTGAACCAATCTTTAATGCAAGTATTAAAGTTTATCAATTAATTAACAATAATTGGGAATATATTGATCATGATGTAACATCAAGTATGTTTTATGAAATTTTAAATTTTATTGTTTTTAGTATATTTTTTAAAGATTCTAATGGTGATTATTATCGTTTACTTGTGGATGGTACGTATGCAATCCAAGTGAAAAAACCAGGTTACGAAAGTCAAACCCGACATATAACTGTTCATAACAAAGAATATCAAACTGATGCACATCGATATGATTTTACTCTTCAAACAGTTTCATCTGAAGAAGATAATCTTCGAAGAATGCTCAGAAAATTTATGGACTAAGTGTGAATTTTCTAATCTAAATTATACATGTGTAAACGCTTTCTTCCCTTTTCGTTTTATAGTATGAATGATTGACAAATCAAAAACAAATCGAAATGAATCTCAAAATGAATACCACTCTATTTTTATGATCTTGCATTCCAAAAATTAACACTCATAAGTGAAAAATATTCACTAAAAATTTAATCTGGTCTCCGTTTTAAAGTATTTTATTCTCTTTCGTCATTCTATGTCTAACAACTTGCCACCTAATTTATTTTTTTTTTGTGCAATAACATTATAAAAACAATAAAGATCAGTTAAGACATTGAATCATAACTACTGTGTACTACATGTAATTGTTAAAGTGATGCTTAAAAAAGTTGAAGATAAAAATGTCACGAAGAAGTTCATATTTAACTCCGACGTAAATCAGTTAGCAAGTCTCGGTGTCTATCGTGTTTTTTCTTCACGAGGAATTTAAAAAATCATAATAGACAGTAGAGAATCTAGTCTTCTGCAAAAAAGAAGGGAAAAAGTTTTGTTTTAGCTAATTCAGTCATGGCCTACTACAAGAGAGAAAATATTGCGATGTCATTGCTCATTGCCAATCTATCTAATTAGTTCCTTTTTTCATTTCAGTAAATTTCTTTCATTGCTCTTGAAATTACTCGTCGCCATAGAAGAATCTGGCTATTTTTTGTTGCTGCTTTGTTGTACGAATCTCTACTGTGAGCTTACTATAAGATTTGACAATTGATGTGTGTTCTATTGATAACCTATCTTGGCGAGGGAAGTCGAATTAGACGGAAGCATTGCATTAATTATATTGTTTCATGGTTCATATTATTATCATCATAATATGTCGGACATGCGTATGTTCCTTCAGGAACAGTTTCACCGAATACATGAGTTAGTTACTTTTCCACATTTTATATTTCGTTTTCGTTTCACCTTTTCAGTATAAATGACTTCTGTTCTCCATTAAAAATATAACTTTCAATTTCTATGCAATCAGTAACACTACATTAAACTGTGGCAAAATAAAACTAGAAGCTATAACCAATAGGATAAGCTTATGAAATGTAAATCGTTTCGAATTGCTGATAGGAATGGTTTTATTGATTTAGACCGTACTTCCATTAAAATGTTTTCTTCTTACAATGGATGTGTTTCAGGTGGTAAGCAAAAACGTTGAAGTCTTTTTTATGTCAAATGAAAGCTCTCATCATGAAACTAACATGGTTAAAATATTAGCGACTGTTGGTGTACCCTTATGGAGATATTCGATTTTTCAGTGAATTTTCTCTACAGGACCGGCTTTCTCAGCAATATCATATTCTCGAATTTGAACCTGAAACTTTGTATGCATGAAGTTTTCAATGAGGCTAACTTACCGAAAAAAACATCAGAAGGTTTGGACAAACCCTCTTCGAGATATGAATCTCTCAAAATATAGACAATTTTCTATAGAAGCTGTATACTTGAGGCATCTATATTTCGAAGAGGGTTTGTCCAAACCTTCTGATTTTTTTTCTATAAGCTAGTCT